CCGAAATATTCATTTTTTTATTTTCCTTATATTCGTGCTCGAACCCTCACTTTTTAGGATCAGTTTTTTCGGTGATTATTCGTTCGTGGCAAATCCGATTAAAATTTTTTTTTTTCTATGTCCATCTCTGGATGTACATACGCATGTGCATGCAAAATTTGACGAGAATTGGTTGAGTGGTGCAAAAGAAAAACGCGGACAAAGAAGTTGCAAAGTCAGGTATAAGAGCTTCGTTCGCCTTCGGCTCGCTCGCTCAATAATTAAGTTATTTTATACTTTTTGAAAGGAAGGAAAAGAAAGAGAACAAATTTTTTTATTGTTATCTTATATTTACATATATTTTCTCATAAATTCTACAGTATACATATAACATTGTAAAGAGATTCTCTCCCATTCAGTTCCAAGACTAGTCATTTCCTACCATTACAATTCTAATTTATTAATATACGTCAAAGAAGAAGTTCACACAGTTCTCAGAATTTTAATTTCGTTCTAACAGTCGCCTCTCTTAACAATATACATTTTATTCATCAGATATTCTTTCACTTCCACCTTCTTAACAATTCATTATCATCATCATAATCCAGAATACAAATGTGAATTAATTTAAAAAATTCGTCAACCTTAAAATAACTATCTAAAAGGAATATGTTCTCGGTGGTAAAATATTTTCAATAGGACATGGTCCATCAGTACCAGATCAGCTAAAACATTTATCTTAATGTTTAAGGGATCCATTCGACCTCGTTCGTCTCATAATCCTTGTTAATGGCGGCTCTCGTGTTCTCTTCCGGCTTAGTGGTACTTTTCTCCTCGCTTCCAGCTAGTTTATGGTATACTTTGCTTCCCGCACTGGCGACCCATTGAACACCATCTCCCAGTTTCTCGCCAGCTTTACGAACTGCGTTGCCGAAATTCTCAGCGGTAAATGTATTGGGGTCAATATTGATGTCCAACGTGTTATTGCCCCGTGGACAACCGGTTTGAGAGATAATGCTCAAGTCGAAAGGATCCACTCCGTAGTAGCTCAATCTCTCGCGTATTTTGTCTACGTAACTCTTGTCCAGTTCACGACGTCTGGAGAGGATCGTAGCGCTTTGACGATGGGCGAACGCCAGTTTCTGGCAAGTGAAGATGCCCGCGTAGTTTTCATAGTCCGTCAGGAATACTACATGGGATGCAGATCCAGCTATACCTGCGAATGAAATATATGAGTCAATTAGTATTCCCAAAAGTTATTTAAATGAGAAATAGTAGGTGGATACTTACTAAGAGGAAAATGTACTTGCATTCGAGCGGCTGTACTCGGATCCAAAACAGTCAATTTGCCGGTATAATGGTACTCGTGCTTCAATGGCGTTAGACCTGCGTATAGAGACATCACTTCATTATGGATAATTCATCCCACTTGCCAGACAGTTATCCTATTGACATGCTTTTATGAGTCCCGGATGGGATCCAACATTCCCCTCTTTCATTAATTCAAAAGCTACCGCCATATGTACGGGGTGTTCCACAAATTCTTTAACTGAAGATATGTTGCTGAATAGTTACAGTTCTATTGAGATAATTACAGAGCTCTGACTTCCAAATACCCAAAACTTTCAAATTTTGACATAGATAAAACTGAAGGACTTGCCCTATATTTTATACTGGCCATAGACTTTCTTTTAATTATTTTTCATGTTGTACATGAAATTTATATTTTACCCAATACTGGATGATCAGAATCCTGCGTTATAATATATTCGCCGGGCTCCTCGCCACGAGTGTAATTGTAAGTGATGCACTTGCTGGCAGTCGTCGTCTTCTGGATCACGTACCAAATTCCTAAAAACTGGAATTTCAATGAAATTTCACTAAAAGTGAAATCAGGTACCAAGTGAGATAAATTTGGTTGTACTTACTTTGTTCATTTGGAAGCCTTGCATTGGTTCCACAATGGGACAAGCGCCCATGTGATAAGTGTGTGCTTTTGCAAAAATAACGCATCCTGCTAGGAACACCAAACAATACAGTATCTTCATCTAAAACAAAAATACAATTTACATTACAACTAGAAAAATATAAAATTCTAATTACCTAGAAATGACAAATGTAAACTGACAAACTACAGAATCCTAAGATGAGTAATTCTATATTTATAATTCTTTATCTTTCTGTTTATAAATTATGAATGGAGATAGCGATTTACGAAGCAGTTTTATCGCTTTTCTGTTAACAACGTAATATTTGCATAGTAAAAAAGTATGTCTTAAAAGTAAATTTTTTTTACAAGTAGTTTAATCAATAGCATGAATCACCCTTGTCTGAAACAAAGAATCCTTTATGTACGTTTACAAAACGTTGTTCAGCTTCAGAAGAAACGGAGACATTTTAATGCAAGATTAAGATCAAGTTTGGTGATCTCTGTAGCCAGATTTATCGAGAAAGACTCAGATTTCTCGTATTTAACATGGACAACGAGCGAACGGTGTACTTTGTGTCTCTGAGCCGCTAATTAACGCAGGGGAAGAAGAAAGAGCCACTCAGGCTCGAATGTACAAGCAAGATACATTTATGCAACGAAATAATGAGCCGAGAGCTCGACTTTGTTTAGTCGAGATCTCCTGCACACGGAACTAAAAAGTTTCTTTCATAAACTGCTAACGAAAAAATAAGCTTAACATCTATTCACGCAGGTAGTTTAATCCTATTCGTTTTAAAATATTCTACACTGAATATGGGAATTATTTTGCTGCATAAATCACCTTTAAAAAGGCTGATGAATGAATAATTTTGAATTCCGAAATTCCAAAGTTTTGAAATTCTTCACTCTTGAAGTTTGAAATCCTATAATTTCAACATTCTGAAGTCCTTAGGTCTAAAATTTTATGTTAAAAAATTATCAGTTAATGAGGAATGAATAATTGACGACGTAAAACTGGATGAAGAAAACCAGTTTGATATTCAATTTTCATACTCACCGTGAAGTGATGTTGTCAGTCTCTTAACTGGTACTGTAAACAGTGGATTCAATGGAGAAGGATTTTATGAGACATACCCCACTCTGAATCCAATTATAGGTCACGCACGCTTTGAATGGACTACGTGCGGTGATCCAACATGTTCTCCTCAAAAATTAAAAGAAATTCTTTACTTATGTACAAAATAATTTTCTGTGTTGCACTATAATTAGAATATTGATTCTTTTGTTACAATGATAATTTATTTTAAGTTCTCCAATTTTATTCTTCCATTATAATTGCACTTCATTCTGTACACAAATAAAAACAAATAAATAAACATCATTTTTTATGAATATTGTTTATTAAAATATGAAACATTATAAACCGTGATATCGTGATATGTTACAATACTGAATTTTTTAATTATTCTAATAATACCTTGTTAGCCGTGCAGTATGTGAAACGCATTATTTTCTAAATTTTGTACAAGTATTTTCACTAAAACTATTTCTTGTGTTTTTTTGAAAGATGCGGGTACCACACAATGTCGTTACATTGCTGTACATGAGTCATCCATAAGTGAATCAAGTTGATCATTCTGAGAATCGCTGTAATACCACGTACGGTTTCGTTTCTTTTCGTTTCTCCGTAGTAATGTAACTTAATTTACACGTTACAAGATAAAAGACGACGTCACACTGCGGAAAAACAGCGGTACAAATGTGTACTGTCTAATGTTATTAAAGTCCTAGTGAAAGTACTGAACTTTTAAATGATATCATCGTTTATTTGATAATAAAAATACAAAAGATATATATATTTTAGTAAGCGTGTGAATTTTTCAATGATATGTACACATGGCAGTAACGGTGTAGCCAAAGCTGAATTATTAATATTTCCAAATATGCTGCCTTTGTCAAAAACGCAGCTCTAATAATACATTATAAATAATAAAAATATAATTTTTTTTATTTCATCCGTAGCAAGACAACTAAAGATATTTATAATTTCACATTTTGATTTAAATTGGTATATCATAACCATAAAGAGTAAGTTAAACTAAATACTAAGGAGTACATAATATTGTTATACTACCTTATTCATCAATTTGCTTTTTTTATGTTGCAAAGATAAATTGCTGAAGTATCCATCTACTACAGCACATTTTTTGCTCAAACATGTTAGTGTAAGTTTTATAACATAGTTCAGTTAACAAACTTTATATGTAATGTCAAAATTAAATATCATTACAATATGCAACTTTCTAACATGAAATGAGTAATGTCATAAAAGAGAAACTTAAATGAGTTCTTACATATAAATAAATTAGTTTTCTGATACACACTAAGACATACTCTCTATATGTTCACACAATTAAAACGCCACAAGTTTCTGAGAAACATACATTTACCATTTTCAGTAGTTTTTTCACTTTATGCTGGCGGTAATTTCGAGGTATCTAAATCATTAAAATAAGGATGTTTTAAAGCGGCTCGTGCTGATATTCTGTGTACTGGATCATAGACAAGCATTGCTTGCAAAAGATCAAGCCCATCTGTATCTAATGTTTTAACTTGTGATTCCAAATTATTAGTAATCCAATTTGGAAAGGTGGCCTTATAATCAGATAACTGTGACACACCAGGCCATATTTCTTCAGTGGGTGTCCTTAGTATCCTACAATACATACTCATTACCACTATGTACTTTTATTTTTCCTACAATAATACATTGTACAGTTCATACCGAAATATTCTGAATAATTGATCAATTTCACTATCTCCTTGAAATAGTGGTTTCTTTGTTGCCATTTCTGCAAATATGCAACCTATACTCCAGATATCAATAGCGCACGAATATCTACTGGCACCAAGAAGGATTTCTGGAGCTCTATACCACAAAGTAACTACTTCATGTGTATAGACCCTGACTGGGATACCAAAAGCTCTGCCAAGACCAAAATCAGCTACTTTTATCACCCCTGATTTATCAATCAATAAATTTTGAGGTTTCAAATCACGATGCAAGATTCTTCGTTTATGACAGAAAAGAATAGCACTTGTGATCTAAAATTAAATCAAATGCAATTTATAATAAATCTCTGCAAATTATTATGAATACATAAACCTTCATAGTGTAATTACATGTATTATTATATTTCCAAACCTGATATAAGTAAGATTTAACCATTTTTGGTTCCATTAATTTGCCACTCTCTAAACTATCCATATATTTTTTTAAATCCATAGTGAGATACTCAAAAATAAGATACAATCTAGTTTCTTCCATTAATACATCCATCAGCCTAACAATATTTGGATGTGGTAGTTCTTTAAGCAATGAAATCTCACGAATTGCTGTTGATGGCATACCTTCTTCATCGCTTTCTAAACGAATCTTTTTCATAGCTACAATTTCTCCTGTTTTCTTATGCTTTCCTTTATACACCACTCCATAAGTACCTGTGAAAACTTCAAACTATAATACTATTCCTTTACATTTGTTATTATGCATAGACCAATATTAACAATATCTTTCAACATAATGAAAAATTCCATGTACAATCATAAGCGCTTAGTTTCTATCTACCACTTCTGAAATACTCATCTTTTAATAACCTCCATTGAAAAAAAGAAAAATTTAAATTCTTCTATTAACTAACATAAGTTAAAGATTAACTGATCAACCCTAACTAAAATAGAATCAAAAGGTTCTAGAACTACGAGCAACTGATCGCAAAAAATATGACCAAATGGATATTAATTAGAGAAACATAATTTGCAAAGTATTATCCAACATCATTCACCTTCGCCGATCTTCTCAATCTTCACGAAATTCTCCATATTAACTACACGTCGTAAAAACTACCTTAGTCAATATTTTCTTTGAAACAGTAGCAATCAATTTTGTCTGTAAATAATAAAACTTTACAAGTGTTTCTCAAACTTTTCTAATGTGCTAACAAGTAACGATCAAATTCAAACATCGGCACGCCATATTGATAAACACGTTTGAAAGTTCAGTGTTCGGATCATTCCGTGAGCAGTCGGCCTTGGCTTGACCAATCCAAATACCGGAACAAACACCGGAACACAGATGATGTTTATCAGCCCGCGTTTTTTTTCTTTCTGACGTAAAAATCATATTTTTAAGTAATAAAACAAACCTTAACATATTGTTAGAAATAATAGTTCAAGACTCAGTTAATGAAATCAATTTTTGTAAACTTATTTGATCCATCTGTCTAACGCATCATAAAATATGATATAAGTTCAAATTAACGCGGGAAACATTTAATTGAATAACCAATACGGGACGAAAAGCGGATGTTCATTGTGACTATCAAACTCATGTTTAATTATTTATATTTAAAAAAAAATCCATAGCATTTTTAAAATAAGTTAATTCTATCGTGAAAGGGGTAAAAATATTTTATAATTCGTTTGAGAACATTTATTTAAGAAAAAAAAATATCATTCGTATGAGAGTATCTTCTATGTATTTTTACATACAACGTATAGATACAAAGAAATTATTATTGTAAATGATACTTTGTAAAGCATGTTCTTAGCATAAAAAGATACTTCGTCTCCTTTACTTTTTCCATGAACAGAAATCGATCGAAGATAATCATCGTCAAGCCGAAAGCATAGAGCCTTTTCCATAGTCTTAATAAATTTATTTTTAATGTTTACAATATAATTACATAACTTTAACAAGATCTTTCGGATCCCCTCGATTCATAAGCTTAGCGATTAACTTCTAGTTACTATTGATAACGACTTTGAAACAAAAACTCCGTTTTGCGATCGACCTGACAAGATCACAAAAACAATGGACAGAAATGGTATTATGCCTGTGCTGGCGATTATTAATCATAAATTCTTCTTCGATAATTCTCATAGTATTTTATCGTGGAAATTGGTAACCACCAGTTGCATAACCAAGACCAACTCCACGCTGTGTGTGCGTAGTAGCACGTGCAACTTCATACTGTTGTTCCATATTATTAAACATCTCTTCTTGCTTCTTTAAAATGTCTGGTTTCGCACCTGCAGTAGGAGTAGTGGGCAAATCGTCTTTAATCCCCATTAATCTTTTAAATTTTGCCGTTACTTTTCCATCTTGGTCATGGGTGAACGTCGTTCCCACCCACGTATTTGCAGTTGAAGCTGCCGTGGATGTTTTACCTTCATCTTGTTTAGACTATGAACAAGAATTTGATAATAAACGCAATTTATACAAATCTAACTATACGAGTACGAAAAAAGTTCTTACCTTGTTTGCCCACAGAAGTTTTCTCTTTTGTATTTGTTCTGCGTACTTTCCTTGTGTAGCCGTAGCCAAAGGATTGTAATAATTTTGTTCGTTCTGAACATTCGGTGTCGCGGTATCTCCTTCTGGAGCTTTCAATTCGATTCCTAATTTTTCCAATTGAGCTAATTTATTTCTACCTTTTTCTTCTCTGTAACTCATCGTTCTGAAAGGCGGTAACGCACGGTCTCGAGACCTCGATCTTGATCGTGTACGATCTTTTTCTTTATGGTAACTGGAACGGTCATCACGGTATCGATCTTTCGATCTATCATCCCTAGAGTGTCGACGATCTCGATCCCGGTCTCGGTCTCTGTCTCTACGCCTATCTCTGTCGTTTCTGTCGCGATTACGATCCCTCCTATCATCACGGTAATGATGGTCTTTATCGTTCTTTTCTTTCTCATCATTTTTCTCGTCCCTGCTGGATCCTAAGGAACTCTTTTCCTTCTTCTTATCGTCATCGCGAGATTTCCTGTCATCGTCTCGACTTCTTTTTACATCTCTGTCTCTATGACTACTTTCCCGTTGCCTTCTATCATCGTACGATGATCGCCGTCCCTTGTCATTCGTATGTCTGTTACGGTCAGATCTATCTCCTCGTTTATGTTCATCTTTTGTGTTTGCTGTATGATTTTCATGATCAGATCGCCTGTAAAACGATTACGTTCTGCAGGATATACCACACAGATTCGTATTATTATTCTGCATGTAAGGGAGATATTATTGGTAAGTATTGTTACAAGTTTCTCTTATAAAATTCAGAGAAAAAAGAATATTCTGAACAAAGTGAACGTTGTTTATACTTCAAAGGAGTGTAAGCTTATAAACAAACCAGCTTACCTCTGGTCTGAGGGGGAAGGTAATGCATGGGATGAATCTGTTTTTGATTGTGTCGTCGGACTATTTGCTCTTTCACTACTGGATTCCCTGGATGAATTGTTGTTGTTGCTTTCCTAAAGAAAGAAAAACGGTTCACGTTATTACAGGCTTTACACACGTTTCATAAAATGAAACATAAATCTTAATTTAAATTGTTGGAACTATATTATGAATTATAGATATCTTTTTTAGTACCCTCAATTTAGCAAAAATCAATTTTTCACCCACTGTGATTTTGCACCTTCTAATTATAATAAATGTATGTACATTTTAAAATTAAAATGTTTATAATAAAATGGTTTATAAAATTTCAGTGTATGTAGAAATTGAGTTTTGCAACATTTGTAATTACCAGATAAAAATGATTAAATCCTAATATTTGATATATATAAGAAGAACATTCTTAATGCTAATAATTTTTACAAAGATAAACTTGGTATTCTCACATCCTTGGTTGTACTTGATACAAAAGGTTTGTAATGCAGAAATTTGTATTCACTGCAAATTTCGTTCTAGATCTTTTTTCCAGTTAATATCCAGTAGATAAATAGAATTAAAGAGAAGTAGAAATATGAGGGCCCTTCATATTTATCTGCTTTAGCAGTTAGTTATATTACCGGAATATGTTTGTACATGTGGTTTCTTGGATGGTTGATTTTTTGTTAGTGTTACCTTCTTCCAGCTTCCTCTACTCACCTCTGTCTTCTTAATAGGACTTGGGGTAGTCTTGAAAGACCCTCACACAGCATAGACCTTGCCGAGGTGCGTAGATATTGTATCATGTATTACCAACAGAGCTACGTGTTAATATTTTCTCACGAAATGGCACTATTCCCATTTACTTATTATTTAAATTTTAAATATTTCAATCTCTACCCCTCATTGCTTCTGTCACGCGACAATTCAGGCTTTAGGGTCATGTCATATTTTGATAATACTATAATAATGTATTAAAATATAAAATAAAAAAAGCAGGAATGTATTGCATCATAGTGATGTAACATAAATAATACAATAATATATACATTAAAAATTATATTATCATTGTTTCATGTACATTATGTTACAACTATGTTATATGGATGCATTAACAACCTGTAGATTTGAATAATGAATATGGAATAAGTGCAATCAATGTGCTACTGTGAAATTGTATTTTACTTATGCAATATGGACATGACCTCTAAAAACCAAATATTAAATCTTCTTTTACATATTAAATATGTGACCCTACATGTACATACAGCCCCCATAAAGTCACCACATCTTCCTAGTAATCGTTGTAACCTTTCATACTTAATGCTATAAACAAGCAATTGCAAACATTCAATTTCACTGTACCTCACTCATATCCATTTGTACTGGGTCATAATTAGCATCGCTGGCCCTTTTGTCGGTGTCACTGTGCATCCCATACGGTACCTTTGAAATATAATTTGAGGATAAAACTTTAAATCATCAATTTCTCATAAATAAAGTACTATCATTAAATACTTGCTATTAATATTACACTGATACAAATGTTAAATGTTTAAATTGCTTACGACTTAGAATGTTATTTAAAATATAAGATTAGCATTAAGTTGATAATTTTAAGAAATCAATTATAAATTCGAGTACACAATAAATAATAACATTTATGTATTAATTAAAAGTACATTTGTTTTATAAATTAATATAAGTCTGGTACCTAGTAGACATTCAAAATTATAAATAATTCAATCAATTACTAAGATAATGTACTTAATACAAAATAATTAATGAACGAAAAACTATTCAATGACAAAAATCTATCCCAGTGGCCATGTCGAATGTGTACATTAAAATATTTCTCGGGCGTCATGGTTGCTAAAGTGAAAATGGGTCATTGGCAAGATGGTTCTGAGTATCTGAATAATGAGCAGCGAACATCGTACCCACCTTAGAATCTTCCGAATTATTACTATTGTCCCCGTCACTAGCGTAATTCGCTAAAGAATCCATAATGGCGTAAAAACGAGGAACAAACTGTCTGAAATTGTTACGACTATCGTGGCGCGTCGATCTTAGGTTGCCTTGCGCAGAAACGCCATTGGTTCACAATATTTATCGTAGCGCTTCCATCGAGTATAGTTAGCAAACCGGAAGTGGCAAAAAAGAGATACAGGAAATGCAATATGAGCGGCAAATTTTGGCGCGTTTATGATAATCTTATTATGTATACTTTAATAAATTATTATATATATGACATACTATTGTTTCATTGTCCTAACGTAACCATAAAGTAAATGTATAATCATATTATTATGGAAGTCAAAATTAAATTAGATCACAGTTTGTTTATAACAGATAATGGTGTACAAATTAGAAAAATTTTACTGAATTCTAGCAGTTGTTCAAATGATGTTCAAATTCTGTAATGAATTCTGTAACAGTAGCACTAAAAGGTTTATCATATTTTAAAATAGTTGTGCGTTCATCAGCTGAACTTCCTCCTATTAAAAAATTTTTAATATCAATAGTTTTCTATCACACAAAATCATCTGCCGTTCAAAATATTCGTGACAAAAGAACAGTTGTCGTAGCAGGGACCGTAGCAAAACGTCGTCCGCGGAGCGTCTTCCTTTACAAACGAATGCTACCTAGAGCGACATAGCCTGGGGTATTAAAGGTGCACGAAGGTGTTGCAAAGATGGGTTGATGCTAGAGAGCACTCGCATTGACGTTTACGCGCGGAGAAGCGCGAGCCGGCGTGCAGGGGAGTCGTGAACAAACCGGGACGCAACAGTCGCTCACCAGACTTTGTGCTGGAAGGATCGTAGGAGGTATGGTTTCGCGCCTCCGTGACATTTCGTGACTTCGACCCGGGATACCTGTTACAAACGGCAGCCCAGAAGCAGCGTGGTGAAGTCCAGTAACCTGGGGTAAGTGTTTTCAGTCATATTTCCTTTCATTATCAATCATAAATCGCAGTGACCTGGACAGCAACCCTTTCAATACACCGATCGAACTATCTGGGTACACGCGTACCATGTACCGTCGATTCTCCCGTTCCACTCAGATCTACGTGACCCCGTTTTCGTCTTAAATCATAGCCAATTGTTTTTAACGGACGACATCCTCCATAGTGAACTTTTTGCGCAACCGGTGGCCCACGGTGGAGGGTTTTTTGTGCGTGCTCTTCTTTCGATTAATTGCGCAACGGGTTTCATTTTAATTGACAGAAAGCGGGATCCATGATTTACGTGAAACCTGGTTTCACGCGCGTACACCTAGAAAGCTAGCGTTTAATTATTCACGATTATATTGTCCCCTGTTACAATGTAGCTCTAATCGATTCGTTATAACTTAATTGAATCTGAGTGTGATTCTCAGTTACAAACGTACTGGGAAATCGTACGAATGAGTTTAATTGGGTTATAAGACGATTTGTATTAGCGTGCCTAACACATCATTCCTCGTGTTTATAATTGTTCCTCTTTCTCCCTCAAGCGTCTTGCTGTCCCCGAGAGATGGGTTATGAATGGATGATTGTCATCGATCGAAATTTCTATGATGGTAACGCTTCGTCGTGAGGATGCCACAATTTATTATGATCACTTTACGCCTATAAGTGGCATAAAGTATAATTTAATTAATTTCATGATTCAATTATTGAACATGCTGTAGTCAAGAGGAAAGTTGGTATACCAGTTTCTAACTTGCAAAAATACAATTGAAAGTGAAGTGGCGTCATGCGTAATATACAACGACTGTACAAATGATCTTGTGAATACATCATCCTCTACATTTGCTTAATGATCCTTAGTTATGGTGATGTGAACTGCTGATAATAAACATGAACATTTTTCAACCTAATAAAAACTGAATTACGTCGTAAACATCATTTGATATCAATAAGGTTTATGACAGTATTAGGGCGGTAAGAAAACCTTGAAAGTACATTTGTGGTCACCCATACCTTCTTTTGACTCGAATCATTCTCTTTCCGTGCAAATCGACCAACGGGTGTAAACTGTTTCTGTGATTGTGAGCACGAAATACACTACGCACCGTCTAACAGAATTTGCAGAAACCGGTTTCGTTCTTTTTATAAAGATGATATCGGAATCGATTTTGCTCGTTCTAATTGAATTCTGACACTGCAAAAATTATAGCACCAGTATAAGAACGACACATTACTATATGTGGTATTAATTATTAATAAATATAAATGAAAATAATTTGGGTCTTCACCAAGTATCTTCTCAAAGGTGTTCGCAAAACTTTGTCATAGACGGTTTAAAGGAATGTTCTTTTCTGAAACTGGCACATACATTTTTATCAACAGCTGAAATCTGAAACAAAGTTAAAAAACTGCTAGGTATACTTGTGTCATTCTTTGTCTAGAAATTCCGTCTGACCTTTGTGATTTCGTATCGACCCGGTACCATTCGGTTCCAACGATAAAAATCGCTTTAGGAGCGCATGAAGGGTCATCAAGTTTCCTCGTCGCCGGAAATCGTTGGAAATATCAAGGACAGAAAACATGGTTTCGAGTCGGGCGGAAATTAATTTAGAAAATGCAGTTCCCCGACGACTGGTAGACTACCACGACGGGTTACGTTCGATGGTTATTAATTAAATCTAACTCACGGCGTTGAACTTTCCTTCTTTTTTTGTCAATACTTTTGCCGTTAATTACCGGACTGGTGTTTGCAATTCTATTCTTGCCCCTTCGCACTATGAAGAAGACGGATATCGTTGAATTCGCGGTAACCTTATACTTTCTCAACGGACTTTAAAGTTTCGCTAGCCAGCGTTAAATCGCGACTGGTTAAATTTATGGAAATTTTATACCTTGAAACGCGAGCGAAGGTAACTGTGTTATCGTTTTGTATGCAGTTACGGTAACATTGCTCGAAAACAGGCTGTGATTTATGTGAAAGAATGAATTATACAAGCGTCCGCGGTTAAAAGTTGCAACGCAGTTATATTCATCTGTAACAACTGAATTATTACAAAATATTATTATATGTCATATTAATGCGTAGAATTACAAGAAAATATTACAAACACTTAATACTTAACGTTTTAATGAGATTCCTTCTTTTACATATTGCTTTTCATTTTGAAACATGGCTGTCGACCTTTACATAAAATAAATGTAAATATTTCCTTAAATATTCTGACGCGATTAATAAACAATTTTTAAATCATTGAAACTTGAAGACTTGTTTATACCAGTTCATATTCCAAGTACCAGACAATTTTTAATTTAAAAAACTCTTTCATAGTCGTTGAAAGCGTGAGCCGTATAGTTGGACACTTTAAATGTTTCTTTGAACCTCTTTGTACTTCTTCCTTGTTTGTCCACGCTTCCGGAAGGGCGATCTCAAAACTTCAATTTAAACTTCACGCATTAAATTATGCTGAAACAGACAGGAAATTCAAAAACAAACTTTTGATTATTCAATTACAGCGTTCAGACGGAGCTTTAAAAAAAAGAAAACAAGAAATACAAAATGCATTGTATCATAACCTTGCTAATTACACGACTCGAGTAAAGGGCTCGGATCTGATTGCCTCCAAAACCGTTCGAGATATCGAGATATCGTGCAGGCTCTCGACGGTGCAATTTCCCAGATAGATCAACTCGAATGAGTAGCTTCTTATCGATTACCGTTACCCGTCGAAAACAATCGACCGGTACAGTACAACGAAAATTCGTTATTATTCGATGCTGTCAGCGAATGCGATTTTACTTTTACCGTCGATGCCGTAATCTTCGACCCACAGAAATTCTTTGAGAGTTCGTTCAAGCGGATGACGATACCGTACGAGTTCTTCCTCGTTTCTTTTTTCAACGTTGCGTGTCTCCGTCCCGTTTTCTCGTTCGCGCGCGCAATAAGGAACGCTCGAGCATCGGCATGGTTCCGTTATCCGTGGTAAATACATGCCGCGCATCCTGTACGTTTTGCTCCCGGTGAAAATAAACAATATTATACATATACATGGCGAAGTATGTACTTACGTTACCGATCTGATGCTCTGTGTTCTCGAAAATACTGCTTGATTTTGTCTCTACTTTACCTGGAAGTATCCCGTATAACTTTTGCCGCGCTATTTACCGACTGTGTATATACTTGTCACTTTATCGATGATTGATGTCAGGTTAGAATGGCGCTCAAGATTTTTACTCAGGATGCGGAACAAAAAGAGGAGTACTTTCGATAATGGATTATAGTGATTCGACAAACACTCATACGTATTGAAACAATTGTGATAGTCAAACAATTCGATACTTTTAATACAAAATGGTGTTACTGATATTTTTGACGCAGGTAGATAAATGTTTCGATACTTTTTTTTCGATGTCACATGACACCTTAGTATCAGTTTCACAATGTAGACCCGTAAGTGTAAAGAATATCGGTTATTTGTATTCTATATTTGAACCGATTTCTAAGAAATCATTTAATATCTATTCATTTTTAGTTAGACTGTAAAAGTCTCAAGTAGATGGTTATATTGCAGAAGTTCGTGGAATCAATCGAGTGGCTGATGCACATATTCGAAAAAGGCGGTGTTTGCTGTAGTTTCATAACGACCCTCGAAGTTCAGTGAACAACGGAAGTACGTTTTCAAGCATAACATTTCCGACTGTTGTATCAAGTATTTTACAAAATAAGACGAAATGAAATGTAACCAAAAATTTATTGATTTTGTAATATGGAGACATTTTGTCTGCAGAACAGGTTCTCCCCTTGAGACATCCAAACCATCGTGGATTTAAGAAATAACCTAGCAGAAACTCGACGGGAATTTTTCGAACAATTAAGACACATATAGCCTGGAAAAACCAGCCACCACGTAACATCTGCGTCAAAAACTAGGGGCATCAAATGTGTAATCACCGTGTACACGGGGAGACGGTGTCGCAGTCGCGTTGTATTTCAGTCATATCTGCATAATATGCTCTCGAAAACCCGCTCGCAGCTTCTTGCACCGTCGAGAGGGGTGTGCAACACCGTCGAGGGGCAGAGAAAACCATCAATCCAGGGGTTGAGGGATAGGGTTGATGGGGTTGAATTAGACGTTAAGCCACGAAGGAATAATTCGAATCGATCGTGAAATCTGTCTCGATTTTGTGCTTCTTTCGCTGCGTAGGTCTAGCCGTGCAAATTGAAAAGAGAGCATGCGCTCTTTGTTAGAAATCAGACGTCCTCAAAGCGAGGTTTAGAACTTTAAGATATTGGAACTTCGGAATCCAGTGACCTTGAAACTTCGAAAACTAGGACTTTTGGAACTTCGAGACTTCGGAATTTACGACGGTCTTTGAATCTCTAACTTCGAAATTTTAAAATATGGGATTTGTGGACTTTGAATAATATTGCATTATAAAATGTTCGATTCAAGAAAGTTTGGAAGCTGCTATACATTCTGGACCCTTGTTGGAATAGACAGATAATCCATACAGCTCTTCGTCTAACATCTACGAGTTTCAGTCTAAACGCCCTCAAGGATATGCATTTAACTATTTCAGTTAAAGAGATATGCGCCATTTGCGGTTGCAGTGTACTGTATACTGGCAAATTTCAGGTCTCGTAACCGTTGTTTGAGGCAACTGCACGAACGTGGTCGGTGATTCAAAACATTTCTCAAACAGTTATTTCAATCTTCTAAATCAATATTTATCAGTTGAGATCATTCGAAGTTCATGAATGACGCAGTTTCGGATATTTTAAGCATTGTTATTTTTTAAAAATAGGTAACTTTATTTTAATACCGATAAAAAGTGGCAGACTTTTAATTGCAATTCACTTCTGCAGGCTACAGTTAACACCTCGGGATTTTAAAACATCTGCTTAAACTGGAGTTTCATGATTCGCGTCTGCTGCATTTCTTCCCCTTCGGTGAGAACAGAAAATGTGAAACCATTAGAATTTCCGGTGGAAGCAAGTTCCATGCTTCTTCTCTCGTTATCTCGAGGTCTTATGCTTCGTGTTCGTCCGACACATTGAACGTACATTGTTAATAACAGGTTAACGAAAAGTAGTAATTGTTCTGCGATCAGTAACCTTAGTTATAGGTTACCTATAATTATAAGGGATTCTACATTGCTAGCTGCAGATAAAGTCAGTGTTAAGATTCTTTGCACAATAGATTTTCAATCCAAAATAATTACTATTCTCTTTCAAATTTATACTTTGAAGTTTCTACAACCTTTGATAATATTTCAGGCTATAAACTAGGACCCTTGAGAAGATAATTTTTATCAGACACGTGGATGTTATCAACTAAAAAAGTGAATTAAATACTACGAAGCAAGTGGAGGGTGTCTGCACGCGACAACAACCCCCGTGTGAAAAATATCACGTGTGCCTACCAGGCATTGCTCTAACACAACAGTCTCTAGAATTGGGTTAATGAAATCATGGAAAAGAAGACCCAGTAGTTCCACGCGTGTTTGTCCCCAGGGATTTTCGTGTTAAACAAATTCTAATTATCAACACGTTAGATTGTTACGTGCTATTATTTCCACGCGTTTGTCACGTGTTGGTATTTTCACGTGCTGTATCGGCACGCGATTACCACGCGTTGTATCACTTACTTTTAGTGATATTGTTCTATCATAGGCAGACAGAGTAACAGAGTTCCATTAAAATCCTACAAGTTCGACACGATATTCCAAGTGAAAAAGTCATTTTCCTTGCTGGTATTCTTATACTGCTAAGACACGCCATTACGAGATTGAACAAGAGACAGACGCGGATGAATATGAATATCTATCGCGTGCTACCTTGTAGGGATAATGGTTCGAACGTAGAGCACGAGTAAACGGTGGTTTCCTGTTCCACACAGGAAGTACTTTCTTTTTAATATCGTCAGAAATTAATAAGAATCGAATTTTTCATTCTTTCAATGAATTTTTGTTAAAAACAGATTTCTTGTTCGTAAAATATTTAATCAATTCCAGACATGGAAAGAAGCTTTAAAAGAGCACCAGAAACGCGACGTGGCCGACGCAATTAAGAAAACAATGCGAGAAGCTTACCCCGAAACAATAATTGTCCGTTCTGCAATTGTTCAAAATTTTACTTGGGAACTGCATTCAAAAGTTCAAAACAACATCGTTGAAGAGTTTGGAAGGGAAAACAAATGTCTGAGGATATTTCACTAGTACAAATTTTAATCCTGAGAAATGCCATATAACACGTAGGAATTATAACACGTGGCAATGATGTAATGATTCCCAACTATTGTCTTAAATTAGCATAAATCACATGGTGAGATTTAAATATACTTTCTGACGGAAGACATTCACTCAGAACTCATTAAAGAAGCAATTATTTAGGTATTCGTAACAAGGTCTCACGAGATACGGCCACGTTAATTGCGGTATCATCAAAACGGGTAGATATCAAGGTATACGGTGAGAAGGTTGACGTAATCGACAACCTGTTCTCGATGACGTAAGGAACTAGTTGGACGGAGGACACCCAGACACCGTAACTGGAGAAAAATGTTTATCTCTGTATCCATTTCGGATAAAAATAGTGATCCTTTCGACTCTATTTTTTCGCATTTTTACACGTTCCTCCATTTAATCAAGTTCGAACATTTTGAACACTTTTGTAGCTGGACTAACATTGAACACTTTTGTAGCTGGACTAAAATGATGAATTACAGCAGAAAGGAATTATGAATGGTATCCCAGGACGTTTGTCGAATTGAAAACTGGACAGGAACTCTATGGTCTACGATATTTCAATTGTGGCCATATTCATTATAGCTGCATAATCACGATCACCGCTTCCGTTCCCGGTAATGCGACCTGACAAACCATTAAATGAATCTCGTCTGCTAAAATGGCAATGTTCGCACGTAACTATTTATAGTCGGCTGAATGTATTTGCAATTGAAAAGAACACGGTGCGATTTACAGCGCGAACAATTTGCACGTGCGACAGCCTTTGTGATCCCCATAAAGCTTTCCCCTAGAAACTCCTTATCGGATTCGCTGAACTTGCGCTCCTCTTTCTTCCCTTGTTACAAATTGTTTTCTAAATGCTTGTTAAAGTGAACAAATGATTACCAGACTGTGAAGGCTTGTGTTTATTCATACATGCGATATGTCATACATGAATAATTATTTAATTTTACATGATGCATGAATAATTTTTTCTTTTCATTTCTAGATTTATACAAGTATCTTTTCTTTAACAAGATATCAGTATCTTATATCCTTCGAAAGCTGCAGCAATTTATTCGTGTATCGGATTTTGTCGTACCGCGAATTTCATGTCGCATTTTCTGACAGCCAGAGAAGAACACGATTGGTATGTAGCAGATCCTCCTAACTCTGGTGAAAACATTCGAGGCTTCCCCGTGACCTGTCGTCGTTAACCCAGTTAGTCTTGCCATTCTAGTGCACGCACTCGTTACAGGCTCCACCGCATTTATTCCTTACTCGAAGTCTGATTGCAAGATAATCGAAGAGCAACTTTGCTTCATGGAATCGCAATGGACCAAATTGGAACGAAGGAGACATGATGCAATATCGTAGTCAATGATTTCTGATTGGAGTTAAATGCAATGTGGATTCTCTTTGAAGTGTGGTCCTCGAGCTTATGAACTCTTTATAGTATAAATTTTTGATATTCCATCGATTGAGATCGAATAAATTTTTCGCTACTCAAAAATATAATTCGACGTCAGATTGGCATCTGAAGCAAACCACACATCTATTCGCATAAAAATAGATACGTGTTCGGTTCCCGAAATACAACATTGTTATTGTTCATCAATGGCCACTGGAGAATTTATTGCTATCCAAACGTTGTCGATAGAACTGCACGCAGTTCAAAATGTCTGAAGTTCAAAAAGATATCGAATTGATTGGATTAACACATTAATATTCGTTGGAAAGCTTGCATTGATTAACACGCATTAAACGCTCACTAATCGGCCAACTTCCTGATTTTCTGGGTCATACGGGGTGAGTCAGCTAATCTGGCGTTATAAATCAATATCCCAGGAACTAGATTTGAAAAAATCTCTAAAGCTTTACAATGAATAATCCTTTATCTGTCGCGTCAGCAATGGTGTCGGTTTTCATTCAAATTTCTATGGATTGAAAGAAGACTATCACAAAAAAGATCTATTGGTTTCCATTGAGATTCACTGAACTTTACGAAACTTCAGTAGACAAACTTGAATAAACAAACTATAAAAATGTCTCGTACTCGAATCATTAATGAAAGTATCTGAAGTTGAACTTCGCTGGATTCGATTCTGGATTACAAAGAAGGGGAAGAGAATTATAGGGGTAGTGAAGGGTCGTAGCAATGAGAACCGAATCGTTAAAGCTTGTACAAGTATCACGGTAATTCACGTTTCCTTCTTGAAGGCATTAAGACGGCTGCCGGTCTCTCGTTACATCCGCGACAGAGGAGGACGATTGAACGAAACGGGCGGACATTTAATTATGAACAGCCGCGTAGGAGGAGCAGTGGAATAAGCGTGAGCTAGGTGACCGAGAATGCCGTCATCTCGTGATTCCTTCGCGACAATTACGTCGTCACGTAATCAGTTCAACGGAACGGAGAAAGACGAGCCCTGTGTGAACAACTTGCTGACTATAGTGATTTTTATTTGCAGCTGTAAGATCCGAAGGCAACAGATTAGACCAGAAGATAATTTGAAGCATCAGAACCATGATAGCTTTACAGACTTTTATACTCTGAGATCTGTTTTCAAAAATATCAAAGTTTAAGCCCAACGTAAGTCCCAAATTCTAAAGCCTTGAAGTCACACTTGCATCCTTAAAGTGGCTAACCACAAGTATCTCGATATATTGCGTACTGTAAATAAATCAACTCAATTGTAACACCGTCCTGCGCAGATCCCTATGACAAATTGATGTGCAGCTGCATCGAATATATCTCTGGAGTGCGTTGCATTGATCTCGGTTGCGAAGATGTACATTCCTCCATTCACGTGATGATCCCATAATATCTGCACGACATATTGAACGGTACATGAGCTTTTGTTACACAGAAGACTACATCGACACGAAGATCTTGAAATGAAAATGAGGAAGTCGCGATTAGATGACGCGTAGTCTCGAATGATATATATTACGAGATAAGTAGGTTAACGTTTTGTAACACAGATTAGTTTTGCAGAAGCATTAGAAATTGTGTAATAGTCTTGAACCTCACGTAGAGTTTGAGTCAATGAACTTGATTGAAAGCACACCTGTTAACGCCAACATGTTAACTCGACTCTATTGTTGATGATTCTTTAATGACTGGCGGTGGGAAGAACTTGTTCACTTCACTTAAGGAGTGGTTAATGATATTTATTGATTTAAATGCGATGTAGGTTTTAGAACTCTCAAACTTTTGAACAATACATTTATTTTTCGGCAAAGACTGTTGAATAATTCGACGTAAAATCATAGGGTTAAATTTGTATGTACAACAAGCGCTGGCCATCACCATCTTTGGTAGGAGTAGTGATTTGCGAGTCGGGGAACGCTTCCGGAACAGCGAGCATACGAATTCGTTCGACTGATGATAAGCGACTATTGTCGGCTCCCGTCTGAAAAGAGAAATCCGGATGATTGGTCTGCGTGAATGGAATGAAGTAGCTTTGATCACATTGTCATTTTTCGTGTTTAAGTGCCTATAACGATAATAATATTAATTTATATTTTTGAAGAATTATGACTTCACAAGCTTTAACCATATTTTATGTTTTTAAATCGACTATATAAATTTTATTAATGAAGTTATTTTTATTCTGTTTAGATATATGTAAAAGAATGGAGGCAACAGGAGATCCATCGGCGTAATAGACACAGGAGTTGTCCAATGTTTTTGAATCATTTGTACCTGATTCTGAGAGAAATACAATACATTCACGATGACGATAACGGCGTCCACGGAGAGGATGGACACGACGAAGGATCTTCCGAAAAAAAAGTTCATCAACATCAATCTTTTATCTTTGAAGCTTTTACTATTCCTCTTTTTCGGTGGTAAGTTTTGATCAAGCGACGAATCAGTAAGCAGTCGAATATCTGAGCACTCGAAGACTTTAACGCGCAAACAAGAGATGTTGCACGAGAGCTTAGAATTCCTTTCTTGCGAGTCAGAAGTTTAGAAATTTCTTTGAAAAACACTTAGTTTAAAAGTTAATCTACCGATTAAGCCTGGTATTTTGCCTACAAAACAGTGATTAATTCTCGCTGTTCACGTATGTTCCAGGAATGGGTTGCCTCTTCCCCTTTCTCCCTCTTCACATGACAGAAATGGGACTGAGCATCGAGCAAATACGAATGGTTTCAATGATCTCTCCAGCGATAGCGATACTGGGACCTCTGATCGCCGCCCCAATTGCAGACAAGTTGGCCGGTCATCAAGGAAGAAACGATAAATCATCGACCGGTCGTTATCTCAGAGTGATGATCGCCATTGCCTGCATTCTGTCCGGCATTTTCTACGTTTTTCTACTGGTCATACCGTCTGCGAATCTCAACGAACCATCAAGAGAGAAGAGACCAGCGTTGAAGTTTAATTGTGATCAAAAAGGGGCGTTGGTGCTTCAGAAAAGATGCAAAGATCAGACTTGTCATAGATGGTCTGACGAGAGCAGAACTGGCCCGTTGCTCCTTCAAAGCTGTAACTATGCTTGTTATCCCATTGGATCGAAACGATGGTACTCCGACGAAAACGACGAGTCCATTTATGGGACCACCGATTCCGTTTTGGGAGTTCTCGATGGTAGCGGGGACACTAGTGTGATCCCTCTCGAAAGCGAAATGTACGCTCAGGTGAATATCTGAATGCTGACTTTAAAATTGTATTATGTACAAACTAAATTCACAATGTACAAACTTAGAAAAAAAAATGTGTTATAGGAACAAGAAGAGTTGAAAAAGATTAAGCGATTTGTGACACTTGATAGTGAGCCTCCTCACTTGTGCTTTAAAGAAGCTGGCAACGTTATTTGCCACGTTTACACCGAATACTCAGGTAATTTGGCTCTGAATGCGACACTGAAGCAAGCGCTCAGCAGCGAAGGCGAACAAGGGTGGTGTGCATATCCCTTGGCTGAGTACTTTGCTTGCCGTATACCTCCGGACTTGGAAATTAAAATGGCGGAGGTCTCTCAGAGTTGTTCTATCGAATGTGACTTAGTTGATCCTTACACTCTTCCAGGTAATATAAAAAGAATGTCTGCTTAATTAGGTATCATGCAAGATAAGATAATTTAATAATTTCACTTTCAGACAGCGTTCTCGTGGAGTACATGTGTCAACAGAATGAGAATTGGTCTCAGTTAGTGTTCTGGACCTATTTGGCCATTCGATCAACGGCTGACATTTTCCCAACAACAGCAGTAGCTCTAATCGATGCTGCCGTCGTGATAGCTACCAGAGAAACATCTTGTGGACGCGGCGATGTGGGTCGTCAGTTGGCGTTTGGTTCCCTCGGTTTTGCTATCTTCGGCTCCTTAACCGGCTACCTGAGCACTTTGATCGAAAATTTGACCTCTTTCTGCTATCTGCCGATCTGTATGCACGCTATAATGATGCTGTTAACTGCTGTGGTAGCACTTTGCGCGAACGGCATGCCTCTCAGTCCACCAGAATGGTGGTGGCACACTAGAAGTGGCATGCTTGCGCTTCCCATGAGCGCTATTAAGAGATACGGTAGCGAGACTGCCGCTCTGGTGATAGTGCTAATTGTTATGGGAACATTTTGGAGTGCTATGGACAGTTATCTACCTCTGTAAGAATGTTTTCTTTTGGTTATGTTTCTTTATGTATTTGTGGAGTTTACATATGTACTGTTTCCTTCAGACATTTGCAAAAATTAGGAGGTGACGAACTGCCCATTGGAGTAGCAATGACCGTAGGAGCAGTACCTGCATTCCTATTCCTCTGGAAGTCTGAGCATCTCGTTGATTATTGTGGTCATAGTAATCTTCTTATCACTGCCTTTACCGTGTACATTATTAGGTAGGTAAGTTTTATGCATAACATTATTGTACCCATTGGCGTAACTAGGATATACGAGACAGGTTACCTAGATGGTCCTACTTTGAATACCCTGGTTCCTACCTGGTTACACTAATAATTAGTTATATAACATGATTTTTTATGAACCATAATAAAGTTCATTTAAAATTTTCAGGTTTACTGGTCTAAGTCTGATCGCAGAACCCTGGTGGTCTCTAATCTCGGAGGCCTTTGAGGTTTTTACTCTAGGTATTATGTGGATTACTGCCATTCTGTATCTTAGACATCTTGTCCCGCGTCATTTAACCGTGACTGCTCAAGCACTACCTGTGATTGCACATTTCTGCGTTGGTACGCATTCTCATACAATTGTCCACCCTATTAAGTTTGTACATTATTATAGCAAGTACTTTAAATCTGATACAGGTCGATGCATTGGAGCTGTGATTGGTGCTTACATCAATGTCGATGACTCTAATATCGTTGCCTCGCTTAGATTCGTTTATCGTTGCATGGCAGCCGCAGCAGCTGCTGTTTCTGCACTGTACTTCATCTTGTATCATGGCCTATTGAAACCACGGTGTCATGCACACAACATACAAGGCCCTCGACAACCGCCTACTGTTGTACAAGGTAAATAAATTTGATAATATATTAATACAAGAGATTAATGAGTATTTTATCATACAAGCTGCCATTAAGGAATATGAATTGAGTAAGTACCAAGTGTATGAATGATTTCTTAAAGTTCTGTATTATGAAGTTAACTTTGATCTTATTCCCTGAATATCTTATAACCTGTTACTTTTGATTTTGTACACAGCAATGAACGGAAATGGGAGTTACACGCCGCTCAGGGTCTACCACAACGGCATGGGCAGAAAAGGTCAATTTCGTTATTGAAGATTTAGGAAAAAAGGAAGTGTTAACGACACTATAAATGTTACGTTACGGTGCTAGTGATTAGACTATCATTGTTATTGCGATTAAAAAAAGAAAGTCATCATTGTTATGCGACACGTGTATGAAAGTACGTCTCCAATGTGCAGCTTTAGCGTTTCTTCACCATTTTATCGGAAAATTGTCACTCTTTGATACTATCATTGATTTCCTTTTATACAATTTTCAAAAATTAATTTACTCAAGTGTACTTTAGATACTAGCTTTCCTATTTATTGGTGCTGAAAGGAAATTGAAGAATTGAGTAAATGGAAGTACTCAAATCAACTCATACTTTTTATGTACTTTTTTCTTTTTATACTTAAGTGTTTAGTTCATCAGCAGTGACTAATTGGGATAAGTTAGGTGCCCTTTGTAAATTTGAGCTCTTAGAAATTTAGAATTTGGAATTTTGGGGACTTAATTATGCCAATGGTCATCGAATAAACATTAATTATTGTAAATAGTTCTACAATTATATTTATAAATTAAATGAAACCAAATCAGATTGTTTTTTTTTTAGTATTATACATTTTATTTCGAGTACTTCTGCCTAAAAATATAATGTATACCAATCAGTCACTATAGCGGCTACTAATTATAATACATTTTATAATACTTTTTTATTCTCACAATCTTTGTATTTTTTACAAGTACACGTATGCGGTTCATAACGTCGCGAAAAGCTACGAAATCGTTTCGTAACTTTTGTTTTTGATCTTTTGTATATCTCGACTGCAACCACGTAAGTGTTACGTGTTTGAAGTGTGTTTTTAAGAAGAAAATTTCTACGGACCTGTTGTACCTATCTAAATACTGAGAAATGTTCGTCTCTCTATGTAGGATAAGACTTTACTTGAAAGATAAAAGGAAGTAATATATTGATTTCTGGGGTCAGTGTGTGTGTATACAAAGAAAAGAAAAAATAAATGAAACTGAAAAAAATATGAATTTTTGAATTTAATATCCCAATTGAAATAGACAAGAAAGCATATCAATAAATTTCATTTTACACTGGGTATTACTTTTATATTTAAAAAACTATGATTCTAAAAGTGCCTTTCTCTTGCAGCTTTATTTCTCCAATGATATTAACGAAAAAATATAGAGGACAGATTGCTTGAAAATTAAGAAGGATTACAGAGTTGGACACTTTTACAGAATCTACGTAAAGATAACGATACTCAACTATTTGTAGTAAATTTATTTTCTAGACTTAAAACTATGTTCAATCATCAGATAAATTTACAATTATCATACAAACTTTTATTTACCTCGATTTAAAATTGTAGTATTAGACTTGGGACGTATAAAACAATAACCATCAACATTTTTTATGGTTTTCTTTTTCATCAATTTTGAATGTTTATTTATTCACATCTATCATACGTCTATTATCTATATGAATGTAGATACAATATTAAGTATTTTTTATAAAACATATTTATGCAAACGTCAATCGTGTTTACATATAAGTATAGCGATAAAATTTTTTCGAACAAAAGTTTTCTTCTATGTTCACAGTCTTAGAAATTAATATTAGTGACAAATGAAATATAAAATGTCATTATAAATAAATGTCAGATGGAAAATTTCTACAATAAATGATCACTAACAAGCGCGGAAATATTAAATATTATTAAAGAAACTAATAAAACTTTGTACATAACTTGTGTTATACAATACATTGTATATATCAAATAATTGTTACTTTCAACTATATTTTTCGTATCGCTATCGAAACTGTATATGTTTTATTTATTCCCAATAAGTAATATTTAATAAGTTAACAAAATACGTTCCAATTTTTATGAAATGTATATCTATTTTAGATACTTAAAAATATTAAATATTTAGGTAGGAATCTTTTTAGAATGATCAATTATATAAGAATTACATCAGTAAATTTGAGACATCAGTAGGCAATGCTATCATTAGGAATTCATGTACGACAATAACTTCATTTTCAGGAGATTCATCTCGTATGTATATAAAAATGCAAGAAAAAGAATTTTTAATATGGAATAATATTATAACCTATGACTAAATACAAACAGAAACATATGCAATGGAGAATTCCAAACATTATTAAAATCAACACTTACTGATGTTAATTTCTTTCCTAAATAAATTTCTAAACCAATACTCGCATATCTGATTAAAAGTACATAATAAGATATACGAATGTTAACGAAAAATCAAAACTCTAATTAAACTTAAAAAAATTATTTAATAACTATTATTTAATTAATCTTCAAGAATGGTACAATCATCTTCGTTACTGCTTTCAATTTCTACTGAACTGCTATTAGTCTTACTCGGACTCCGTTCGTTGTTTTCCGTTATATTTAGCACAGAAATTTCATCACTAGCTGAAGAATGTTTTTCAAATTCGCCAATGGGTGTAGGTTTATTTTCAATAGTCTTTGTTCCATCTAAATTATCGTTCATGCTACTAACCATTTTTACAAGATCATCTACTGCTTTGCACGTGATTGAATTCATTGGCCGAATTTCAGAAGATTCAGTGTTACTATCCTTTATAGTAGAAGAATCTAAATTACTAGTACTTGGAACGTCTGATTTGTCCATGGTTTCTAGCATTTCAGAAATAAATGGAGAGTTGGCCTCTATTAGATCCTTCAACGGAGTCTCATTTGGATCAGGTAAGTTTTTTGGATCCTGCACATCTTCATCTTCCTCTGTATTTTCCTGTTCTAAAAATTGAATAAAGTATTCTTCATAATTTCTGGATGGCTTCTTCGAACTGCTATTCCTTTTTTCATCCACTTTACGCAATGTAGAATTTCTTATACATCTATCATAATCTTGTAATTCAACATCATATATTTGCATTGATTTGTCTGATAATAAAATCGAATTGTCACCGACAGCTCGTTCTACAGTATCTTTTTTCTTAAAAAACTGCATTTCTTTTACTATATTTGTGCTAACGAATTCAGACGAGTTTGTGTCATCTTGTGTATCTGTGTCTGAATCTGAATCCGATTCATTAGTACAAGTCATATCTAAAGGTAAGTCTTTGCATCTATCCTCTTGTCTGTTTTCATTAGAGGTATTACTATTTGCCGATTTAGCAGCACAGGCTTTTAAATGATGCGTTTTCCACCTGCTATACTCACGCACTATTCTATCATTTATACATTCCAATTGAGTAACAGCATCACATATTTTACGATGAAATTGTTTAATCATAGTACGAGCATCGATTAATTTATGCTTTTTAAATTCTTCTCGTTTCGACGCCTTAAACAAATGTTGAAGATCAGTTTGTAGACTTGCTAAAACATTATCAACTTCTTGCCCATGTGGAAGTATTCTTTGATTTAATGTTTTTTCTTTAAACTTATCCGAGATCTGTCGCTTTCTCATATTATGATCATCTTTCGAACTCACAAGAGCAACGGGTACTACAATATTTTTTTCAACTTGATTTCGAGAAGCAGATGAATTCTGTGGCGCTGGATCAACGACTGCTACATCTTCTGGATCACTTTCAATTTCTATAACACTGGGTCTCGGTTTTAAAAGCGACGTTTGTACCTCTGGTAAGGTGAAATGTGATCGATTCAATATGTTCACACTTTGATTAGGTATGGTAACCATTGGGACTGGTGTGTAAGGCATTGCCTGATACAGATTCATTTGATTTATCTGATTCATTTGATTAATTTGATTTATTTGATTCATCTGATTCATTTGATTTATCTGACCAGTGACGTGCGAAATAGGTACGACCGAAGATGTAGGATGTAAAAAGTTTGGTGCTGCCACAACATTCATAACAGTTGCATTGTACATTGTTGGATGTTGAACAATAGTGGACTTCACTTTGTGAAGCAATGCAGTTGTTTGATGTGAGGTAATTGAATTGCTTGTGTTAACTGTAGTAGCATCATCGCCTTCAATCAATGTTTGTTCACATGAAAGTAAGGACGGTAGTATTTCACTGTGATGTAAATAACTATCGTCTGATGATGTACCATGTGACCTATCAGGTACCGATACGTTGCTGCCATTAGGAAGTCTTCCTCTTCCGCGACCCCTCCGCCTACGTTTTGACATCATGGCCGAGTCTATTACTTTTGGTATATAAGTTTCGTCCTCTTCCTCCGAATTAGACATGGTTCTTCGACGTTTTCTTTTCTTTTTACGCGGACAACATTTTGATTCGTCCAAATTCATTTTGTCGTCTATTTCGTTCTGGGTTAAGTTGCAATTATTTTGTAGTAACCTGAAACGTTACATTATTAAGTTTACGTATAAACTTTATTAAAACAGTAAGTTTTCATTTTTGAAAGCAATTGATTACCTATTCATTGTTTGAATATGCTGAAGCAGAGCCCAACAAGTTGCTCTGGCAGTATACAAATCTCTAGGATCACAAACAAAACATCTCCACTTTTCATCTGCCTCTATTTTTTTCCTTAAAATTGGATCAAAGTTTCTTCTAATGCATTTGTTACAAAAAGTATTACTACAAAATGAACAGCAATATAAATTGCCACCATTTGCACACCATCTACAAAACATGTCTGTGGCATCATCACCTGTAAAATACACATCGTATTTCATAAGTAGTGAAAGCACTTTTTTTTATATATATCTTAATAATTGGAGTACCTTGCTCAAAGGTGCCATCTCCATAAAAGTCTCTACATTTAGCACACAATAATGTGTGCAAAATAGGATGTTCAAACATGTTATAAGATTCTGATGGTGCAGATCCAATATGAACATCGCATGCTGTGCAATGCAATCTTTTAAACCGTACTGCTGATACATCTGAGAAATATATGCGAATTTAAAGAATTAGTTACTAATAAACTGTAAATGTTTATACATTTATGACATATCACAGTTTATTAAGTATACATTTGTCTGCAAAATGTACAGATCAACAGTCCATAGATTATATAACTTAGACCCATCTCTGCAAATAAAAATCAACCAACATTTTTAAAATAACTGACTTAAACATGCTAATACATTCAAACTTTTTAAATGTATAATATGCAGAAAATGTAGTGACATCTATTGATTACAAGAGTTTACTATAAGTCTTTTTATAAAGTTCTGCAATACAACTCCAATACATTTTTAATATTACCACAACTTATCTTGTCTAATTACTAAAACTCAAATAAATATACTACAATATTTCTGCAGTTTTTTCATTTGGTATAAAAATAAGTTTAAAGAATACTCCATATTTCATTGATAACAATTTCAAAACTGTATAGATGTTGGTTAGTTTCTCATTTCTCTACATTTTACAGACTTTAATGTATTATAAATGCATAAACATGCACAATCTACTTGTTAATATTAAATAATATATATCCTTAGCTCTATTAAAATGTTGTAAAAAGATAAAAAATCAAAATTTGTATGATCGATTGAAAAGCAACACATCTGATTAGATCAATAAATACTTATCTCTTATATATCCAAGATTTTCATAAATATAGTCTATAGTATAATTTCTTTTTTATTGTTTTTTCGTTGCTCTGCAAGCTCACATAGTTTTTTTTCGCGACAAAAGAATGATACAGAGGAAATGTGTCACACAGCATATCAGAAAATGTTAAGAACTGGCTCATCAAGGAAGAATGAATGATAAAAACGAATTAATGAAACGCGAGGAGCTCACCGCTGCCGAACATAAGCTTGTAAAAACTGTATTCCTCCTGGGAAATAGGTGATGGAACATTTGTGGTGCTTGGAAGCATCTCTCTGGGTGTTACTGAAATACAAAGTAGGTTAGACACGGTGTCTTACAACGATTCACATAAAACTGTCTTGTGAAATTCTTCGATCACACCATTCTCTTTGATGTCCACTTCTTTTACTTCGTCCACTTGGACTTCAAGCATACTCGAAATGTCCATCATGATTACGTTCTTGAATACAATTACGTTCAATATAAGGTTTCAAAACACAGGTTATCGCACCGCCATTTTCATGTGATTGCACCGGCCTGAAATTTCGGGGGAAAAATCCTTCTGACGTTCGAAAGAATATGCGTCAAGAAAAATCTGTTCGCTACATATTCAAATATTAAATAAACAAATAAATTTAAAGAAACCACGCAATTGTTAATAATACATTTTGTAAAGAATGACAACTTCTATCAATCCCTTTCCAAAAATATATATTCTTAAAGTTTTTTAGGCTGCAAAACATATAATTCGTAAAAGTTTTTTGGAGCGCAGACGAAGATTACAATATTAGGTTTAAATACTGTAATAAGTTTAAATATCTGTCGCGCAACCGGAAATGCTCCATCTCCGCGACTGCGGGAAAGAATTTATTTACAAATGGCGACTATTTTTTAGAATTGGCTGTAAAATGCTTTGAACTAACTAGAAAGTTTTAGAACAATACGATGGCTGGCAATATAGAGGAAGTTCACGAATCACAATTAAAAAAATCTGCAGAAAAGTTAACAGAGGAAATACAAAACATGGTTAATTATAAAAATCTTTATAGTGAAATTCAGGCAAGTGCAAAGTGGTTTTTGAATTTTAAACAAAGTTTTTATTTTGAACAAAAATGGCGCAATTAATATTAAGCCATAATGATATAAGTAGAAGAATTATGTAAAATTGTTAAGTTTACATTCATTATTTTGGAAACCAATAATATAGGGTGTTCACAAAATAAGAAACACGATTAATAAATTATTTCTGCACTTCTTTAGAAACTCGTCGCCTCAACAGCAGTAAAACGAGAAGATTTCAAAAATACATTGATAGACGCGTTAAAAAATAATAGTTTGGAAACGGAAATAAGGAATACGGTATTTCATTGGGCAAGATCACAGGTTCGTAATTTGAGTAGGCACTATAGCACGTGGCGATATATAAGAATACTGTAATACGCTGATTTTTTAAAATGGAATAATTAAATAATAAAATTCATTTATTAATTTTGAATAAAATATTTTGTTCAGGGTTCTTTAATTACATCCGTACCATCTACTGAGGAAGTTGATTTGAGTTACCTGAAAAAAGCTCAAATACAATGGGAGCGCAGAATACAAAAATCATTAAATTCGACGTGCAACGAATTAAACGTACCTTTAGCGCGTATAAGACCCAGCATTGATCGAGACGAATTTACTGAAAAATGGAACGAATTAAGCACTTACGATATCGGTAATTTCTTGCAATGTAGTGGTGGAATAAAATTTAAAAACCTATAAATATTAAAAGATGCATATACAATTTTCAGATTTGTCTCAATATAGACCTCTTTATGCGCCAAAAGACTTTTTGGATGTTCTACTTGCTATAAGGAATCCGTCTTTCAAGAAACAACCGTATAAAAAATTATTTATAATTTTTTTTTATTAACATTAACAATAAATATTAATAATGTTACAGAGACGAATTGAATTGGGAATTCAGTCACATACAAATCCGTGTGAAAACGCTTACTCAATTGGTACAAACTTTTATTTTACAGTAAATAGTAAAAATTATTATTATTAATTTCTTTATTTAACAGAGACGGCTATATGTAGAACTGGCTAGCGGAATGCCATTGCTGGGAGTCAATCCTGATATGCCGAGTTCGGAAAACTTTGCAAATCTAGAGGAGGAGAGAATCCATCTCGGTGAGAAAGTATTAAAAACCAATCATGCTCCGATCGCGCAAGAATTTTTGAAACGTGGAGCGCCCAGAGGTCTCCGAGGACGTCTTTGGTCTCTCGTTTTGGGAACTGTAGTAAAAGAGAACGTAATGATTTATTTATTTATATTATTTTCTCCCTCATTCAAATAATATTTGATCTCCCTCATATCTTCTTAGGACGTGGAATATTACGAGGAATTAAAGAACATGGTGCTGCAATATGACATCGTTATAGATAAATTAATAATAAAGGTATTAAGACACTATAAAATTTCTTTCAATATATTCTCACTTTTTCTTTTAGGATGTACAATTAACAGCACGAAACGATGATCAATATTTTGTATTCGAAGACGTCTTATATAAAACAATGTTATGCTTCTCTCGCGACTCAGAAGTATTAGCGCCAGTTACGACTGACAAAAGTGCAGGCGGCCAAGTAATTCATGCGGTATTGCAAGGGAAACCAGCTACGTTGGAAAATACGCTCGTATTTCCACCAAGTGGTGTAATTCCATTTCACGGTTTTACCATGTATGGTACTGTCAAATATTCTTGCACATCGATTAATTTGACATAACAAATATAATACGATGGAAATATTTATAGCTACCCCGTTCTGTTATCTATACGACGATTCTTGCGCGACATATTACACATTTCGTGCTTTTTATTTGAGATATTGGTTTCGATTGCATACCGTATCCAGTCACGAACAAGGTATCGTAGCATTGTGTTTGCTTTTCGAACGATTGTTGCAATGCCACGAACCTCAGCTCTGGTTTCATTTCAGAAACATTCATATACAACCGTAAGTTTTATTTTTTATCTTTTCAATCTTGTGATTAATTAAATTATAGAATTTTAACCCTTGCAGAGTCAAAGTTGTTTTTAAGTGGATTATGAGAGGTTTCAGTGGACATTTGCCACCCGAACAATTGTTGTACCTTTGGGACTTAATTTTGGGTTATGATTCCTTAGAAATTATCTCACTACTCGCAGTTACTATACTAAGCTTCCGAAAAGAAAATTTGTTGCAAGTTAATAATCAACAAAGCGTGGAGGTAACATTTTATTCTTTAGAAAACATTATTTGTCTTGTACATATTGTATATTTTCAGGCGGTCTTAGCAGATTTATCTTCCCTAAAAATTATACCGCTATTACAATTGGCTCTGTTAAGAGAGTAAATTTTTCAATTTTATAAAACAAGATTTACCACGTGGTTCTGCAATGTAATTAAATACCTTTGAAGTTTAAATTCAAAAGGCTGGTATTGTTCGATTTATGGTTGTTCTGACTGAATCCACATTTTAGTGAATCGTTTTATGATTCATAGATTGCAGTGAAAGTCTCAAATGCAATTTGTGAAAGTGATAAAAGATGTTTGATTTAAAAATGATATACAATTAGTAACATTATAAACATTGTAAACGCTAAATTAATCACAGTTTTTTACGCATATAACTAGAAGGAAGACCAACTTGCAGCTGATTTCGGAACGCAACCATACATGTACAGGGTGTTTTAAAAACACGAATGTACAATGTTCGCTGGAAAACATTATCCAATAAAAATATTCTACAACAGCTATAATCATCTTTATAAATAGCAAAAATTGTAATCATGTTTGTATTTTATAATCAAGTACAATGGTTCTTTTGAAAATAAATAAATCTAAAGATATAATTTAAAATAAATTTTTTTTATTGCACCATACGTTTTAGATTTAACATATGCTATCTTTTATTTTTGAATATTAACACTTTATTAAAATTATTCAATGTTGTACAGAATCTAGAAATTGTTATTTTTTAATTGTTTGTAGTATCACAAGAAGTGACAAATAAAGTAAATGTTTAAGATTTTACGTTACTAAACTTTTAGGCTGAGCTTGACTTTTTTTATTTTATATTATAGCAGAATTTCTTATCTCTTTGAAACACGTTGTATGATGCAACCTATGATCGACAGAGATAGAAAAGCTTCTTGGAGGGGGACTTTCCTGTTTCCGCCTGTCAGCCGTCGAGATCAGAGACGCCTACTTGCCATCCTCGTTGTGTTTATAGTAGATAGCTGTCTGTTCAATCTAATTGTATACTAATATTTTCTGCAAAGCGTGCAAAGCCACGCCATAAAGCGACCCGTAAGTTAATCAATCGGTCCTTCTAATTTTTCTTTTGTAAAAAATTGTATCGGGTTGTCATTGTTATTCCTTGCGAAGGTAGAACGATTAAGGGTGGGGTGGTTCTCACCCCTCCAAATTATTAGTCATACACAGCTTTGAGCTAGTGTCGAAATCTTCCGGTAGCGTTATATTCTTTATCTAGTTAATAACTTACTTTATCACCTAAATTTTATTAACAATTGCAAATTAATTGAATATATTTTAATTTACATTTTGATTGTTAAAAATGTTGTGAATAGTGAAAATGAAAAATACATTGTTTTGTTAGATTACATGATTTAAAAAGAAGCCAATTTAGAAGCTGTATCACTGACATCAGAATGGCTTGGCGTTTTAAAGCGTCCAAATATAAAAATGCAGCTCCCATTGTTCCTAAACCAGAGGCCTGTATCCGAGACATTTCAGTTGGTTCATATCAAACTTATGGCAATAACATAGCAGCATCTGCTGCATTTATGGCATTTAATGTAGACCATAATGGTATATTTCTGTCTTAATATATGTGTATATATATATATGTCATATATTTGTGATCACATCTTTTACTTTTCATATATTTTTATTAGGTTCTAGTCTTGCAGTATTACCGTTAGAAGATTACGGTAGAAAAAGTAAAACTATGCCATTACTGCATGCTCATGCGGATACAGTCACAGACATGGACTTTTCTCCCTTTCATGATGGATTATTAGCTACTGGCTCACAAGATTGTCTTGTAAATCACAATTATTTTACTAACTACAAACTGTCTAAGAATGCTTGATACCTATGTATCTTTTGATTCATTTTTTTTATTAATTATAATATTTATTATTATAGGTCAAATTATGGCATATTCCAGAAAGTGGTTTAGAAGAATCATTATGTAATCCTGAATGTACATTTTCTCATCGTCAAAGAAGAGTGGAAGTAGTATGTTGGCATCCTTCAGCTGAACATCTTCTTACAACAGTATCATATACAAACCTATCCTTGTGGGATGTGATTTCGCAACAAGAATTATTTTGTAATTGATATAACATATCTTCTTCTAAATGATATATTTGTTGATAACATTTACAATTTTATTTCTCTGTATTATAGCTAACAATGAACATGCAGATGTTATCCAGTCTCTAAGTTGGAAACAAGATGGTGTGCTTTTAGCAACATCTTGCAAAGATAAACAAGTGAGAATTATAGATCCTCGAGCTCCCACTTGTATTGTTAATTCTTGTTCAAGCCATCAAAGCATTAAAGACTCCAGAATTGTTTGGTTAAATAACAGTGATAAGATACTTACAACAGGATTTGATGCAGCAAGATTGCGGCAGATTTACATTAGGGATTTGAGGCACTTAAATGAACCTGTGAAAACATTGGAATTAGATTGCAGCACAGGGTAAAAATCACTTAACAAAGTATTTATTATGGTCATTGTATCATAACTATAATTGTAAATTGTATTTCATAGAATTTTAATGCCTCTCTTTGATCCTGATACAAATATGCTTTTCCTGGCTGGAAAAGGAGACACTACTATTATGTATATGGAAGTTATGGACAAGGATCCGTTTTTAGTGGAAGGGATTCGGCATAGCGGAGAACAAACAAAGGGAGTATGTCTGGTACCGAAACGGGCATTAAATGTCATGCAAGCAGAAGTTAATAGATTACTGCAACTTACTTCCAACATGGTGATACCTATTATGTATCAAGTACCAAGAAAGGTAAGCATATAATAATACAAAATGCCGTTTATAACATACTGTACATATTCATTTATTCAGTTACTTGCTATTATTCCAAATAAAAATGTAATATTTATTATAGACATATAGAGATTTCCACGCAGATATATACCCTGATACAGTAGGTTATATTGCCCAAAATAATGCAGCAGCATGGATTAAAGGGCATAATATGCCGGTTCCTAAAATATCATTAGATCCTGCTAAAAGGAATAAAGGAGAAGAACCCATCACTGTAAGTAAATGGTTCTATAGTTGTTCGCATTTTTGTGCTTTACAACTCACATTACATAATAGTATTTATAAGAACCCAAACTGCATTATGATAAAATTTTATTTTTTAAATATGAATTTGCGTCTTTTGTAATTGCATGCTTATCACCATCATTATTTCATTTCATTATTTTTGGTATTCACTTTTTTGTCTCAATATAAGTTTTCATATATTTTAAATATACTGTGTGATGTTGTACCATATATTTATAATTAGTTTTTATTAGAAATTAATTTCAAACAATACGTTTAAAGATTTATTTATGTTTTCTCGCATATTGCTGGCTGTGTGATATTGTGTACATAAAAAAGTAATATAGAAGTAGAACATTATTTAAACATCTCATTTATTTGAGTTTCATGCATTTTGCAACAATTGTTTTGATTGATAAGTTTTATTTTCTAGTATTTCATTTCGTTTCTTTTTTTTTATGTTTTGTGTATATTTTTTCACGTTTCAGATATCCAATGTATGTTTTATAGTTTATACATTAGCACCATTCAAAGCGTTATTCCTGGCACGTGTAATTTAAATGGCAATTGATGTTCTGTAGCTTATTCTGTCAGCGTAAGTAATTTAAAGTACGAAATGCGATACATAGCTATTTTTATGTTCCTAGGCAAGCGCTTTGATACTTTTTTTGTATATATTTTTGGAGTTCTTATGATTATGTAAAAATAAGTTTTCGATAGTGTAGTTGCATTGTTTCATTAGATTTCTTCAAGTGTAAACGTGAAAATAATGCGTACGTACAAGTATAAAACCTGTAGAAATTATAAAGCATCGATTTAATTACGTGAAAAAGATTTTTGAGAGTGAAATTTGGGCTTCATAGTTTAGTTTAAATTGCGTCATTAAGGAGTTTACCGTACCTTTAGGTACACAAGGGAAATTTAACAACGCTTAAAGAGAACGAGCGAGAAATTAAGGTGGAACAAAAACAGCAAAAACCTATATCCATTGCTACACCAAAGAATTACACGAAGGCTCAAGAAGTCAACGAAAAAGAATCAGTATCTGAAAACGACTTCGAGAAGATAGACGAACCGAAGAAGATTGATGTTGAAGAAGACAAGAATAAAGTTCAAAATGGAGGACAAACAATTCCACCGAAACCTCTACCAAGAACGTCAAGAACCAATAGTATTTCCGAGGATGAACCAAAGCCAGTTGCGCGTCCTCGTACTTCACCAAACGTGGGCTCTGTAGTTACATCCGTAAATCCTAATGCGGTTGGGGGATATAAGGTTGTAATCTGATTATCAAAAAATAATAGCGTTATTAAAAAAAATGTTCTACTTCTGTATGCGTGATGATATTGTGTGCAGCAATATTCCATTTTACATATTTCAATCATAATTGTATATATCATTATAGATAGTAAATCAACCATTATAATTTAAAGCAGGATTTCCCAAAATGTTACGGGAAGTGCACACTTTGGGAATCTCTGTTTTATAAAAAATTAAATTTTATTCAGTAAAGCTAAAGTTTAATTTCTCTCTTGCTTTTAGCCTCGGTTGGGACCAAAACCGTTTCAAGCAAAATCTGGAAGCCAGGACTTTTCATTCGATAAAATCTTTTCTGTCCCCATTGCGCCGAACTCTGACACTAACGGCTATCAAAATGATTTGAACAATCAAATTGAAAATAACACAGAACCTGAAAAATCACCGTCTTTCAACAATGATCGTATTAAAGAAGCGGAGAATGGAAAGAGCGATTCCAGTTCATTGGAGGAGGATGCAAATTCCAGCGACTCCGGTTACAAACCAAAGACGCCGAGCACGGCAGAGAGACGTAAAGTCTTTGAGATAAAAGTTAAAGACGAATCTCCAGAAAATGAAGAGCTTGGTAATTTCGAGCGGGGTAATGCGAACAGAAATTCTATTGCTGAAAGACGACGACTTTACGAAAGTCGTTCTGTATCTGTGACCGATGGAAATTTGGCGGAAAAAGCGATGGGATCGCCAACCATGTTGAGACGCAGAGACTCGTTCAAAACAAAGAGTGAGGTGATTAAAGAAGACGAGGTGAAAAAAGTAATCTCTATGCTGCGCCAACAAAGTATGGATCCACGTTTAGAAAAAGTAGATAACACTGTAACACCAACGCCTAAAAGAACATCGACTGTGTTTGGTAAGAAATATTTAAAACATTTATAGAAAGTATTTTTAAACTAAAAAATATATTAACGATATTCTTTATTGCATACAGGTAGAGTATCAAAATTTCGACACTTGAAAGGAACACCTGGTCATAAATCTACGCATATTGAAAATATACGGAATATCAGTCGACAAATATCTGGAGAATGTGACGGATTTCATGGTAATATATGCGTTGTACACATATTGTATAGTATGTGTACGAGTACTGAATTTAATTGGCTCATCTCATTAACATAATTGCAGCTAATCCTGATCGTGTCGCTGTACCATTAAGTGGACCGGGTGGTAAAATAGCAGTATTGGAATTGAAAAAGACTGGAAGACTACCAGACGGTGTAATGCCAGCATTAGTGCACGGTGCGACTGTCATGGATTTCCAATGGAATCCATTCGATAATCAACGATTAGCTGTTGGTAAGTAAGCGAATTTATATGACATTAATGCTGCATACTAAATTTATATTATACTCAATCAATAGCATGCGACGACGGAATGATTCGATTATGGGAAATACCAGAATCTGGATTATCAGAACCAACGAATGAACCAAAGCACATTATAAAAGCTCACACGGATAAAATATATCTAATTAAATTCCATCCCTTGGCATCGGATGTTTTGGCATCAGCCTCTTATGATATGACCGTAAAAATCTGGGACCTAACGCTTTTGTCATCCTGCGAATTGGTAGTCCCAAAAATAACGTTGACAGGACACACTGATCAAATATTCAGTCTAGCATGGTCACCTTGTGGCCAATATCTGGCGAGTACATGTAAAGATGGAAAATTACGAATTTATAAACCAAGATCCAGTGATGTACCAATAAAGTCAGGAAAAGGACCCGTTGGTACGAGAGGTGCACGAGTTATTTGGGCATTGAAGGGTCAATTTCTCGTTGTAATGGGTTTCGACAAGTATGTGAAATTGAATAATAGTTGTGTTTCTTAATTATTACCCACGTATTAAAGACAGAGTGTAAAACTCATTTCATTTATGTTCTTAGAGTTTCAGAGAGACAGATATACGTATTTAAAACGGACAATCTTAATAACCCTTTAACTACAGTTGGGTTAGATGTGTCACCTGCAATTTTGATGCCTTATTACGACGAAGATAGTTCAACTTTATTTTTAACAGGGCGTGTAAGATGTTTTTTACATCAGATATTTAAGATGGAATAAATGAAAGTTGCTTCGTGTTTTTATAAAAAATATATTTTCAGGGTGACTCAACGATATATGCTTTCGAGGTAACAGAAGAACCACCATACTGTTGCCCACTCAGTCACCACCGATGTAGCAGTTTACATCAAGGTTTATCATTTCTTCCCAAAAACAAATGCGACGTTGCTAGTGTAGAATTCGCATCAGCTTTAAGATTAACTAATAATACGATTGAACCTTTGAGTTTTACAGTCCCACGTATAAAGGTATGCCTAGTGCAGTTATGCATACGTGTATGTACATACAAAAAAAAATTAACGATATTTATTTTAGAGTGAACTTTTCCAAGACGATCTATTTCCACCGACAAAAGTTACATGGAAGCCAACTATGACCGCCACCGAATGGTTTAGTGGTGCAAATAAGCAAGCATATAGAATAAGCCTAAAACCACCTGGCATGGATAACTGTAAGAATCGTATTGTCATCTGAAAAAAAATTATTGATCGATTCATTTGTTCAGACGTTTATTGTTTATGTATCATTTATAGTAACTGAAAATCAGGGCCAAGGGGTTGTTACCGCACCCGTTGCAGCGAAACAACAATCTACAGCTCCATATTCTGGATCCGCGCCACCTTTCAGCAGACTTGGATGGAATTCTGATGTAAAAGCTAAACAAGAAGAGGTGAGTAGATATTACAATGTAATTTAGTATGAATTCTCTGTATATAAAAACTGTGGTAAAGGTATTTGTTTAAGTTTTTAAGAATGTATTATTTAATGTGTGAACGTGTATGCTAGATCCAGAAAACTATGAGTAACTTTGTGGGAGATGTAATACAATGCTCCTTGGAACAGGATCACATGGAAGGTGTAGAAGAGCACGAATGGGTGGGTAATGTTGTATTATTGCGAATAATGTAATTTGTACATAAAGATATAAAATAATTGTTGTTATTTCAATTACAGGATGAGTGAAAATTGAGCAGCATTAGTAGGTCATTTAAATAAACTGGTAAGATAAAATAAATTTAAATGTAGTTGTTCAAAACGTAACTTATTTTTAAGTTAAAGGCCACATCATAAGCGAAAATATTTCGATATTAATGTGTACGTGGTAAAAGATATTTATAATTGAAATAATACTTCCAAAAATGTTTAATTCAAAAACGCTAACAATATACGTGTAATTTTTTAAATTGTGGGTAATTTTTTTACATAGATGTAATCAGTCGCATTATCGTACCAAATTAAATCTGAAAATGTAGCAAAGAGTGAATACCAAAACCTTTAAATTTCATAACAAAATTCTTATAATGTTCTTGTAAAAAAAGATATGATTGCAGATATCATCGTAAATGATTTTTATTAGCTGCCATCTTATGACTTACTTGGTGTTGATATTAATTATGTAGAATAATTATTGTAAGAACTGTAGTAGAGATTTAGATTTACAAATATTCTCAAACTATCAGAATTTGACAATAGTTTTGATTACACTAAGTAACTTTGAAATTATTCGTGCTATTTAAATATGTTTCTAATACTGAATGAACACCAATTTCTTCAACAACTTTATCTCCTTATTTTTAAGGTATACCATTCATAATTAGAAAATATGAGGTTGTTTATTAGAAATGGGCACTGTTTGAATATGTGTGTTTACAATTTTTTGTACTAGTTTCCTTTCATTTTTTTGATTTAAAAAAAAAAGACGAATTTAATAGTTGTTAATATTGCTCAACAAGCATTGCTCTTTTCTATTGCAGTGACAGTATCTATAATCTACAAATATTAGTCTCGACAAAATATGTGATTTTTACAACACGTATCTATTGAAACCACATAACATTCTTTATTTAACAGAGCATTATCAATGATAATCTCAGCGTATACATCATTGTAATGTAATCATCATACGTGTGATATTAGTAAACGATACCTTTTTCACGAATCAAGAATAGAAATTTTTACGATTCATTATAATATTTACACGCACATGTTATCTGGGACGAATGATAAATGAAAATTACATGCATTAAATTGTACGGCGAAGTATACAGATCATAACTTATCACATGTTCAACGCTTTTCAGAAACCTAAATGATAATGCAACGATTGTCTCAAGTGTAGTGAATAAATCAATTTTCATACTTTTCCAATTGCGCCAAAATATTTGTAGAAACGAACAGCTAAAGACCCATTGATTATACTATAAATGTAAAACAAGTTTCTTAATTCATGTGTCATTGAAACGTTAAAGTGTAAATTCCACGTTCATCAGTGACTAAGAAAGGAATGATTGTTTAGAAACAAGAGAAGCATTTCAGATTACATATAGAAAGCTATAACATAGAATAAATTTATACTTTCAGTAATCTAATAGAAGTTAAGATTAATATCATAGAAATGGTTTACTATTTTATATAATAATTTATTGTTTTTATAAAATATATTCATTTACAATTTTATATAAATATAATCTCTCGTTAGATAGAACATTTTTGAATGCAGTAAAATATTGTTCGTAATAATAGTTTTTGTAATAACTCAGAATATGCTGAGGTTCCTATTTGTGTGATTAACCACAATTTTATACGACCACAAATCCTTTCACTTTAGTATAAAACATATAATAAATAAACATGGAATTTACATTTTAATCTGTAAATCACGCACACTTTATACTTTTATATTTAAATGTCGATTAATTAATCATATGTAAAAATGAATCTTATGGTGCTATCACTCTTTTGACAGATCCTAATTCCCCATAGTTACTGATGAAAGTACATTATGTATGATTATTGCTCAGTTTACTCAACAAGTTAAAGTAACATTCCACTTTTCTATCTTGCTATGTCACGAACATAAGATCTTATCCTACAAGAGATTAAGGAGGTGCCAAAAATTTCATACGATAATTAAAGAATAAAATGGAGATGTTCATAAATTAAACTTTTTTATACAATGGGCTTAACATCTAAAAGCTTTACACTTATAAAGCTATATATTTTTCTCAATATTGATCACAGTTTTTTTATGATGTTTTAGAAATATAAGGTTTCTAATAGAACAGAAGTAATGACAAAACTTTTATACATATACATCAGGAGTAAAGAACTGAAACAAAGAGGAACAAGGTAATACTTCGCTATAAAAAGAAAATATTACTGCCATTTAATCGTCCGTACTATGAGTCACATTTGTATGTCTAAATAATCATCCGTCGGATATTTTACAACTGAGAAACGTCATTGTTGCATATGCTATTCGTCTTTGCTTATGAAAAGATTGTATATTTCTGTAGTTTCCCACAACTTTCGCAATAATATTATCAAAAATTATAGATTGAAAAAGATTCGTTCATTCTATTAATCTCTTATTAAAGTACATGATAGTAAGATTGGTTAAATATCCAAAAGTTTATTTTAAAATAAAAAAAAAATTAATTTTAAAACATAATACTCCAAAACATTAAAGCAATAGATTTCTAATTATTTTCATAATGTATAATTAATGTATAATTAACAAAATTTATTCATAAGAATTACTTTAATTGCAACAAGAAGTTTCTTAGTGTTCAATATTGCACTATGACTGATTGCTAAATAACTTTATCATGTAGTAATAAACCTTTGTATCGCCCTTATACCTTTTACATGTATTTCACTTATAAATCTTTTTATCAAAGACATATTCAGTGTAGTTGTATAATTTTCCCATAATTTATGCTTACTTCATACTTATAATTTTATTTATAGTTTATCATATATTATAAATTATTATATATATATGAAATTTTTTAATGTATTTATTACACATATATTCATTAAAATACAACGTGCTATATGACAGCATTCTTTAGTATACAAACAGCATTGTTTATAAAAATTTACATTAGATTTTTAGGAATGTTTTATTTGATTTTACTACCTAGTATAGGCAACAAATTTTATACAAAAAAGTAGTTGTTTCATACAGTTATTAATGAGAACTATAACACCTTAGAAAATAATTTATACATGAAACATCTTAAAATGTACTTTTATTAAAATTTTTACACATCATCTGCTGCATCCAACTCGATCCCTAGGAATCAATCTGAGTTCAGAACCATGTTTAAGGAATACATTGCCTGAAATTAATCAAATTTTACATGAATTGTTTTAAAAATTTCTTAATCTATTAGTAGTAGCCTGACTCACCTGCTGTCTGCTGTGGATTGATACCTATTCCATCATCTGTAATTATTGCAGATGTAGATGGTGACACTTTGAACTCTTCAGCAGCAAATTTTAACACAGCAGTGAAAGGTGTGTTATCTGGTACACTGAGTCTGCAATTATAAATTCATAATGTCTATAACTACTCATGAAATTTCATGCAATATGTAATTAATTTTGAATCACAGACTTAAAAAATGAGAGCTTATATAGAAATAAAATACAAATATTAAAGCAAACAAAAAATAAATACAAAATGTGACATAATGATAAATCTAATAGAACTTATATAAACTCTCTCTTTCTCCTTATATTTATTGCACAAAGATTATATTATTACCATCCAATATCTTTTTCAATTTTACACCATACTGTCCCATTAGGTTGTGCTTTAACTAACTGCACTCTTTTATATATTATTTCTGAAATTTCGTCTGGACCATTTAACAATATTTTCACTACTTTGACAAGATGATCATACTTAAATTCACAGTCCGATACCCAATGATTCTGATCTTGTATCATATGGCGTGCAAAATAAAATATAGTATCAAGGAAATTTGTATAAAGTTCTGAATTTTTTTGCATTAATTTCCGAAGCGATTTATCGCTTATATTTGCAAGAGCTAGACAAACATTCACATCATTCTGCATAAGTTTGTCTGATAATAGTTGAACTATTATTTGTTTGACTTTACTATTATCATATAAATTAACAGCAAATTTGGTAAGTTTTGAATATAGACCATCATTAAACATTTTATGAATGCATTCTAGAACTTGATGCTCATTATTATTGCTGATTAATAATTCCCATGACATAACTAAAGCTTCATCCTGCATGTTACAGGTAGATACACCTAATTCTATTAATGATTCAATAATTATATTTGTACATACACCATTAATTAATATGTGTTTAAGAGTATCATTCAGTCTACTAATACCACAATATTCAATGTATAATTTTAAAAATTCGTCCACAATATCAACTGAAATAGTGCTGTCTTTTAAATAGACTTCTAGCAATTTATCACAGGCATTCTTCAGTTCAGAACACTTATACAAATTTAATCTGCCTTTGCTTGACCAATAATTATGAAGATTATTCTCAAGAATTTCTTCTTTGCCTACTTCTTGTGCTTTAGCAATTGTAGTTTCAATAAATTGAGCACACTGAAAAGCTTTAACAGTATCCTGAGTGCTTATTTCTTCATAGACAGCTGGATTCTCTAAAAGTACTAAAAATGTGTCAAACATTTTTTGTATTTCAAGAAAATCTACTTCTGACATGTCTGTATTAACTGTAAAGTACATATGTATACAAAATTTTTAAATGTAATGATAAAATATACTTTATATTCAGGGCTGAATTAAGACTTTCAACATGCTTATTTTGTCTAATGATTAATGCAGCCCTGTATACATTAATAAATATACTTACACTTTAAATGGAAGTTTTGGATCAGAAGTAAGAGTTATCTTAAAAGTAACTTTAGACCTGCAACAAATTAACATTATTATAGATAGCAGTTTCAAACAACTGAGTATTCTTAAAACATATGTTTGACATGTATACATATTTAAAATTAGGTATTGACATAGATGTCAGTTTTTATTAATTTTAAAAAAATGGTAATATCTAAAATACGTACGTCATAATTGGTATATATTGTTTTATCAAAAAATATGAGTTGTCAATGAACGACTCACTCTGAAGGAAAAGTTAACCTCAATTATAATCTATACAGTTGGACATATACAGGACGTTCAGGTGTGGAATGGTATAGAATGGAAAGTGCATCTATGCGCACGCACTATGTAAATGGAAGACATACTTAAATGATCTATTTTATTATAAATCTAATAATATTCTAATTAAAAAGTAAAATTATATAAACTTTATGTGGAAACGTGATTACTTTAATATATATTTTACTTAATAAAACTACTACAAATTTTCTTATCAGTTACATTTATGAAATGCTCATTTCATATACTGCATCTTGTATGAATGCATATAAAGTTATACATTCTTTTAAAGAACAGACAATATTACGGTGTTACTGAAAAATTAAATATGAAAAATTGTAATTATTGTACAATTTATTTCAACATTTTGAAATTCATAACATGCGCCTTCATACGAAACACATATATCATTTTTATCTAAATATATATTCAATTTACACACACACCTTGCATATATATTTATAATACACTGTATATAGTTTAAATCACTTTTCAATCAAAACATTTTTTAAATTTATTTTATATGATAAACTAAGGTACCATCATTTTTATATAGTAAATATTTTAACATAATGAATACTAAATATTATTCTGTTGAATTTATTATTACAATTATTTAGAACAAAATAAAATCATTAACATTTAGTACCCATTACTTTCAAATAGAATCATATTTTTGTTAAATCACTTTTAAAAGGTGTTTGAAGAGTTAATACTTTCGATCTGCTACGTTAGTTTATCACTTTGTAAGCAGCGCGATTATTCCGTTAGTAGTTATTCATAGTTCCAAACATTAATTTGTATCAGTGATACAATGTATTAATTAGTAGCACGTAGAACGTGTTGTAATAAGTCACATATTAAAAAAATTTTGTAGAAATAATTCTTTTCTTGTATGATTTTAACGGTACAACAAAAAGAGTATTATAAAGGTTAGATATATCGAAGAAGTGCCGTCGAGGTAAAATTCAATGCAAGTGCAATAAAACAGTTATCAAGTTTACTTGCAGGTAATAAAAGTTAACGCAAAATGGAGAGTAGTAAAGTGGATGAGGAAAATCAACGTAGTATTAATGATGGAGATTGGATTTGTCCTGATTCTCAGTACGTAATTTTATAAAAACGATACATGTTACACAAATTAAACTGTCAATCGAGTTTTTTACCCAATTACGATATTTATTGTTAGCTTTATTAAAATCTGGTTAGATATAACAACTGGCAATATAATTAAACACAAATGTTATTGAGTTTTCAACAAATCATTGAATGTCAAAATCTTATTTATATTATAACAGTGTCACTTGTTAAATAAATCTGCTAGAGTACACTTGTTCTATAACAGTAATATTATTATAGTATTGTATTTGTAAGAAGACTATGTATCATTACTGATATCTGTTTAACAAATATAACTTTCATTTTCAATTATATCGTAATAAAACATTATTATAGTCTATATCTAATAGTAGTAAACAATCATGATTACTTGTATCTCGAAAACTGAAGTATACTTGTTAAGAAGCCAGTGATATTAAACATTTCAGATGTGCCAATGTAAATTTTGCAAGACGAAATTCTTGTAATCGATGCGGAAAAGGTATATAATGTTCAATATGGTAATGTATGAAACAGTTTTCTAATAATCTTCTTAATTATATTGTTTTATTGATAGTTAATTGCAATTATAATTTTAGTGCTACTTTAATAATGTTAAGATACATAATCTTGTATGTATCTTGTATGTATTTATTAATGAAAAATATTTTCATGCAGACAGAGGAGAATGCCCAAAGAAAAAAAAGTTGGGACAAGAAATTGGGAAAGCAGCTGCTGAGAAAAGTAGAGGACTATTCAGGTAAATATTTTAATGTTCAAAATTGTACAACATATAATACATATTTTTTACATTCTCATTGCAACCCATACTTTGTTTTCATGTTTATGTCAATTAATGTTTTAGTGCTGATGATTGGCAATGCAGTAAATGTGGAAATGTAAATTGGGCGCGACGGCAGCAGTGCAACATGTGTAATGCACCAAAATTTGGAGAAATTGAAGAACGTACAGGGTATGGTGGGGGGTATAATGACCGAGGAGTTGTTGAATATAAAGAAAGAAGAGATGACGATGACGAATATGACGAATTTGGACGGCGTAGGAAGAAACGGAGGATTGAGAATCGTTCAGACGATGATTCCAAAGATTCTAGGTATAGCAGTCCACCCCGTAACAAATCTAAAGATGAGGACGAAAGAAATGAAGTACAGAATGATGAAGACCAAAATGAAGAAAACGTAACTAACATATTTCATTTATAACATTCGATATATTCATATATTGTTAATTACATGTGGTTTTAATTATAGGATGAAGATGAAGAGGAAGAAGATGATGAAGAGGACGGTGATCTGTCCAAATATGATCTTAGTGAATGGGATGATTTTGCAGTTAAAAAAAAGTAAATGTTTATACAGTATTGATGTTTATGACCAGAATATTACAGTTTCTTGATTTTCAGTACAAATGGGAGCACTGCTTCTTCGGAAGAGCAACAATCAAGGTAATAATAAGCTGATACGAAAAAACTATCACAGAAAAATTTATTAATATAATCAATAATAATTTGATTATTATTAAATGATTTGAGAAAAATTGACAAATATTTTGATGTAATTATAATATTTTTACAGAGACAGAGATGACTGGCGTGATTCGGGAACATCCAGTCAATGAGAATCTGCACAGAAGGAAAGGTTTGACTTGGGTTTCGGGTATAAAATTGATTATGACAGTGAAATATGATTTTAATTATTTTAAATTGTTGTTACTTTTCGCTGTATCCCTTTAAAAAGTGTATTATCATATTCTATCATAGTTTAGTAGATGTTAGATTATAACATGGTCAAAAAGGAAGATGTAGTGTTAAGCAAATCTAAAGAAATTACAATATAATGCTTGTTAAATAAATGGCTTTTTACAGGTGAGAGAAAATCCCGAGAGCGACATTTGCTCGACAATTAAGAGATACACAACGCAACAAATTTAGTGATTTAGTGAGCACCTTTGGATAAAGTGATGAACAATGTACGACTTATTGCAAAGGGAATCGATTAACGATAAGCTTTACATTTTGTGACTGAACTCATAGCTTTGTTGGCTGTATGGATGGAGAGTGAAATGTAGGTTATTTGTTCACGCAATATTTGTCATAATATTGCGTAGTAATGCGAAAATTCATAAAACACTTGGCATAGATAAAATATTTCGCTAGTAAAAAGAAAACAAAGAAACGAATGAAATGTGTAATTCGATGAATAACGCGTTACACGACTCGTTGTAAAAGTTGAATTACGAATTCGTAAAAAGAATCTTATTTCTAACTGAAAATATAAAATCTTGCGAAAGCTCTCTATCATGTTACACTTTTAGAAGTACTGTTACGTTATCACAAAACGTCCGACGTTCTTGAAGCCACGTCACGATTCACTTAAATATTGCTGCTTCAGAAAAGATTCTCTTTTTTTTTTACAGTTTTTCCTCGCCTCGTTCACTATTTCTCTTCCTTTTCATCCGTACCACTTAACATTTAAAATAAACGTAAATGTAGTATTAAAGAATCATTCCCTAATGAATATAGATATGTATTGATGTCTTCGGAATGAAGAGAAAAAGGATACATTTTCTTGCTTTGACTATCACAGATCCGAGTAAGCTGGAAGCAGCCTGCTTTAATTGAAATCATGACATGAAGTTACTATGTCTAAAGCCCGTACGTTTATCGACAGGCCAAAAAAAGTAAAATATCAAAAAACTCTGACGCTCGCTCTGAGATAACTACAAAATCATTTGTCGATCAATTCTAGATACTGACTTCTTGTAAATATCTTTATTTTTCATTTATAATAAAAATCATTCATCAACAACATAATTGTTCTTAGTCAATTATTCTTTCTCTTATATCGTTAAACTACGTGGGGTCATGATTATGCACAGTGTTGGTCACGAGGGATCGGTGAAGGGAATAAAGGGACGGGCGATACTGCAAGGAGTATGTTGCAACAGGTATATATATAATATATATATATCGTATATATGTACAATTATGAATTTGAGCTTGCTTGACTGCGTTTAAGTATTTAGTGATGAAGGAAGGATGAATTATTTCACCGGCATATCTTGTCGTTTCTCCGAATATTTTTCATTAATTCTCGCACAATTACTTTATCACGAGCAATTGTTCAAATGAAGGAAGAAGAGACGCAACTCGACCTTTTCTTTTTTCCTGATCCACGAAAGTCTCTAGCAACGATCACCGTATATTCCGATCGACGAAATAACGATTACTACAAAGAAATTAGATTTTACATTAGTATTTACACGGTCGCGTAAGATTTACGCGACTCTCATAATATGTTTCCAATTTACAGAGATAAGTGTGATACAAAAAACGATATCTCTAAGACGATGGAACAGATTTTGTGAAGACGCGAGACATTAAAAAGGCTCTCTTCAATGTCATGAGATTTAAGAATAAAACGCTTATTGATTATAACACATACATAAACAACACCGTAAATAAAGAATTGAACGAGCGAATCTCGTTACACGCCAGTCGCGACAACCATCGTCTAAAATGGTCATCTTTCAATAATTATCATCACATCAACATTAGAACCTTAACAAATTTGACTTCTTTGTCCTTTACATGATCGCGTTATTTATAAAGTTTTTACATTTTCTCTGAAACATCTTTTCGTTCTTGTCTCTGGTAAACGCAATTTGTCAAAAAAAGGACACAGAAAGGCCACCACAATTGTAATCATCACCGTTATTACGATACCGATCGGACAAGTTTTATTTGGGCATGAAAAACTGCTGATGTGAATGCGAGTTCGGCGGCGGATGTAAATTAGGATGTGGTGGTCCGCTACCCCTGGTACCAGTCGCGTAAAGCTGTTGTTGGAAGTTATGAAATTGTTGAGCATAATTTGGATCCGACATACTAGGTCCACTACCAACAAATGGGCTGTTTTTAAAATTACTAGTAGCACCACCCATACTTGGCGGTAATGGCTGAGTCGCGTCGGGAGGAGGTCCTAATCCCATGGGGCTACCTTTGCTACCCGACACGTACATGCCGGGGTTAGGCTGACTGGGAACTTGGGACACCATGTCAGGTGGGAAGACTTTATCTGGATCCATTGAACCGCCTGGAAAGACACCTCCACCAACCATGTGTTGCATTCGCATCAAATTAGGCTGGGGTCTCATATTTCCAACGGGTCGCATGGAAGGATGTACGCCAACCGATGTGTTCATTGATTGTCCATCCATCCTCGGAGATCCTCCCATGCCAGGAAGTCCACCGCTCATGGTTGATGGCATGCCACTATGTGGACCCATGCTGTTCGGTACACAACCGTTCGGGAAGTACTGAAGATTTACAGACGGTGCACCCATCTTCGACTCTAAATTAGATAATGGATTTGTGAATCGTTGAAGGAAGTCCAAACTAGGTGGCCCTCTGGGAGTATGACCAACGTTGGGCCTTGCTGGCAAGTACTGTATCGTGTTTGGAGCGCTGGGTTTCACTTGAACGTTAGCTCCATTGTAGGGACTGGGACCAGTAACGTGCCCCGTCATTAATCGTGGTGGTGGTGCGTGGGGATCGCCACCCGGGTAAGCACCACCCGTATTACCCGAATGACTACTCATCATACCGTGGCCCATTATGGGATGTCCCATTTTACTGGGTACACCTGGGCTCCCTGTATGCGAAGTTGTTGGACTATAACTAGTTGGTGGTCCTGCGAGACCCATGCACATTCCCCCTACTTCACCTGGTTCACTGGTTGAACCACCCATGTGACAACTTCCATTTATTTCGCTACCCATTTGCATCATGTGCATACCGTGTGGATTGCCAAATTGCATCATTCCAGTGTTGCCTGAATGAATGGGACCTTCGTTACCCAATGAATTACTAGTTGCCGTATTCGTTAGTTGCTGACTCATTTGCGCCAAGGAAGTTATGGGGTCGAAATGATTTGTACTCATAGCTGTTAAGTTGCCGAGTCGCCCTCCGATATTGTTTGGATTAAGAGGCACATTGTCTGAAGGTTGACTCACGCTTATAGACGGTCTTCCACACGGGAAGGCAGCAGTTGGACCACCTAATGGAGGTACCACTGTTGTATTCGCAGAATTGCTTGGATTCGCAACCGTGGATTGTTGTTGCTGTGATTGTTGTTGAGGCTGCTGCTGTTGTTGTTGTTGTTGTTGTGACTGCTGTTGCTGTTGCTGAGACTGTGTTGGCTGCTGTGAATTATCCTTTGTCGAAGGCGGAGATGTGTCGGGTTTCGTAGTAGGCGATGCTGGTACTGTTCTGGGAGGACCCATACTGTCGGTTATGTTTGTGTTGTGTGCTGGACTACTTTGTGCACTTGCACTGGATTTGTTTCCAGGTTTTCCAGGATCAGCTGGAGTATGCGGAGCACCGTTGCCAGGCGTGTGTGGAGTGTGTGGTGTGTGTGGACTATGTAAAGAACCTGTGAAGCCACGATTCATACTATCCATCTGAACTGGACTTGCGCCTTCTGATCTAGCAGGGAACTGATTGCTGTTGTCTAGATTTCCCGGCAAAATCCTGTTCGACATCTCTGTATTGCTAGTCGTGTTTCTGAAAACATAGAATAATAAAATTATATACCTACCATTTAAAAATACGCAATAACCGCTATTAAATCAACTTACGTAGATAAATTTCCATCCTTTAGACTTGTGTTCGGTTGCTTCTGTATAGTTAATTCCTGTCCTTCGAAAGTATTAAGATACTGAATTTGTTGAGGGCTTGGAACCGGCATTAGATTCGCCTCCTTGACTCCTGCAGTATTCACTCCTCCAGCATGTTGTTGCTTTTGCTGGGCTAAGGATTGCAGCGTGCGGCAAAACATACCATCCACTATGTTGTAACACATAACATGATCAAATCACTGCGTAGGATTTGAGCAGTGAACTTTTAAAATATTTCATATAATGTTAGTATGATTATCGTTACTTAGTTCTTCTATTAGAATCCTTTGAATGCAATTTAGTGCAAAATGTTATTTAGTGTGTGAAATAATATTACAAAAATACAAATCGATCATGTTAATGAAATAATTATTTTATTTTAGGTCTTACCATTTGGAGGTTGACTGGTCGGGAAGTCTAGAGATGAATCTTTTTGAGCAGTCGATCCACTGGGACTAAGTGTTGAAATATGTGAATGAGAAACGGGCGTCCCTGGATTGCTGTGATTAAGCCTCGTCGTTGATACCGCTGTTGAATTCCCAACAGTTGGATTTGGAGAATCTTGACTGGTGGGACTTTGTCCTGGTAAATGGCTTGTTCTTTGATTACTAAGTTGAAACTGTCTATTGCAATCTGCCGGCGAATTTAAAGCTGAGCTCGCGCGAGGTGACGGTAACGATAGGTTGCTTGTTGGATTATTAGGTGAGGAAGGATTTGGACTTTGTATCGCAATTGGCACGCTCGCAGACCGGGTTGTTTGATGATATGGAGGCGGTGGTCCTTGGCTACGTGGAACTCCTACCATATTAGCACCACGTAATGGAACTCCGGTTCCAGGACTTCCAACACTGGCCTATAAATAATAATTACAACTTATAATTTAAAATAAAATGGTTAACCATTTCATTGTATTTCACACCATCTTACCTTATTTTTCCCATCAAGAAATTGATGTTGTAATTTATGCCAATCCATAGTTGGAGGACACTGAGTTGGTACCGGAGGAACATTTGTAGGAGGACACGACGATACTGCTGTTCCTCGCGTTGCATCTAATGCATTAGCAGATTCTTCTTTGTGTTCAGGAAACAACATCATTTGCATTTTTCTGATAGTTTCTAACTGAACTTCTCGATGTTGTCTTTGTTGCGGAGTTAAATTTTCGTCTGGAACTTTAACACCTTGCAGCGATGGTTGCAAACTACCTGGGCCTGGACTTGTAGTACCTCCTAGTAAATTGGGACTGTGGCCCATCGTAGTACTATTAGGAGGTTGTGGATTGGCTGTAATGAAAGGTATGCTTCTAGTGGCACAGAGTGTATAAAGAACGTGTTTGCAAAAAGAATTAGAAACACTTTCAACTACAAATCCAAGCGTATATATAAAATATATTACCTGAATTTCCAGGTGAATTTGGTACAAGACAAGGCACATCAATATTTGCATCATCCAGTGATGGTTCAGAATTACCACCATTCAGGTTCCTTAAATTAGGTTGTTCATTCCAGAATGGGGGAGCATTAGGGTCAAGAGCTGGTAGGTCAGGAGGTTGTTCATTTTGAAAAGTATTATTTGCAGCTCCTTGATGACCTTTCTGTTTCATCATTGCAAGATTGTTCAACCATTGTGCAGGATTCTGACGAAACTGATTAACTTTATTCGGATGTTTCTGAAATATCACATGTTTATATCAGTAAATGTTAATGCAAGTTTTACAAAATATTTACATCAAGTAACTTTCATGGGTATCTAATATATACCTCTAAATATTTTTTAGTGCCTGGTTGTGCACAATGATAAGCAATTATCGATGGATATTGCCCTTGCAATACTGCATCTGCACCTTTATTTGCTAATGTCGTAGAAAATACAAAAATTTGACTTTGTTGTTGCATATATTGAGCTTCACCACTTCCTGTACTAGTTCCCATCTGTTTTCCAAGAACATTACTAACCAGTGGTTGAATACCATCCGCAGTGATCACATTGCCACTACAATCTATGTGTATATAAATAATATTAACATCAAAAAACAACAATAAATACTATATATTGCAATATCAAAGAAATCATACCAGGTATATCATCCGTAGCATTATTATGATCACCTTCTTGTTTCACTGAATTTAAAATTGGTTGATTCGCACTATTGTTTTGATTTTCACCTGCTATCGTACTCTCACCATTCGAAGGATCCAAACAAGGATCTCTAGAACATTCCGTTGTGTCTTCTCCGGTCGTATCATCGTTATTACCCCCAGTACCCTCTTCCTTGATCTTAACTGGATCTGTATCAGGCTCCTCTTTGACAACGGTGGTAGGTACGCAACTTGGTTCGCTAGGCTTCTTTTCTGTTTTCATGTTTGAGTGATAATTCTGTCAGACCTTGGTCAGCTGGATAAAAATCAAACACATGGCCACTATCATCCGCACAATGCGGAGTAACAATGCATGTAGAGGTTAACAACGAGATATCGTTGACCGGTACCGAACAAATGTGTCCTTAAGAAACGTTGTGTAGCAGCACTGTTGGGGATGGCATGTCCGTAGATCTGTTATTTTTCTGTTGGTAAAAGTTCTCTGGTGACCGACGATTCAACACGTTTTCAGTCATTTAATTAGCTAACCGCGGAATCGGATTCCCACGCATGGAGGAATCTCGGTTGTCAGCGGCCAACTGATACGAGAATATGAAAGTGAGACCGACAACACGACGGTATCGGAACGAAGAAAATATCTAAATGTCACCCTCGTTTCTGCAGCGAACGCATAGCGTACCTCCGGCAATAATGTCGTACAGAACACCACGTTGTACCCGCGTAAGACGTATCCAAAACATAGAATGGGGGCCAATGCACGCTGCACTCAAATTTCCTTGCCATTCGCGAGCATTGTTCTCCAACTTTATTTGTCACTTCATGGTCGCTTTGATTATTTATTTCTTTTACGCATGGCTGCCAACTGCCCGTCGAAAGTTAGACATCGTTTTAACGCGCCTCGAAAAGGAAGCGTTCATGATTTTCCGATAAATAGAAAAAGACAGAAAGAGCGACACCAGCCGTACTTGACTCGTTCCTGCACACTCGATTGCCTGCAGGGTTACTATTTTGGTCTTTCTTTACTTATATTTTCACTGTTTTTTTCGCAGCTTTTGCCGTGAGTATTCATAATCCGTTCGCGTATTGTATACCTTCGGTGAGGCGAACTTTTATTCGCGGCGGTATCTCCCTAGACGAAGAGACTTCATTTATTTAACACAGAATCAAAACTCTGTGAAATTAAATTTGGAATACGCGAGATCAGGGACGAATCAAATGATCACAGTGCCTGAGTTCTTTGACTTTCGTTACTTTTTCTGTATATAATTTGCGATTCCCATATATGGATATACTTTTCGACCGGTACTTTAAAATATAAAATAATGTTACAGAGAAAATAATTGTTCGTCAGGGATAATAATAACGTATATAACTTCTTATATAAAAATTCGAATTACGTAAATAGATGAATCTTGAAGAAATTAAATATAAATGCGTCGTATATGTGTTCAGAGGAGCATCGCAGACTTTCCTAGGGAAAATGATTTTGTAGGGGAATAAGGCCCCACCACTCGTTGATTTTTGAAATTGAAAAATGTTCATATTACATCTTTAGAAATTATAAATTTAGAGATTTGAGAATTTGAATGTTTTCAAAGTTTTGGAATTTAGAAATTGGGAATTTTAAAAATTTGAAAATTTCGAGAGAGTTACAAATTTGAAGATTTGAAAATTTGGGAACTTGGAAATTTGAAAATTTTGAGATTTAGAAATTTAAAAATTTAACTTGGAGCTTTGGAAATTTAGAGACTTGAAAATTGCGATGTTCACATACTTGATTCCCAAAATCGAATACAAGTAGTGGGAGGTTCTTTCCCCTACAATCGTCCTTAACTAAAGGAAGCCTACGTTTACCTACGTTGCACTAGGGTGTACGTTATACGTTTATTAAAAATTTCATACCCTATGGATGTGCATTGCAGTGCACTGTGCGCTTTTAAAATCTTTACGGCTTGCAAAAATTTTTATGAATATAATCAATTTTGATATTTTTAAATAACTCAAGGTAATGAAATGTAGTAAACAGAATTGATATACTATTTTTTGGCAGATCGTATATACTTATAAATTATTAAATATACACGTTTTATATAAACTTCCTCAGTATAATAAAATATAACCTAAGGTATTTATATTATTAAAAATATATTGCACATATATTTGATGTCTTACAGGTTAAAATAAATATATACAAAAATGTCACACTTGGAGTTAGATCCTCAATTTACGCAAAGTTTACACCTTTTGCATTCCACTAATAAAGATTCTGCAGAACAACTACGAGCACTTTTAGATGAAGCAATTAAACAGAAATATGGGCCATCAAAGATGTTATCAAATGTATTACAAAAAAAGGTAATCATACTGTGATTAATTTCAATACAGTACACAGGGTAACCAAGAAATAGCATTTGAGTTCAAGTGACCTTATATTAACTAAGATATTATACTTACAGAGTTAGTTCTGATATCAGGGCATTCATGAAGCATAGGAGATTTCATTCACGTAAAAAATGTCCAGTACTTGATCCCTCTCTGTATGCACTACTGTTGTTACTCAATTTCTGAACCTGTATTTCTTGAATTTTCTGTTTTTTAGTATATGATGGAGGAACCAGTATTAAGCGATCACAGCAGCAACAGTAGTAGTAAAAAAAGTAAAAGCTCTTCTTCTTCCAAACATTCGAGTAAATCAAGTAAAAACAGTTCACCTGTGAATTTGCCTACACGTGACACACCACCTGATATTATACAAACCGATAATACTCTAGCATTAGAAATATTAGAAGATGATCTTACATGTGTAATATGTAAAGGAATGGATGTTGGAGCAAGAAACAGACTTGTTGAATGTTTAGAATGTCATTCTTTGTATCATCAAGAATGTCATGTGCCACATATTTTAGATTCACAAATAGACATTCCAGGATTGGTGTGGTACTGTTCAAATTGTTCTAAATCTCAGGTGTGTGTATTCACCCACATCATAATTTATTTTATTATTTTATGTCATTAGTTTTTTGTTTTATTAAAAAATTTTTAAAAATATAAGTTACTCAATATAGGTATATTTTATTAATTATTAAAATTGTAGGCCTCAAAAGAAAGGAGCTCACCAAAAACAGTGATAGAAAGCAAATCCAAAGAACAAAAGAAATCTAACTCTGGTAAGTTCTCTACATTTAAAACATAAATTGTTTCTAATCTGATTAAAATAATTATGTTTATACAGGTGGGGGAAATAAAGTGACACCAAATATTCATATTATAAGTGCAGACAGAAGATTAAAAGATATGATGAAGAAAGCTAAACAAGACAAACGAAATACAAATGCTACCCCCAATGCAAAGAATTCTTCATCCAATTCACCATCATTGTCTTCAACCAAATCTCAGGAAAAATCATTACTGTACAAAATTAAATCAGGTGTAGAATGAAAGTTTTATCTATACAAATATCAAAATATTATCTTACATTTATACTAGAGACAAGATTCGAACAAATTTTACGACGTTAACTTCATAAAAAGATTATCCACCTAAAAAATATAATCACAATTAATGTTATTAACTTCTATTAGCAGAATCAATATTTAATTGAAGCTAACACGAATGATCTCCGAACAATCTTAATTATATACCTCACAAAGTTTTGAGTATTTACCTTAAATCTAATATTTTTACTTTTTACATTGCTGTAATTTAATTACAGTCAAACAATTTTTTAATTTAATTTGTTACGAGATATAAAAAATATGCGATGTAATTTGATATTGTAATTTTAATTTGTACAAATATATAATTAAATTTCTCTTAAAAATTTCAAAACTAAATAACTTATTGAATGTAAATATAACTAAAATAGGAAGATCATTATGAGAGGATCATGACTATCATAGATTTTTGGAACAAATATTGCAATATCCAGTTCATTTATAATACCAATATATTTTTGCAATTTTTCAAATGCTTATTTGTTTGTCCCTACGTCCCATTGAAAATTTGGCAAGAGTCATTTCGTTCTCAAGTGTTACTTAAAATCTACTTATATGCGAGATGGGGGGTTGAATTCTATTTACACAGGGCTTTTGGTTACATCTACACGCTTACGTTGATAGATACACACTCACCCTAATAACACATGTAAAGCAGCATTTCGCACACTTTTCATTCGTTATTACATACACACATATTACGTGTAAGCTATATAACGAGAAAAGATACATTCAAAATCCATTAGGAGTGAAAATGAGCCCATTTGACATTTTCATACAGGGTTCCCAAGATTGTATTATAGTCAAGATGTTCTTGCAGGGAACAATCATCCCCCCATCGTTTTTTTCCGAAGCTTAACAAAGAATAATCTTAATTCGACATGATGTTCGGATTTGTCTATACTACGAAGCATGACATTACTAATCGACTCGTAAACCGTTAAACATTCCTCAGTTAATTACAATACAATACATACGTTGAATGCAGAATTGACAAGCATTTCAGATGGATGGAGTCAACTGTCGAGCGTACAAAGTATCGAGAAATTCCGCTGTAGCATATTCCTTAATACCATACATAAAATTTAACATACTTTGCCTTTGCAACATATTTAAATTTCAGATTCAAATTAGGTAACATTGTTGATAATTTTAAATAATAAATAATATGTTTTTCCTATTGTATTACATTACAAATACAACAAACAAACTTAGTTTTAATCATTGGCGTAATTAAATATAAATTGATTCAAGGATACATATTTTTTTCCTAAAATGTTTTGGTACAAAAATTTATAAGTACGTAAGGAAAACAGCAGAATTCCGTCGGAATTTGTATGTGCACATATGCCATCGAATTGTGCTCGAACGTATTATGGTATCACTTACATACCATATAAGATATTCTACGTGAAATTCTGAAAATAAACGATTATCGAAGATGTACCACATATTTATCAAGAATTTATCATCAGACAATAGAGACAAGACATATGTTATATTCATATATGTTGTGTGTGCAACTATGTTAGCATACGTCAATCTGTGCTATATATACATTATAAATTAAAAAGTTTTGTATGCCCTTCAACAAATTAATTCTTACATTATGGACGTTGTATAAAGAGATTATCATTTGTCTGTTATGCGACAAATTATCGAATAAAAACGTTTGTTTATAAAAAATACAAGTTAATTTCGCAATTCCAAGAGCTTCGTTATCAACTACGTTTTCACTATTTTCCATACATTCCAATAATACAAAAATACGGATATTAATATTCAATTAATATAATATAAATAATATCTTATGGAGTATATACAATTAACATCCATAATTTAAGGGCCTGCAGTATATATCTGTTCAAATATACACACATATATATTTTTAACAACTAATTCGCTACAATTAAAACCATCGCTCTTTATCGCCAAATTTTTGTTGTACATTTTATACAATAATACAATATAAAGCAATCTAAAAATATATCTGGAAAAAAGTAGCACGTGTACAAATAAAAAAATATTTTCTTTTTAAGTAAAACTTTTATATACCATTTATCTATTTTATTTTGATTGCTAACTCGACAAAATATAAAAATAAAAGTAATTTCAATTTATAATTAACAAAAATTGCACTATTACTTCACTATTTATTTATGTATTAACACTGATGACCGACAAATGTAATTTAAGAATACATGAAAAATAATGTTATGGTTCCCTTTTAGTAGCAGCAGTAACAATGTTCAATATTTTTAACGTTTCACTTTGCTTTGCTATAAATTATTTTAATTATATTCTACGGACGACAAAGCGTGACAGTAACTTAATGATGAAGTTGATAAAAATACGTTTAATATCATTACAACTAAATTACTTTAATATAACACGAATGTTTGTGCAAAATGAGATTCAAAGTATCAGACTTATAAAAGTAGGTTTGTTATAATGTCAATTAATAAGATTTGAATACAAAATTATTTTTATAATTACATTTTGGAAGACTACATCTATACAATGAAAATGAATGTAAGCTTAATGTGAATACTATCTACAAGAATGTTCTACTTCATATATTTATTTAAAAAAGAAAATGTACTACTTGCATAAACAATTGTTTCTAATAGTTGTATCGCACTCTACAATATAAAGTAGAGGAAGAATATATAATATAATTGGAAATATGATTACTATTTTTATATTCAGTTTTTATACAACAATGAGTATCTTGCATGTCATGTTTCAATGTGAAGTATTAATCTTCTGTAGAAATTTTCAGAAAATTATTTTAAGAATTTTGTCATATGTCGCTTAAATTATAAAGCAAAATGATTCCTATATTTTTATGATAAATAAAAATATTCAACAAATAAGAATACTTGACAAAATAATCTTCTGTCACTTACAGTACGCACGTTTTAATTCAATGTACAAGATAGTAAACGCATATTAAATAAGTGTCTAGAACATTTCAGAAAATAAAAAATGACAACAGAATAAAGATATAAAATAGTCAGATCTCATGGATGCTTAAATGAAGTCACTTGTTCATTCTGTTGCCATTCGTTCCATATTCACAACTAACATTTTGCATTTTGGAACGGTGTGGTGTGTGTAAAATTAAGCTATCATTATTTAGTTTGTGAAAATGTAACGTTACATTTTCCTTTGTTCTACGTGGACAGGAAACTGAATAAAAAATATAATGTTTCTGGAAAATTGTAAGCACGTAGTATACAAAGTAAACATAAATATGCACACAATTTTTCATATAACATATATGGGAAAAATGCGCTAAATCACATAGAACAGATTGACGTACGACCTTTCGTATATATAATTTGTTTGTCGGTATATAAATAAATATATAATATGTATATATGTATAATAGAAAGATACATAGGTTGTTGATCATAAAAAAAGAAATCTGGGGACATGGTAAAGTAGCTGAAATACACAAGAGTGTTAATTAAGTACAAGAGTGAGCGTGACCCCAGTCTTTCCAGACTTATACGTCGACAAAATTATTAAATAATTTTCTCTGTCGTCAAATTGAATGTTACGTAATAACAGTTTGCTAAAGCACATGAAAAAACTTGGCAGTGTACAGTGGGCAGTGAATTGAACAGTTTAAACACATAATCCGGACAATGTATGTATAAAAAAAAGTAAATGCTCTTGTAAAAATGCAACTTTAAAAATCAGACAGTCTTACACAAACTAAAATGTAATCCCAAGAAAATACTGCTTGTCGTTGTGTCTTGCAAAATGTCTTTCGATGCGTTTAACCATGGTGTTGACCAATTGACAAAACCCTCCGCCAAATATTATTTAGATGCATACAAAACTTTTTACACGTTTTTATCGATTCACTTTTCCTAACAATCAAGACAATTTTCCAAAACCTTTTTTTGTCCATGTATAATATAAAAGATCTTTGTTACTTTTGCATCTATCATGTGTGTTTTATGCTTAACAATATACGATAATAACTATTATTGAACGAGCAATTAATTGATAATCATATCTCTATGGACAATAATACAACTTAGCAATAATAAGAGCAATAATATAGTTTGTAAAATAGTTGTAAAATCATTATATGATTCACGTAGTGGCCTTTAAAAATTATAGCAACAGTCATACTTATACACGAATAAATGTGTAAATAGAAACAGACTAAAAAATTCAATGAAAAAATATGAAAAAAAGAAATTTTCTTTATGTACTGAACATACATAGATAGGCCTAGAGTAGTCCGAGCTGCTCTCGTAATCTTTTTTTAATTCTTCATTTCTTTTCTTTTGTAACATTTTTATTTTAATTACCTTAATTTAATATTATCATCTTTTTCTTTCTTGCTTTTACACACACGCACACACACGCGCTTTAGCTATAACTCTCTCTCTCTCTCTCTCTGAAAGGTTTTTCTACCCCTCAACTTATATTACATATACAGACCCTCTCTAACTAGCTCACTACAGTCCGTGGAGGTGTATGTTGTGTGATCTTTGCTTTATATATTTTTATGTATATATATATATAATATATAACATATTAATAATTATATATCGTAATGAAGATAGTAGGCATAGCCACTCGTGCTCGGATCACAGACTACTCGCTGTCGTACTTTCTTTTGTACAGACAGTCTGATGGACACTATGGCTTCTTCTCACTTAAATTTTACACACATTATTTCTTTCGTGTTATATATGTGTTCCGTATTTACGTATACACGTATAGACATTCGGTCAACAAAGAAATGAAATTGTTAAATTTTTTTTGTAGTAAGTATTTTGCATAAACGTTGCATCTCAAATCCTTAAACATGTATGTGATAAATATTTAACTTTTGTAATAATAAATAATCACTCGTCGACGAGATTCTACCAATGAGATTCTTATTATCTTTTTCTTATATTTTACTATAATTTACATTTCATTCCCCACACATATATACGTATATATACACATTAAATGTATATACGTATATATACATAAAATGAACGAAATATATTACCAAAAGAAAACACAGATCAAGTTTAAGGGTTAGAGTCGCATTTTATCAATTTGCTAATATCTGTACGTGTGCACGAGCGTATTTCGATACGGCCATGACATATAGACGCAAAAAACTACACCAGGACTAACTTATCCTGAAAAAACTATCGCCTGACTAGCCTTAACGAAATCGCACGTATTTACGGCATTATTATTCACATGGTGTGTAGATTTGTACATATGTAACGAGGTGTATCTGATGCATGAAATGGAGGCACTAGTCTGTGTTTCTGGAGAGATTGACGGGTCCTGGGATGGCAATGAGAAGGTTGTGTCAGCAGGCACTAGTTTCTTCTCCTTCGAGCGTGCACGCTACATTTTCTAGCCTATGTGCTAGATGTAATTTGCGACAGCCTGCGTCTGTCTCCAAGGCCTCTAGGATCTGAAAATATTCATTAACTCAATTAATAAACTCGCTAAAAACATTCATTGAGACTATGAAATAGATTAAAGTGCCAATCATTGTATATAGTTCACTAGTGATAGGTAGCTCACCAAAGAGCTCATGAGTACTGGCGTGCACGTCTAGAGCTTAGAATTTAAAAACTTAGGAATCTAGGAATTTGGAAATCTGGGATTGGAAAAAGCCTAGAAAGTATAATGCAGTTGCTCATCATTATCCTATTATCCAAAAGAAATAATTGTAATGTTATGAGAAAAAAATTGTAAATAAAAAATGACATTCATATTGTAAACTTACTTGTTCATAATACTTGCTGACGTAGATGTAAAGTTCTTTTAGTGCTGCGATCACATCAAACTCATTTGCGTGCGATGCACTTAGCTGTTGCATGGCACTAGACATTTCTTGATCAGTGATTTGTGGCAGTCTTTGTACATCCGTGTAAAAACGACCCACTTTCTCCCGATAGTGCGGTATGTCCTTGGCAAACAGTAACTTGTTAGAGGGTGAATCTTTCCCTAGCCTATGCTCTGTCATTGAACAAGAGTCCATAAAGGTTTGTGCTATCACGGATAAACTCGAATCAACCGTTGTAGATTTATTAATATCAAACATGAAGTCCGGATTCTTAATAAAATTCACCCAAAATCTAAGCGGTAAACTATTTGACTTCCAGGCGTGGGGCACTTCAGGGTCTACGATGCCATGTTGCTTGGCAGCATCGTCAAGAAGATCGAATAACCATTTTACAGCACTGGGCAATGCTTCGTTCGCAGTTAATATCGTGTTCAAGAAATCATCAACAAACTTTTGAACTGTACCCTTTGTTGATAATAATCTTGTCAAAAATATTTCAGGAATGGCTTTATGCGTTCGTTCTGGATGATGATGCTTGCTACCAGTGAAACCCATTCCTGGTGGGTAATGGCTATCTTCTATAGGCCTTACTAAATGATATAGTCGTTGATTACCTCCATGGCCACTCTCAACGTCACCATTAGCTGTTATAATCGGTGGCGAGTGTTGAGATTCAAAATACAAACCACTGACAGGATGATTGTACATTACAGGACTTATTAGATTGTGATTAGGCGTGGATGGAAGATGCGTGGACGAACAGTGATTCGCGTGTCGATGCAAATGATGGTGATGAGGATGATGATGAATTGACTGTTGCTGATGATGGTAGTGTGACGGCTTGCAGTTGTGACACGGTGGTTTACAAGCGACAGAGAACCCATCGTTCTGTCTAGGAATCAACGACATCACCGCTGATTCCTTAACACCATAATGCGCTAAAGTATTGATTTTTTTCCATTCACCGCTACATTTGGTTGTGAGATCTTCATCTTGAAGTGTCAGGTGACCACCTCTACCGTGTCTCCATTCCAAGTCTACGTCATGAACGGACGGCCTTAGTGAGAAAGGAGTATTTTTGTAAAGTGCGTCCAAGATTTTGGACTTGACTTGATTAATAGTATCACAATCTAACACTTTGCATTGTATCTTCTCGTCAAGATCATCCTGGACGACGTGTAAAGTGACGACACTGTGTTCGATCTGTTCTCGGAGCAGTCTCTCCTCAGACAACGAGTATCTCGCGTCGTGCGTTATCACGTCCACAGGGCCTTTTTCTATTTGATGCTTTATTGCCTTGAACAATAAAAACAGAGAGGAACCTGCGTAGTCTTTCAGATAATTGTACATACAAAGTGCCATCCAATTTGTTAACATCTTTTCCACTACAGACTCTGTTCTCCTCAGCATCAGCTGAGGGTGTTTAGTGTTCACCGCCTTTTCAATTAGTCTGAGTAAAAGGTTCATGAGTATATCAGTCGCGTATTCCATCTTACCCATCAAAACAACCATGAGTAAAGATGCAACGTTTACTTTATCTCTAATGTTAAAGTCTTTTTGAGCCTCTAAAGTTTCGATAAATGTTAATACGAAGTACTTATTGTTAATAAGTTGTTCGAACTGGATCATGGCTGCGTCATAATTCGTTCGAGACACGTTACTGCGCGATCTGGGATCGTTTAATATCGGATGATGCGTCACACCAGGAAAAAATACTTTCATAATGTAGTTTTTGTGGTCGAGAGTCGGAATACCGGACGATTCCAAATCCGCGGTTAAATCAGTCATGTCAGTCTGTAACTCGGCGAATGCCTGTTTGCATTCCATCCTAACGTTGCTTTCAAGCGTATCCATTTGTATTTGTATTCGTTTGTACTCTCTTTCCGCTTGCGTGCTTTTTCTTCTATATATTATTAATACCAAAACGAACAGAAATACCAGACCAAATGTTCCAGCGGCGATTCCAGCGATTGCTTCCGGTGGTATCGGATAAGACTTAATCACATCGTAACGCAAATAACCAATGGGAAATCTTAAGCTTCTTCCCACCCGTACAACTACCAGTGGCAAACCATTCTCAGTTTTGATTCCAAGTTCATCCGTATCAGCTGGTTGTTGATCCGGAGGTATACAAACTAGCTGGGTCGAAGCAAGAGAAGTTACGTTACAGGGCATCGCGCCGACCGTGACGTTGACGTCAGACTCATCGCTGGCAAAAATCAAATTTTCTCCCTCGATAACTAAAGTATCACCTTTATACAATTTTACGTTTCGTGGAAATGCAAAGAATTTTGGATCCTCGACGTAGAGTAATCGGTATCTAAGATTCTGAAAATGCTTCTCCAAGTCTCGAACGCTTTCCACGTTGTCCATGATGAACGCGATCTTTAAAGATAATTTGGATTCTTTTAACTTCAATGACTGTGGCAAATTAGTCTGACCACTAACAATGGCACGCTCGCTGCGTCGAAGAGTCATGAAACGTTTAGCGATGCTAGGACTTGGACATTCCATCTGTGTTGGATTCAATACGGTGCAAACAGTCCGATTTACTGGTAATGGTTCGTTATCAAAATAAACTTCCATCTCAGGTTTCTGAATGGTGTCTAAGTTGGTACCATGGACGGTGATCATGCGGCCACCAGAAGCGAAGCTTGTTAGTGGTTTAATCTCCATAATGGTAGGATCGTGGGTGTAATTGTAAGGATTACCCTCTAAAGTACGGTTTGCACCGTCAATGCTGAGAGTCAGTCTCTCGATTTTTCTCACTCGATCGGATTTACTGGTCACGCAGGTCAGTCTGGTGCTGCTTGCTTGCGTTGCATTTACGTGACATGGCAATTCATCCAGATAAGCTGAGATGGTACTACCAATGTTCAAGTACATTCCAGTAATAGCAAGTTGTGTACCACCACTTTGAGGTCCAACCGACGGGTAAACACCGGCCAGTCGTATGTCTTTGTAATTGAATAATACAGCACTTTCTGTGTAGCCAGCATCGTTGCCAACCACGACAGAGGCAGTGTCGGTAGCCTCGTGCCGCCCAGTGCGACAAACTATGCGAACAGATACTTCGTAGTCTACCAAAGTGCACGGAGTGTTACCAATGTGTATCTTTCCTTCCACGTCGCTCTCCTTCAAGCCTAAGTTACTGCCTTCGATGGTTACCAATGTACCACCTTCAATTGGTCCACTGAGAGGTTTTATCATATCTATTCTTGGTTTTGGACATTCTGTGAATGGTGAATGCAAGCAAGAATGTCGGTATACGCAACTGTTGCCACACCAAGTACATTCGAATCGGGCGTCTCTTGTCACACAAAGAGAACAATCTGCGTGTTCACGATGTGAGCCTAGTACTTCGCACTTGTAAAGCATAATTGTTGTTTTATCTACGTGATGATTGATGTTCCACACAACCGTTACCTCTGCTTCGTATTCACCGGTAATTGCTTCATACGAATAAACAGTTTTATCACAAACTATGAAGCGACTGCTGTCGACACGAGCTTGTACTTTCAAATTTGCACCCTCGATCGAAACGATACATTGAAAACCACTGTGTCCCACTTGTGGATGCGGCAGATTTTCAACTTCAAGCACTATTTCTTTAGGTACACTATTGGGCAACATCAGGGGTTCCTTACGTTGTACGAATCTTGGACAGTATTGTGCTCCGTGTGCAGCAAGAGTTGCTTGATTCTGTGAATTGAAAAATTTTGTTTAACATTTACAAACATAAGCTCCAAGCTTAAGATTATTAGAACACTTACATTTTCCCCCGAAATAATACCCTGACAGCTTGCATTATGTGTACATTTGTTGTCGTATACACACCAACTACATGCCCATTGTGACTTAACACATTCTGTGCACACAGTATGTCTGGAGCAATCAAAAAATGCAAAGTTGCGCGAAACGAAATCTTTGTTTGTTTCACTGGAACGTACAGATAGTGGTACTAAAACGTGATCAGCCCCATCTGGTATACTTGGTCTTTCAATAACAGGGGGTGTAGGACATGATAATCCAAATCCAGTCATTAATGCGTCTATAGGTTCTGCACTTCCAAAGACGCATTTATAATTGGCACCTGCTGGTAATTCAGGTAGAGTTCTGATCGTTAAATGAACAGTTGTCATTTGGTTGATAGGCATACGATCAGGAAGCACCTGTTCAAAGTCAATACACTGTTGTCCTGTGCCTAAAGATAACCATCGTGGACTACTGTGACTTGCTTTCTGACAATCTCCTCTAACAGTACATCTGAAAATACATATTTGAATTGTAAATGATTTCTAACAGTTATATGTACTGAAAAAAATACAAGATATTTATTTACCTTTTCTCTAATGAACACCATCCACAATAAGGATCTTTTGCATCAAGACAACTGCTACAGTTGGTATAACTGCTACAATGTTCAACTTGAACCTTTGAAATTTTAGAAGTTGACAAAACATAAATATATTCTCCATCTGGTGAAATTAAACTGTCAGGCATCAATTTATTTCCTTTATCAATTACAATGCTTTCATAAACAAATGCTTCAGTTCCAGAAAGTAAAACTTTTTTAAGAACTCCATCATTAGTGCCCAAAAATGCTACTGTATGGCCTTCTGTATTAGCTATTGTTACAGAAGTAACAAATTCGTCAGGAAAATGTAAAATTGCTTGTCCAACAATTGGTGACATTCCAGAGATTTTCAAACCCACTTCGCAGAAGTTTAAAATATTGCCTGTTGTCTGATTTAAAAATAAGAACAGAATTAAAGAAATACATCATAAGAAATATAAATTATCACAAAAAATAATAATCTTTTTAAACTTACTCCTGCTGTTGGACATTTCCCATCTTGTATAGGACCACTGACATAACCCATGTTTCTATATTTGGTACTACCATTAAAACACATATGGATATTTTCATTAAATTTCGTTTCAATTTCTTGCAAACTGTATACACAAAGTGCCGAACGAGATGCTGGTTCGTTCGTGATACCTCTACTTGGTGAAAATACAGAGACAAATACAGGATCACCAACAGAAATACCCAGTTGCATGGCCAAATCACTACCAGCTGGTGCTACTTTTGCATCTTGCACCAAATTATAAAACTGTGTTTTTCCATCACCTAAGTCAACAGTACATTGTAATGTAACTTCAGTATAACTATCATAATTTGCGTCACTTATGCAGCTTCGAGCCAATCTAGAGATATAACCCAGTTCCTCTTGTTCAGGAAGATAAGATTGTTTTTGTACCAATACAAAATATGCATAATCACTGGCATTAAAACCATATACATATTTAACTAAAAAATGGTCTCTGTATTTAACATCAATGTACACAATTGGTTGTTTGTTAAAAGTATATTCTGCAAACTCTAAATTGTGAAGATTTCTACTGGAAATGGCAGGCACATCATGCCTATAGTCTCCTCTATTAGTAAATGTAGTACCAACATAAAGGATGTTAGTTTGTCCCCATGCATTATATTTTTCAGGTCCAATAAAAGCATATGTAGAGGAATTTTCATCATTTGCTGCTACACTATGAGGAATGAATTCTGGTTTAATAGATATGTTTGACATTTTGTACTTTTCACAAGCACCTTGAAGAAGAGAACCACATGCAATTAGCGTTTGTGATTCAAGATCAGCTATTAACAATTTGTTGACATTATCCATTAAAGATGTAGTTATTTCTCTAGAAGGGCAGCCTGTTGCATGACACTGAGGATTATCCAGTCTTGGCCCTAAAATTATGATGAATAATTATTTTTAAAAGATTTTTAAGAAATACAATGTAAATTTATAAAACATTACTAACCCGTGGAAACATATTCCTCCAGTTTAAGATTGGAATCTAATTGTAAAAGTCTGTTGATGGCACCTGCATACAACCGTCCTGTGGCAGGATCTATGGTAAGGTGATTAAATCGGAGAGCACCTTCTCTCGTTGTATTTGGATCTAAAGGATAAAATCCATATCGTTGACTATCTCCTGCAGGAAATTGTGTCACAATGTGCAGAGATTTGTTCTCTTGTACAGGTGGAGTAGTACTAGCAGGTGTATCTATTGCTGCAGTTACTAGTACCACCAGAAACCAGGTGGCAATAGACATGGATGAAAAGGATAATTGATGGAGTGGTAGCAGCAGTTTAGGAAATGACACAGTAGGTGAAGTGGGAAATGATAATAGTCCCAAGAATCTCATGATGTGTAGACAATAGTTGACAAAGCACATGCACACACACTATGTGTGCGCGTTTGTGCGTGCGTAAGTCTAGGGTAGGAAGCGTAGAAAGTATAATAAGGGTACGAATCCCACTGGTAGAAGGCTAGTGTTGACACAGTACTACCAGCTATATGTGTATCCAGGCACCGACATGATGCTCATTGTCTGGTACCTCTGAAACATATAAAAACAACATATAAATAAATATTCAAACAAATACAGATTTAGAAAAAATGTTTTACCATAAGCATAAGAAACATGACTTCACTTATAAGATTAAAACTTAAAAATTCAAGTTTTTTAAATTTTATTTTGTCTATAGAACTTTTGTTATTTATTAAGTATAACAATTTAATTTAGAAGAATGTACCACTGTGTCATAAGATAAAAAATTATAAAAAGAAACAAAAGAAAAAAGTAACCATATATCCGTAAAAATTTTTAATATTAATAAATGCTGTTTTTATTTATCTACATGCTGATGTAATGAAGTATTTATGGAATTATATCTATTCACTGACTAAAGTGATTAACTAGTGTTTTTCAATTCTTTTTATACTTTGTCAAGTCAAGTCAATGTCAAGTATTTGATAACAAGTATATCAGTAAAAAAACAATGTGAAAAACAGTTTTGTTTTATGGACTTGATTACTTTGGCAAATGAGTAGTTCAAACAACAAAATGCAAGACCTGTAATGAAAAATATTTTTACGAAAAATGTTCTGCAGTTATGCCTCACAATGTACTTTATCAGAATTGTATGTGGGCAAATATAAACAGCATTTATTAATACTTATTTATGATTTATATGAGTATATAAATACATCTGCTGTCTACCGCATGCTTTTTTTCATTAAACAGAACGCAAATAATTAAATACAGATAAACAGTTTCAACAGTGTTAGAGGAAAATGTGAAAATGTAAATAATGTATCACTGACCGATTTCATTACTAAAACATCTCGTCGACGATGTCAGGCTAGGGCAGATGGCTCCACACTTTTTGAGTAACGCCGTTGCACGCACCGCCCTTCATTAGTGTGAGCAGCATAGCTGCACTTGACAGCTACGATCTGAGTCTTCGTATAAAGGCAAAGATATTTAACTCCTTACTAATAATTGTTCAACAAAACACGTCCGACCAATAACTTAAATCGTTTTCATAAAATACTCGTCGATTCATAGATGCTCCCTTCGCGATAACGTATTTACGGGCAATTAATTAAAAAGAGAAAGAATTATCTTTCGAGATGAAAAAACTCGTATTTGATTCACTCGTTCCAATATGATCATTAGTCAACTCGTATAACTTTCGCTTTTTTCATGTACGTTGCTGCATATTTTTTAATTAAAATAAAAATACGAACACTTTGATTTGTCACTTACAATTGCTGTTTTCACAAAGGAGCCAAAGCATAAAACACGACTTCACGATGGAATGTTCGTACGCGAGAGTCGCTACGACACATCGCGGATATATGCACTATGTCCTTGATACGAGCTTCGATACAGTCTTCAGACGATGGAACACTCAACTATACAACGCTCGAGATTCGCTAAAGCTTGATATTGTTCCCTTGGATAACGTGTAAAGAATAGAAAATACTGTCCGTCACTTTACAATAACATTAAACGAGGAGGAATCGGAATGAGCCGCCATTAAAATTCGACCGACAGCGACAGGCTGCACGAGTTTAGAGCAAGTTGGGGGCCGTGGCTACGGCATGCGCCGCTTGTTCATTATCTTTTTCTCTCTCTTGCTCTCAACCGTACTTTTCCCACGGTTCAGTGTCTCTCCTTGACTAGTTCTATCACTCTTACCTCCTAACTTTCCTTTTCTTTCTCCCTGATATATAGATATACTTAGAAACCACGAATGGTGCGTCCTCCTGCGGCTAAATACTAATACTTCTTCAATAGCAAAATGCGAAAGTATCTGCTGGGACTCGGAACTTATTGAAATGGCTTAGTTTGAACAGAGGAAAATATGTACATATATATGCAATATATATGTATTTACATATATATGCAACAATATATTTAGGTATAGATTGAGCGAACTAACATTTATTCTGATTCGTTTCGAAACTTTGAAATTATTCAATATATCAAATATTAAATGTGAACAAATGCACACTCGTCAAATCGACAGGTTTTACTTCGATATGATTGGTATTATTTTAATAATAACAAGATGCTTACAGTGAAATTTGACTCATAACTTTATTGGGTACAGCACCTCCGACGTTTTTCATTTCTTCTCATAGCTTTCAGTGACGCTTAATTCTCGTTACACCTTACAAGCTTCGATGTAGATGGTACATATTTTTGTTTTCTTTTCTTCTCTTTTGTACTCACATTTTTTTTATATACTGCACAAATAAAAACCCTTTCTTGATTATTTCTTTGCAAATCGACTGGTTAAGTAGTCAAGTCCAAAGTGACTCTTATGTGTCACAATTTATTATTGTAAATATCATGTTATTTACACATATACCTAGGTTTGAAAACAGCTTTATAACGTTCTTTTTTGTTTTTTTTTTTCTTTTAATATTTATAGAGAGGGCTTGAATTTTTGGCTGAAGTATCTTTCATTTTACATGTAACAAATACAATAGGTAAGTAATATAGTGGGTCATAATTAAGAACATGATGCTCGACGTACAACGTAACTACGCAAGACTGGAATCATCCTATCTACCCTCTCAACGTGTCTCAATCGCTCTCTTAAACTTGTTATACAATATATATGTAAAGCTGTATATCAATATTTCTAATATTCACTTAAATGTTAACTTCTTACAGACCGGTTACATCTTTGAAAGGAAAAATCTCTACGTACTTCTATATAAGCCAAACTTAGCATTCCTAAGTAGACACTTTATAATATCAGAGATATTTTTTTCTTGGATAGAAATACACGCTTTTTTAAAAGTCTCTTACGTTTTATGTTCGACAGGCAACAATTTGTCGATTACAAGGAAGGCTTCTCCAAACACCGTATAAAAATTATAAAACAGAAAGAATGTTTAAAATTTACCATCTAACAAGTTATTATACACGTGTGTTTATAAGAGTCGGTGCTATGGTCAGCCTCCTTAGGCCTTCAATATACGACATCAAAATTAAAATCGAGGCGAATAGCCTCTTCATTGTTCTTTGCATAAGTGGAATTTTTATTTCCATTCGTAAGGGTGTATCACTCAGATTTCAACTTGGAACTACCTCGTGTTAAATGAATTTTTGATATTACATTCCTGCTGGTCCGCTTAACGTCAGCCACTTTCTATATCAAAGTTCACAATTATTTAACAAGTCCATTAATATCCAGCATCGTTCTTATTACTGTCAATTTATGAACTAGTTACGGGCAAACTGAGTTATTAAAAGTACAAAAAAGGACCATGATCTACATTTTTATACCATGCGATTTCTTATGTTAATAGGGCGTCCGCGTTAAGTTGTTACAGTCTTGTCATTTTTTACGCAATAAAAATGCAAAATAATTATTCGTATAGAAGATGTGTGATGAGGCAAATATATTCACGAAAGATATCTATTCTTTATCTTATGAAATATTAAAAATAAATTCATTTTTTGAAATGGAATTATGTATATATATTTGACAAGCATTTGGTATATTTTTTCTTAAATAGTTCCTGAAACTTACAAGTTTATTATTTTGAAATTATCAATGGTGGTCTTATTTTTACCTAAGTACCATGTGTTATATATTGTCTCTTCAACCAAATATGAGTCTGCGCCAGGAATGGCAGACCCAAACGTTGACCGCCATCGGTACTTTCTATTCGTACGGATCTTCTTCCGCTGTAAATCAATAAACTTGTAAGCACAGTATCAATATATCATACATGATTAAATTCATCTTCAAGCACTTTGAACTGGAAAAAATATATAGTTCTAACAACATAAAAAAATTTGTTTCCGTCAATATATTTGCCCCTTTTTACCATACAGCTTTCATATAAACAATTGTTTGTATCTTCGGTTCTTAAGAAATAACGGAACTGTAACAACTTAGCATAGACATCCTGTGTATTAATGTGCCGATGTAGGAGCGCGTGCGAGCGCTACAATTTACTTAGATAAATTACGTATCTCATTTTGCAAGGGTTTACTGTATTATGCATTAATAACGTTGTCACTGACGCAAAAATATCGATAGTAATATTTTTAGTATTGTAATTTTATCTGTGGTAGCAGTACTGATTGTGGTGGTAATGGTGGGATACTGTGTAGACGATGAGCGAAATCACCTATCCCAATGAAGGGAAGTCGTTTTCATCATCTACTTTGGGAGCGTTCTGGCGTCCTCGGGGTGACCTTTGCTCAGACTGTATAGCCTGCAGTTCAAAAATATATTAATTAATTTTATTGTACCACAAAAATGCAAACATAAGAATTTACAAACACGTTGTAGTTTATAAATACTTACCGGACCACGTGTGTCTCCATCTCGAGGAGCACCACGATTTCCAAATCCACGTCCATTAGCACGATCCCCACGACCTCGTCCTCGACCACGTCCACCAGAACCGCGCCGGTAATCACTGAACTGAATCTCAATGCCTATTACGTGTTTCTGCCTTCCAACGCGCTGAGGATATTCTGCTGCAGCATCATATTCTTCCTCTTCTTCTTCCTCCTCTTCGGCTCCTTCTTTCTTTCTTTCAAGCGCGTACATTTTCTTCCAGCGAGACAAATCTTCACCTTCTCCGGCCTTGCGTAAATTGTATTGAGGCTTTACTCTGTTATTACGTAGTGCTTTCCATTCGTCTAATGTTATTTCACGTGATTCTTCCTCAACCGGCTTTTCTTCTGTTGCATCTGCAGTGGTCTCACCTTCCTTTGCTTCTGTAGATGTTTGAGTAGTATCTGCATCAGGTTTCTCAGTAGCCCAATCTTGATTCTCTTGATTCAGACCCTCCCTAAACATAGATTAAAATATTAATTTTTTTAGTTCTTTTCATTGATCCCCGTTATTCCACTTTCATTGTGAGAACTACTTACTCAATTTCATCATTGTGGGTACCCCAATTATGGCTACCAGCACCATCCTTTTTGTCCACGGGTTTAATTCCGCTGTTTAAACAATGTTAAGTTTAACAATGGGTATATTCGTAACATATTAAAATTACAAGTCAAATTAGGTAATTGAAAACTACGTTTTATCTGAACCAGACTGCCGATCAAATTCACGTTTTCCGCGATAATCATATCCTCCGCGACCACGTGGACCTCCACGTGTTCGTGCCATTCCACGCATTCCGCCACGGTTTCTGCGTTCTCCATATTCTCCACGTTGAGTGTCATTAGAATTTCGAAATTCACGTGTTTCACGTCCCTCGCTAAAATTTGCAGCAAATTATATTGTTCACTTATAAAACAGTTGCAGATGTTTATGCAAAGTGGTACATGATTGTACCACTGATGCTATATAAAAATATTTGTTTATTGTTATTAGTATAATTAGATACTATATAATTATAAAAGTTTAAAAATACTCATTTTACAAAATTGAAAAAAATCATATTATAAAAGCTTAAATAATTTGCACATCTTTTTATACAAACCCAGGAGGTCCTCGTCTTAATTCTCCCTGACCCCGAGGTGTTCTTTCACCATCTTCACGATTACGTCTGTTGTTACGTTCCTCTCTGCTTTCTGCAGAAAATTTCACATTACGATCTCCACCTCCAGTTCTCGCTTGTGGTGGCTTCTTCTCAGCTGTAATAGAACAGAGAAAAAATCGCTAATGTCAGCTAACTTAAAAATAATATATTACATTTTTTTGTGTACTGTAAGTATATAATACATAACTGTAAGTGAAACAAAAATATTATGTTCTTAACTTATTTTAAATTTGATTTACACATGTATTAGACATATTCATTATAAACACATAATTTTAAGGCAACATGTTGATTATTTCCATAAAAAATAAAATAAAAATGTTGATATATGTGTATATATATGTATGTATATATATGATTAAACAAAATGTAGGATCTTTCCATTACTGAATGATTACTAAGTTTATGTATAATTACAAACAATTTTAGCGAATTATCAAGTAAAATTTTACTGTGATTCCTTATTAAATGACACGTCAGGCCACCATCGATAAATTCTATTTTTAAAATACGAAAAGAATACCTATAAGTATAAAAAATAACGAAGATAAAAAATACAAAAAGATATGGCCATTAAAGCGATAATTTCTGTATAAATAGTTTACTTTGTACAAATATCATCGTTTAAACAAATAAATTCGTTGATATGATAATTGATTGAAGCGAAAACTTGCTCAACGTGCGGCAAAATATCAAAAGCACATGGACCCACGAGGAGTACAGAGCGACGGCCATAATACCGCGCACGAGGCGAGATTGCAACGAAAAATTACTAACCTTGATCTTTCTTCGAGTCTTGCACCTTAGACGGTTGTTGCTGGGCATCTTTTATCACGCGGGTTTTTTGTGTTTTATTACCGGTTCCCTTTTGCGCATCCGGCTGCTTACTCTTATTCTCCTTCTCCGAGAGCTTCTCCTTTTTCCTAGCTTCTTTCTTTAGTTCCTCTTCTCTCAATTTCTCAAGTGGATCTTCGTCATCACCCAATGCTAACGAGAATTTGTTGGTGACAGTAATGCTGTACATATTTTCCATGATGTCTCTTATCCTCTATTCGACGAGGATCACGCGAAAATTTCACGGCTACTCTTGAGCCCTTGTGTAACAGAGACATTCAATATTTCAATATGGCTGAGTCGGAGATAGTTCACCACGAGGTCTGTGCTCAGGGAGGGACCGCATAATTGTCTTGCACCCAGCGCGCCACCTCCCCACCAATATTATTTATATGACCAATTTTATACAGTTTCAAGCTGAAAATTGCCGTCTAAATTCGAATTTTTAATTTTGATCACGTTGCATTTTTAAAATAACAAATATACCGTGATAAAGGGACCACATATTTACGGTTGTCGTACCCAAAGAAATCGGCATTATTTCCATGAATTACTTAACGTTAACCGAAGAGATTTTCTTATCTTATATGTTTTATCTTATTGGTTTGTAATAATATTCATATGCGATTGCGCTATTTTTATCGTATATCATATTTCATAGCTCTTTGATTTTAAATGAAAATTACCGCTATTGTATTTCATTTACAGTATATATTATATCATATCATATATATATGTATATTGTAATACGTCGGAATAAAAAGTATCACGTTTCTTTTATATATATACATATATATATGTATAATGTAAATAAACAATATTTTTAAATCTCATAAAATTATATCAATTTCTTTTTAATTACTGATTTCTAATACCTTCTTTTATAACTAATGTATATGTATAATGTATATATATCACATATTCAAGCTGTTAATATATTAATAATAAATTCATTCAACATAACATTAAAAACATATTTTTTCTATTTAAAAATCAGAAGCTTTTCAATTGATTATAGACCTTTTAATATCATTATGTGGCATTTTCATGTAGAATATAAAATTGGAGAATCTCACAGGTCGCCAGCCTAGGGGAATACTTAAACACGACTAAACTGATCCTCTATAGTCTGCTTCTACTTTCGTGGTTATATACACGGTAGAGCAAAATAAAAGAACAGTAAGAACCAGTAATGGTGTGACAATGAGCTATGATTAAAGAAATACACTGATTTTTGGCATAACAATCATCAAATTAATGCATGCACGTTGGCAGAGATTATAAAATGCATAGAATAGAAAATGTAAAGATGCGCAGAAAAAACGAGTCTAATTACCCCATTCTCTAGTGGAACAGAGTATACCTTTGCTTTTATTCGTATTTATAATACAGGATTTCTATTATAATTATTTATTTGAATTATACTATAAGTTTATTTCTACATTTTATTACTTGCATTATTTTTTATAAAATAATCAAATTACGCGTTTCCCTCCTCGCACATCTCTGATTGGTTATGTTAATACAAAGAAAAGGATGCGCGCGCACGAGCCCAAGCCGCGTGTAAAAACAGTCGGTAAAACGATGCTAACGGTACGAGACGTAAGACAAACAACTCTATTTTTCACGCATTTCAACAAATAAAAATTCATCTTATAATTGTTTATTTTCACCTAGACCAATTTTAAATAACTTTACGTGAAGATTGTTTGAACGCGTCATATATTCATACACATACATATACATTGTACCGGGTACACTCGTTTTGGCGGTTCACTAGTTGCACGCGGCAGACGGAGCTAGTAAGTACCCAACGTCGGTTTTTAAGCTTGCCGGCAAGGTACAAAGTGAAGTGAAAAACGTGAAATGGAATTGCATACACCAAAACGTGAATTGCGTCCTTTGACGGAGTCGTTGCCATGTAGTCCACCAATGTGCGATAGTATGCTTTACCCGTGGAATTGGGGCGAAGAAACGAGAAACGTAAATCTTAGCCCGGGAAGTTCGTGCTCCTCGCCAGAGTACAGGGATCATAGCGTGGCCACGCGAGCTGGATCTCGTTCACGTTCTGGAGGTTCTGAGAGTCATCGTCGTGGACGGCCAAGAGCAGATGCTCTTTCGAATCTTATGATGCAAGGAAGCACTTCCCCAAGCAGTATAAAATGTACTTTTTGCAGTCGTGTCTTTCCTCGAGAAAAAAGCCTTCAAGCACACTTACGTACTCATACAGGTACGCTTTATTTAAGTTGATACTTCAACATTTGATGCTTTCTACGTAATGAACATATTAATTTAATAGAAGTTTCTGTGAGAAAAGTTGACGCACGTTTTATTTGTAGTTTGTAGAGCCGTATGATTTTAACGGCTCTATTCCGTGCAGTCACATCGTCCCGCCAATCGCCATCATGCGTGCTTTAAATAATTAAATGGCTTGTTTTGTGGCAATGCCTTTGTGTGAATAAAAAGAACTTATATCATTAAACGTAGACGTTAAATTTCTTGTTGCATTGAATGAATTGTTATTCAAATAATATTTATTTAATGGAATAAATTGTTTTTTTTGCGTAATATGTTATTACGTTTGTAGAAGAACGACGCAAAACCTTTTATATATACTTACTCATGGTATTATTTATCGTAATTTATAATAAATGAAGATTATTTATTTAAATAATTGATTTTAGAAATTTTATTCTGCAATTTTTTAATTTTGAGATTTAATAACTGGAATATTAACAATATATATTGATTGTCTATGGTCTATATTTTTCTGGTTTATTATACAAATATTGTCCACTTTTTATAAAATTTACATTTTCATATTCAATAATTGACTCTTCTATGTTTTTTCATGCCACATAAAAATTAAATTTATTGCTACTTTACAAATTTGTTAAAATTAATACTTTTGTTTATAGTATGCCTCCAAATATTTATGTAATGTAATCTTATAGATTATTTATATTGTAACTTAATACTTATCATTGTATTACATATATAAGATAATAAAATGCAATATACAATATATTTATTTCATCTAATATAAAATGCCATTGTATCTTTAAAGTTACTTTGTTTCTAATCACTAAAAATGAATATACAATGTTCCAATAAATTCATAGTTATTAAAATGATTTCAGTTAAAAATTGAATTTGTTGTTAATATACTAATTATTATTTTAGGAGAACGACCATACCCATGTGATTATCCTGGATGCACAAAAGCTTTCACACAATCAGGACAATTAAAGACTCATCAAAGATTGCATACAGGAGAAAAACCTTTTCTATGCACTGAACCTGGCTGTGAAATGAGATTTACACATGCAAACAGACATTGTCCAGATCATCCATATGCTACTCTCACACGTTCTGATGACTTTGTATTGAAACCAGTATCAGAAAATACTGAGTTACCTCACGATGTTACTAGGTGGCTAGAGCGTTATAAAATGTTAAGAGAACGAGAAGACAGGACACCAACAGGGAAAAATGAACGCAAGAAGAAAACATGGAAAAGTAGTTCTGAGAATCACAAAAGAGTTAAATCGAGAAAAGGTCTAATGATGGATGCGGCAGGAGAACAAGAAAATTTAGACTGTAAACCAACCAATCAGCGGTTGTATTGTGGAGAGAGTCAAGACAGCCAAGAAGAGAGTCAGGATGAAGATCCAGTGGAAACATGTACTGCATTACAAACGTCTGAAGATGAGGAAGTATCAACAAAATTGGCAAGTACTCCTTTGAGAAGACCACTGGACAGACTTCAACCAAAGAAAAGGTGGCTACGCGAAGCTTGCTTAGAACAGCAGTTAGCTAAACCTTTAAATTGGGACAATAAAACTACTAATGTACCTACAACCACTTCATTTAAAATTAATAGTAATCAAATACAGTGGAGCCCACCTACCGATAATTCGTCTGTTTTATTAGCTACGTCGTGTTTAAATGAATGTAAAGTAATCGAACTCGCAAAGCCGGAATTAGATTCTTCTTATTCGTCTACACAGCTATCTTGGGATACACCTCCTGATAGCGAATGTTTAGAAACATCGACGAATGAAGATCAAAAGTATACATTCGAGACATCGAATACATTATCTCATAATATCTGGGATGCTTCCCAGCATAATACAAATGATTTTTCAAATCATGCATACAGGATGAAAAATAGAATTAATCACTCATCTAAATTTGATTCTACTGAGTACCCAAGTCATGGGTATTGGAATAATAATTCAGTAAAAGATACATCTAAGCCTTTGCTAAATCAAACTAATGTAAAAATCATTGACTTTGCTCAAAATGAATTAACTAAACAATCTACATTTATAAATTCTCATACCGAAAATGTAACAAGACCAACTGTTCTGATGTTAGCTGGTAGTTTTAATAATAATAACAACAATAACAATAATAATAACAACAATAATAAAGAGAGCTCGTCAAAATTACCATCAATGGATTCTGTATCCGGTTTAAAAGTGGTTGTTGTTAAGCAAGAAAATAACACTATGAAGTTACCGCTTCCAGAAGATAGTCAAAAGTGGTTAGGTGCTTTAGCATTGATGGAATTAGCTAAAAATCAAGAAGAAGCAGGAAAGAGTTTTAGTCTCAAACAGAATAAAGATGAATGTCCTTTAAATTCTGAGTTAAATTATACCCACTTATAGACTGTGATTGTTAATTACTGTAGTTTTGTACCATTTTTGTATGGCGAAATAGAAGAACAAAAGTAAAAATGCATTTTCTTACCATGCTGCAGTTAATATTTGAATCTGTATACACATAAAACATTTGTCGGTTAAAATTATATTTGCTTTTTTTCATCACATAATCAAGTAATACCTATATTTTACAATCTCACTTTTTTGTATTTTCGTGTTCATATCATTATGTTACAATTTGTTTCAATGATCATTTGTTAAAATCTTGCTTCAATGCTGCACATTACAATTTTGTTGTTATGAATGTTAAGAGTGATAAGAGCTTTGGTTTTAACTTATCTTTTCTATTTTCATTATTGTTTAATACAAAGAAGGTATTTTCTTTATTTATACGAACAAAAAGAATTTGCAAATGTATAACAAACTCGTAAAATATAAACATGTAGTATTGTTCTATGTATATTTGTTTGAATTTTACTTTTTGAGCCGATGAAAGGGACAAAATTAAATAGCAAATTATTAATTTATATAAAAAATCAAACATTATGTGTATATGTACAGTGTAAGTTATAAATATTATCTGTGTTTCTATGAAACATATTCCACAAAATAATAAACATGTACTTATTGTACTTTATATTTGCAGCAACACAAATAATATTTGTAATATAAATCTTTGTCTGCATCTTCACTTTCATGTTTAGTGACGTCAATGTTTTAAAGTATTGTATTGATTTACAATATAAATTTTATTTTATACTTTTGATTTCAAATCTGTATACGATAGATCATGAATTAATTTATGTGTAAGAAATTTGATAAGTTCATTTATCTTTTTGCCAAATGTTTTAAGTATTATTTTCTTCTTATGTTTTATTTTTGAATATTCATCTCGCATATTAAATATAATTGAGACAATTTCACATAATAACTGTTAATTCTGCAGCTTACAAACGCCATTTTTCAATGTAATCTTAATAGTTCTTATTTTCCATACTGTGAAATAATTTTTTTTTCTTTGAGATGGAAAAGTGAAAATTTATTTATTGTCGGCCATACTAGATAATGATAAAAATTGTGTGATATTTAGGAATTTAAAAGATTCGAGAAAACTTTGTTTCGAAAACATTTAATGAATTTTGTAAATTATTTAATTGGAACGGATATAGATGTATTTATACTGTGTTATAGCTATAAAAAAAGAAAACTGAAAATGGGTAGAATAAAAATATAAATTTTCGTTTGTAATATCATTAAGTGATTTTAAATCTTACTATTTTTTACTAGATGTGTACATATGTGAAATATTTTAATAAATATTTTCTAAAATTTGAGATCTTGGATTTTCAATACAAAATTACCTTGTTTTTTCTGTAAAACTATTTTTTTATTTTATATTGTCAGTATTATTAAGGTTTAATGACATATTCGTATTACAATTAAAATAATAAAGTGCCTTTTTAATAACTTTCATTATTTTTATTATAAATTAATTCTGGTAGTTTGTAAAATATAAATACTACAATTTTTAAATCTTTAATATACAATGTGAGCAATGTTTGTTATAATATTATCATGTCTCTTTAGACTTTCTGGTTCTCATAGTATGCATCTCCATATTTTTAATATTATTTTTTGTTGAATTCCTTATAATTTTTAATCTCGTAATTTCATTCACTGGCGCTTTTTTTAAATTATCTATTTTATCTATTTTATTAGATTGGCCGAACTTTTCTGTGCTGCTTTCTTCTGTGATTCTACACTGCTTTTGGCACGAAATAGATGCTGATGTTACATTATTCTTATTTGACAAATTAACATTATCTTGTTTGTCATTAATAGCTAAATCTTTAAACAGCGCAATTGCTTGATTAATTTTATTATAATCGCTCGAAGTTAACTGCTTCGAATGTCGCACTCTTCTAGTACATCTTTGTGAAATGATGTTCATTTTATAATTTTCTATTATGTCAATTAATTTTTGTATACTTTTCTCTGTTGCTGGTTCATCCATCTCGTTCACTGTTTTATGTAAATATTCTGAAATATCTGGTATTACTGATGTAACTTTTATAACGATATCTCGTATAGAAACGTTATTGATCTTATGTTCTTTTAACGATAAATTACTTTGTGGTTCTTTTGCATTCTCAGCAGGGTCTAAATATTCCTCATCTAAAATTTTTCTTCTTATCAATTTACTGCGTGATCTTGTTCTTCTTAATTCAGTTGGCGGTGGTGAAGAATTATTATCTTCATCGTCGCTAAAGTTCATGCTGACTTTAGTTAATTTTAAAAGCGGAGGAGTTCGATTACGTTGAAGAGTAATAGGTTTTTTAATTCGAATATTACTATTAACTGGTGTGACACAAATATTCTCTTCCTTTGTTGATTTGTGTACAAATGCACTTATATCAATATCAGCTAAATCAGGAACAGTGAATGCTGTAATAAATAAAATGCAGATTATAGAACTTACAGTTCACAAAAATAATTATTATCATTTCTTCTTTCTACTGTCAATACTTACTTGAAGAGACAGAGCTGTTGACTGATTGCAGGAAACGATGATCAATCAATAGTTCTTTAACAGTCATATAAATTGGATGTCCTATCAGTTTGTACATATCACATATTTGAATCGCTATCGAGATAATATTTAATATTTTTTCTTGTTTCGAGTGTAAATAATTTTTCAAAAAATAAGTAAAATTGATTAGCAGAAGTACATAATCCACACTATAAAAGCGTTCCTGCCAGGAGATGTATTGGTTTTCATTTTTTGAAGTGCGTTTCTCTAGCTTCATTAAATTCTCTTTTATTTTAAACGCACCGTGAAAGTGTTGTAACGATGCTGTAGTATTCTTTTGTAACGCATACAACTGAGCTCGAATGTGCGTGCTTGAAAAGACTAAATACTGATAGGATATGTTTTTACAAATGTAACAATCACACCCTTTATGGCGCATAAATTCAGGTAAGTCGAATACTTTGTTCCTAAGAATTGGCGAAGCATCATTTTGAGGAATGTCTCTAATAGGATCTATCACTTGAACTGGTGTTAACAAAACATTTTCTGACACCATCTTCGTAGATTTAGTATTCATTGATACTTTGAATGTTTCAATATTTAACATATGTTCTAATCCTTGAAGTTTAACTTCGCAGTCACTTAACTGTGAACGTGATAAATCAATGTAGCAAAGTGCTTTTAATATTTCTGCAACTCTAGCTATTGCGCCCAAAGTTTGTGCTGTTTTCAATCGTCGAACTAAATGTGCACCGATCTCTCGAAAAGACAGCAAACTGTTCATTCGTAGAGATAAATTAATAGTTGAAGATAATAATATGTCAAAGCCGAATAAATGTTTGTCTTGATGTCTCCCTGTAAAAGATATTTCATAGTATCAAATTTAAAAAATTTTAGTTACATCAATATGTATGTTTCAAATTACATTTTTTTGTAGAAAGTTCCTCATTCAAATTGACCAGAGTATATAAAGTTTCAACAATATATCGTGTGTATTCTTCATGTTTAATACTTTGTTGGTATAAATAACAATTGTACAAAATTCTATCTAAAATGTACAAATATACAGCTATGTTACGGAAGAAGGAAATTCCTGGAAGTTTTCTGGATTCATTAAGTAATGTTCTGGCTTCAGTATACTACAATGAAACATATTTATATAAAATTTCCATAAAAATTAAAATAATATACGTATTAAAAACTTACCATGTTACATTCAAAGTAAAAGTCTGATAAACTTATCCAAAAAATAGCAACTGCATAAATTATATCTTCATCCTGGGAATCCTTCAATTCATTTGCAAGTTTCTTACCAATGGAAATCCATTCCAGATTAATGTGCCTTACTGATATACTACGCCCAACAACTAACAATAAAAATTAGTTTTTATTTTAATGATTATCTAGAAATTTTAAGTAATAATATTTCAGTATTCATACCATAAATAATTGCATAATTATTTTTTAGCTCAGAAGCTAATGCATACGCAAGATTCCATAAGTTTATTTCACATTCTTGATATCGATGTAAACGGGCATATTCGCCAGCTATTATCAATGTCTTCAGTGTTATCATTGATTCGTAATTATTTGCAATTTCTTTCTATTAATAAAAGAATATTATATAGTACATAATTTACTCATACAGGCATTGAAAACTATATCAGTAACAAGTCATTAAACTTACAATATTTTTCTGAAAACATTTGTTCCATTTTTTTAATGGTTTTTGCAAATACAACAAGAGTTTAGAATCCTCTCTAATATTTATCTTTGTATAAACTGGTACTACATCCCGAGATTCGTTTTCTCCAATTTCTGACATTTTTGGAGCATATAATGCAAATTTTGTATTTTCCATTTCTATTTGAGTTTGTTTGTTCATAGTGTTCAATTGAGTTATAAAAATATAAAATTCTAAATTAGCTAGTAAACTCAAAACATAAGTATTTGATTTAATTTGTTTCAATCTTGAAATAACTTGTTCAAGACATTCTGAAATATCCTCATTATGATCAAAATGTAATAAATGATATGCTAACATTTGCACAGCACGGGCATACTGAATTGGAGTTGCTTTTAGTACTTCCATTTCATTAAGAACTTGATATATGGCACATGAAAGATTAATTTTCGCTTCTTGTAAACCTCCTACTTCTCTTAAACATATTTCAACAAGATCATATTTTGATAATTCAATGGATAATCCTAGTTCTTCCATTTTCGTTTTATCATTCTTTAAACAAGTTATTATAGTCATTTCTACTATTTCTTTGGAAGTTATAGATTTATGTTTTATATTTGCCCACATACGAAATGCTTTTGAATCTGGATCATCATAACTCAATAAAGCATTTAATGCTGTCGATGTCATCGCTTCTCTATACATGCCGTGATTATAATGCACAGAACTTAATCTGTGCAATGTAAAGCATATAGGATTCTGAAGATTAATATAGTGAGATTTTGAATGTATGCCTTCAAACCGTATGATAGAAGAACATAGTAATGAAAATAATGATACACTTTCTTCATAAAAACAGTCAAACATTATGCCTAAATTATAAATTAAAGCACTACATGTGCTCCATAATTGTGACCAACATTTACAGTTATTCTTCATCATTTCATAAATAGCTGCTACATTCTCTTCTAAAAATCTTTGAACAAACATGCAGATATCTTTTGATAAATCGCTTGCTGAGAGTTTGCTGATTACATTGATGCATCGTATTTTAATTACTACTGCATTATATATGTCTCTCTTGATCAGGCAATTTTCACTTTGACAGCTCTTGCACTTCTCTGATATTTGTTCAGTAAAACATACACTTATGCAAGCAATCAGATTCATCATTTGCACTAATATATCATTTTTAAGAAACATCTTTTTCTCTGTTTTTATACATTTTTCCCAGTACATAAAAAGTGTTTCTAATATCTGAACAATGCTAAATGTGGTCCATTTAATAGATCTTTGGTATCCATATTTTTTAACAATTGTCATATAATTATCACTGAAATCTTGAACATTTTTAGCAGTACATTCTTTTAAATATTCAACTGGTCTGAGGAGTATAAGGCACATAGATTCAAATAGTAGAAAACATTGATGACATTCTTCATCTTCCATTAACAATGTTTTAAAATTATTGTTTATAGTATTGAGAAGTTTTGTTACAGACTTTAAGCATTTTTCATTAATATTCTCACATATAATTCTGCTTATTATATGAAACACATGACGACATATAATATATTTTTCATTCATATCTAAAACCAGTTCTATCTGATTCATATATTCAATTATAAATGTATAAAAATCAACAAAGTATGCATTTGGCTCCCTTTTTATAGCTAAAATTTTATCCAAATATGAACTTATCTTCATAAGCAAATATTTTGTGAAATTTTTGTGCGCTATTTGTATCATTTCCAGTTCATACCTTATAATGTTTTTTAAATCATAATAATGTTTAGAGACCGTTGGACTTTTTTGTAGAGCACAAAATGTATTGTTAACAGAGTTATACCATAAATGAGCTATTTTTATCAATACATCATTCATACTATCATGGGAATAACATTCCACTTTTAAATACAAACATATATCAGATGCTTCTTTAAACATATACATAGTCAGTAAACACCTAATTATATGGAACAAACTAGAGACATACTTATTACTATCTGGTACTTCAATTAAAATTGAACACAATAGACAAGTCAATTCATAAAGCTCTCTTCCTATAACTTTATTTTCTTTATCACACTTGTCTGCAGTATGTGACAAATATAATAAAAGTTTGAAAATATGTTTGTTTATTTTTTCACTTAAATTTGTACAAACAACAGCCTGAAAAATTTAAATACAATTACTAAAGTTAATATATAAGTGCAACATCCATGGATTTTAAAATTGAAGTAGAATAAATACAAATACATATTTAATATCAAACATATTACTAACCTGAATATCTTCTGTTACACTTTTTAATTGTTCTTTTTGAATTAATTCTATCCATCTTTTTATTTTTCCCTCTATATTATTCATTTTTGGGGAATATTTAACTTTTTAACGGATTATGTACATACCCAATAAAGCTCTTTTGAAAAGCGTAAATAGATCATTTCACATTCACGCGCTGTAAACATGTCATAAAATAAGAGTATATCACTGTGCATTGTACTTACTATGAAAATACAATAAATCGTGTTTTATTTATTTATTAGGGCTTCAATACAAAATTTTATTTATAAAATAATTATTTCTAAAGTTTCTATTGAAACAATATTTAAATCTAAAGCATTTTGATCACTATTTTTTGAATAGAAGATTATACCCAGTTCGTGAAGCGCAGCAAACTTCAATAGAGTCATAAAGGTAGACTTAGCCCTTCAACATATCTGTATATCTTTGGCTATTCTATGCTTTCTTGTGTATAAGAGGTTCTTTCTAACCTAGGCCAGAGTGACAAGAGCCTAAGAGCATATGTTAATAAGTTGTTTTAAATCAATATCGACTTTTAATTAAAAATGAATTCAAGGACTCAAACAAGAAGAATTCCCGAAGCGGAACCGCGTATAGATTATGTCCAATGCGATGGACTAGTAGTTATGAAAATGGTGAAACATTGTCATGAAGAATCTATGAGTAATATGGATGTTGCTCAAGGTGCTCTTCTTGGTTTAGTCGTTCAAAACCGTCTGGAAATTACAAACTGTTTTCCTTTCCCTAAAAATGATGAAATCATGGATGAGGAAGAATATCAACTTGCTATGATGCGTCGTCTTAGATGGTAAATACTAATTACTTTTAAATTTAACAATGTAAATAATTATATTTCAATATTTTTGCAGGGTTAACGTTGATCATTTCCATGTTGGATGGTATCAAAGTGCAGATGTTGGAAATTTCTTAAATGTATCATTATTAGAATCACAATATCATTATCAAACTTCTATTGAAGAATCAGTAGTACTGATATATGATACAGCTAAATCAGCTAGAGGTTTTCTTACATTGAAAGCTTATAGACTTACCCCACAAGCTATACAGATGTACAAGGAAGGTGAATTCACACCAGAAACATTACGTACTTTGAAGATTGGTTATGAAACTTTATTTATTGAGATTCCAGTTGTAATAAAAAATAGTAATTTAACTAATATAATGATGTCTGAACTTGAGGAAATGATTCCTGAGGAAGAAGGCACCAAATATTTGGACCTTGGAACTGCTACAGTATTAGAGAATCAGTTACGTTGTTTGATGGACCGTGTAGATGAATTGAATCAGGAAGCAATGAAGTTTAATAGGTATCAACAGCTAGTGGTTCGTCAACAACAAGAAAAGAACAGACTTCTAACTAAGAGAGCTCAAGAAAATGCTGCCAGAGCTGCAAAGGATGAGCCTCCACTACCTGATGATGATATTAATAAACTTATAAGGCCATTACCAGTTCCATCTAGGTTGAATCCAATGATTGTAGCTGGACAAATTAATACATACAGTGAACATATTTCACAATTCTGTGCTCAAAGTTTAGCAAAACTATATATCACACAAAGTCTCCAAAATGCAAAAGAATTAAAATCATCTCATTAAAATAATTTTATTTCAATTTTAATATTTGTAATATTAAAAACTGAAAAATAATATTAAAATCCAAATCTTATCAAATGTTTTGTATTTGTATTTTACCCGTAATTTTTTTTATTGTAATAAAAATATAATTTTTCAAAAGAAAAAATCATTTGTTTTTTGCAAGGTATGTAACAATTAATGTATAACTTAAAATAATTTATTTTCGTTTACTGCAATATGTATCTTTTTAAATTATGTAAGCGATATTGCTAATTTCGTTAATATTGTACATACACTCTCGAATAAACGTTAAACGAGTAATACAAGTTAATTTATGGAGGCGGATTCAAAATTCAGGTGCGGATCATAACTTCAAGTGCCCTGTCCTTCCCGTATAACCTTAAACTAATAAAAATGTCTTTAAATTCTCTTTATAAAGTGTTGTTATTTTAATATAGTATTATAAGTATGAACCACATCTATTTTAATTCTTATATTAAAATACTTATCATATAGGAAATGTACTTTCCTGAAATCATGAAAGCGTGTTATGTTTCGCAGCCATTATTAGTTTGAATTTTACATTTATGTGGCAGAGAATCGCACACATGTTAAAGAGCAAATACGTAAATGTCAGTCATTCGGTAAGGCGAATCGGTATAGGTATGTGACCGGGTGCAATCAAACAAGTTGAAGTAGAAACGAAAATCTGCCTTACCAATAGTCAAAATTTCAAATTACTATTATAGTGAATAATAACAATGGAGGGTCACCAGGTATGCAGACAACTGAAAAAACAAATGCTATCGTTGTATCATTGTTAACTATCGTTAAGCTTTACGTTATGACTCATTCTTTTATGTTGCAGTTATTGATACTTCTGCAATGTTTCAATTAAATTTCTTGTAATTTAACGTTTGATTTTTTTTCAGGTAATAGCGCTGTATGACTTTACAGGAGAGGCTGGAACATCAGAGTTGTCTATTACAGCAGGAGAAGTATTAACTGTCATGAGAGATAATGTGGGTGATGGATGGTGTGAAGGTTTTAATCAGAGTGGAAAATCTGGGTTATTTCCAGCAGCATACGTTCAGATTTATGAATCTGCAACAACAGCTTCAAGTATATTGAGTACTTCATTATGTACAGAAACATAAATTATAATTAATTGTAATGATTCAAATAATTCTGGCATTCATATTTTTATAAACACTAGATACTATGACAACATCTCAACAGAGTTCTGGAGATTATTGGGACGATGATTGGGATGACGATTCTGAAGTTGGTCAGACACAGGCGTATGTTCCTCCACAACAACAGCAACAATCGCACATGATACAACTATCTCAGCAACATAGTATTGATTATGGAGATACAGTTTCTTCACAAATTATTCATTCCGTGATACCTGAAAGGCCTATACCTAATATACCAAAGAAAAATAATAAATTTTCTACGTTAATAAAGTCTGGTGAAGATAGCTTTTTATTAGGAATGAGGGTACCAAATGTTCCTGAAAGTGAAAAAATATTTATTGAGGAAATTGATGGAGGACATTGTAGATGGGTTCCAAGAGGGGAATCTTATAATTGTGCAGTAACGTCTCCCAAAAAGGAATCCAAACTAAAGGGTCTTAAAAGTTTCACAGTTTATCAACTTACACCTACGGTATTTATGAACTGCTTAGTTTGCCTATTTTATGCTTATATTAATAGAAGGTAAAATTAATATTAATTTTCTATTGCAGTTTAACAATATTCAAGTTTCAAGAAGATACAAACATTTTGATTGGTTACACGAACGTTTGGAAGAGAAATATTGCTTTATTCCTATTCCACCTTTGCCAGATAAGCAAATATCAGGGAGATATGAAGAACAATTTATTGAACATCGACGTACGCAACTCCAAGAGTTTGTTGATTATGTTTGTAGGCATCCTATACTAGCACGTAGTCGCGTCTGGGAACATTTTATAACTTGTACAGATGAGAAAAAATGGAAAGCTGGAAAAAGGCAAGCCGAAAAGGATGAACTATTAGGTGTAAATTATTTTAATGCTGTTCAATGTCCTGAAACAAATTTGGATGTTATAAAAGTAGAAATTCAGACGGATGCTTTCAGTAGATTCATAAGTGGGTTAGACCCGGTAGTTAAGAATTTTATGGCTATGGCAGTTGACCAAACGAAAAAACATCAAGTTCTCTATAAAAGGGAATTTCAGAAAATTGGTCAGAGCTTTAGTGCGTTAAGTCACGCATTAGAAAGCGACGATAGTAGTCGGGGGAAATTAACTTATGCCCTAAAAGTAACAGGAGATGCTTATAATGATATAGGTAGATTATATGAAGAGCAACCTAAGTTCGATTGGGAACCTCTTTCTGATAAGTTCCATATTTATAGAGGGATTATCAGTAGTTTCCCAGATGTGATAAATATACACAAGGTAATTGCTAGACAACTTCAGTTTGTAATTAGTTTCTAGTTGATGTAATTTTGTAAAAATATTTTTTAATATTTTATTTTTGATATATTTAGACTGCTGTGCAAAAACGAAAAGATTGCGAAAGATTAGTAAGTGAACACAAAATGGAACCGCAACAATTACGAGACCTTTCTCATCGAACAGATATAATAGCGCGGACTGTCCTTGCTGAAGAAACGCATTTTCAAACAGAAAAAGAAATTCATTTAACTCAAGCCATGAAAAATCATCTTGCAGAGCAAATTATGTTCTATCAAAAGATTGTAGATAGATTGCGAGAAGCATTAAATGCTTATGAAAGCTAAAATTGTGTGTAATGTAATGTAAAAATGCTTCATTTACAGTATCATTTAATGCAAAGTATGATATTAAAACGCGATGTTTAGTTTCAAATGTATAAACTATATGAAACGATAGAAAGAACCTGTGCATTAAAATTATATGGTATGTATTCGTATTTAAATCACAAATACGATTACACAATTTCAGATGTATTATGTTTTTAATAACAATAAGCGTTAATCACAGAAGAAGTATATATGAGTTATAAAATGGGGCCAATAATTTGTTCTGAGATATTACCTAGAATCATGCGTATACATAAAAATGTGAATATATTTCCTATGACTACACTTCCTATTTATAATATTTTATGTATTTTTTAAATTATACAATCATGTATTATTGAAGCAGTTAATCAAACAAGAAAAAGTTATGGTCAAAATGAAATAACAATGAAATGCAACTTTCAAAAACCAGATAACATCGACTAAACTGTATTATTAATAATGCATAGTAATATATTGAATGTCTATATTAATGTCAATCATTTATGGCTGCTACATTTTTAAATAAAAAATAATTTTGTAATTTATATTTAATAGAGATTTTTTAATTACGAATATAAATTCAATCATTTATATTTATATATAAATATATCAATAAAATTTTATGATATAAGCTATAATTTAGACAAATTTTAAAGATTGGTAGAAAAAAAATATATATATACACATATATATATATATCATTGCAAACATTGTATGTTATTTTTTATACAATGTAATCTAAATTGTCCTTATGAAGTTGTCATATGTAATTTTTCAGAGTAACTTTTGTTTAATACGCAAAGATAAATTATTTAACATGATTTGTATATTATTGATCCATAATTTAATGATTTACAAAGGCAGCCGCTGTTTATTGATAAATCATTGATATAAAATATAACAATTATGTAAATTTTCTGTTTAGTCTATTGTATGAAAACTAAAACTGTTATGTATTATTAGTTAACAAATTGTAAAATAAGGCATATAATTGTTAATGCATTTAAAATAATTTGTATAAAAGAATAGCTTACTTTTAAGCACAAACGTAATTTTATAAATGTTATCATAATCATTATTATTGTTATAATTTTCATTATCAGTGTTTTTTCCTTTTACGTTTGAAAGGGAATTTCATTAAACGTATATCAAATTAAAGCACAATTATTATTTCATTTACACTGTATATGCATAAGCGATTTAATACCTCTATTATTTTCAATGATCGTTCAACCGAAATCAATTTTTAAAGTTTTTAATAAGAAGTAACTATACTACGATACGATTAATTTAAAAGTTGGATCAGCTATATATATCTTTTTATTCGTTAACATTCCATGAAATAGTAATATCGAACATTTGTTGTTTAGCACCATAATCATGAAATTGAAAAACCTATTAAATTAGAAAGTTCTCAGCTATCTGTTTGCTATACTTCTCTTAATTACAAGCCAGTTCACTTAAATAAAATAATTGTTGTGAAGCGATGCATCTTATAAATTGAACTGTTCCTACTTTCCAAAATATTGATCATATTTCAAAGAAATAAGCAATTTCAATTTGTTTCTTTTTAAGGAATGAATATTATGAATAACATTGGCACTTCAAACTAGTTCAATATAATCTCATCACTAAGACCTTCCGCATAAATGTAATAAATTCATTGTTAACGTCTAGTAGCACTGATTTGCCGCATGATATATAATTTAGTAACGAGATATCTTGATATTTAATCCCCACATGCACAAATTCAAGCATAGCAGTAGCACGGTTTGTGCAATGAGGAAATTACAATAGGAAGTAGTTATTCTTGTAATTGATTAATAAATATATAGGAGCAGTACGTTTAGTAGGCAACAATTAAAATATTTTAATCAACAGCGCATTCTCCCTTCCTAGCTTTCTTTCTTTCTTTCACTCTTTCTTCGCTTTCATTCCATACACACTCTATCAGTCTGATGTTATATTGTTTTCTTCAATAAAACTGCAGTAACAAGTTCTTTTCATTGCTATTTTAAAATCAGCTTATTTTTACAATCACATTTGTAATATTCCTGCCGATATGTTTATTCATGTGGCACGGTTTTTTTGTTTTTTCATCTTCTTTCGTTTCTAAGTACAAGCTAAGCTTCTTTTACTTTTGTCCAGAGTCTAGAACTTTTAAATTACAAGCTCATCGACAACGCACAAATATTTAGCATAAAAAAATGCTTTTTTAGCGAACGCTCCTTATTAGATGACACGATGTTGGCAGTAAAATATTAGTAGAATTCTTTCAATATAACAATATAAATACAAGAAAAAAATAAATCTTGTTTTTCGAATAAAAAGAAATGATACTAAATAATGATTGATCATAGAAAATTAATATTTGCACACTTAAAATTATGTGAATCTTATGGAAACAAAACTTTTTGCAAATATTTATACTTATATAATCCCATCATCGTATCATCCGAGGCACTTTAGAATGGTATATTATTTTGCGCAATGAAAGACCTTTGATCAATTTAAATTTTGATACTACAATGTTTAAATAAAAATAAATGATCGTTACAAGTATCGTAGCATCCTTTGTATGTGCTTCTGTTCTAAATTATTTTTTGAAGAACAATAATATCTATCTTATAATTAATATAATTATTATCAATTTCAAAAATTATTAGGTAACATCCTATGAATCCCTTAATGGTCTTCTTTTTGTTCAATACATATTTACTACACGAATAGTGCCCGGTACACGGACGGATGTCTAACGTCATAGTTCAAAGTGATTATCATGTTTAAAGTTTAAGAGAAAGATAGTAGTTTATAATAAAAGGAGTGCCCGCTCGATAAATAGCAATAATTTTCTCTATCTGAGTACATAACACATTATATTTAGATCCATTGAATGTAATTTAGATTTATTTAAAAGCACGTTTAAAAAGACACGAAAAACATCAAATTTTGTTGATACAATTTTGCGCATCGCTACACAATGGTTTTTTACCCTACACTATAAAACCAGATATTTTAAGTAAAACATTCCAAAACACTAAAAATAATTATCGTGAAAAAATTATTTATACAATCCAATTAAGTGTTTTTTTAATTCTATTTCCAGTTTAAAATTAACATTCATTAGTGATAGTTATATCGACTTATCATTGAGTAAGAGACCACAGTAATATCGTTATCACAAGATCATAGTATTATTGCACTTGTTTGCAATCGTTCGTAAAAAAATAAAGTAATACCACCGAGTACTAAAAGTATTTTCAAATTCTTTTCGTTGAAGTATTTGTTACAATTCAAATACTAAGTACTGTATATAATTAACCGTTTTTCTTCATATTATAAGATACAAATACAAATAGCTGTATTATTTAGTTATTCCCACTGCTTGCAACTTACACAACAATATATAATTGCCATTTCTTACAACAAAATATTAAATACAAACATCTTTGTATCAAATTGATAGTACTTAATTAGACCTTATATTAAAAAACATAATTAATAAAAACAATTTGTACATTCATGTGTATGAATATACATGATAGGTCTATACAAATTTGAAATTCAATATTGAAACAAGAGCAACAGATATAGCTGTCTTTAAAAATGTTATGAAAGTGGCTTTTCATATTTGCATCTTACAAACAGACAAATGGAAAACCGTGTACAAATTATGTACCCTTTTCATAAAATTTCAATGCAACATATTGATAAAAATATCTGCTGAGTAATATATATGTATACATACGATTAGATCTAGACAGTAGAATTCTGATTTGAAGTTCTTAGAATGTATTAATATCACTATGTAACAGAAGGAGTATCTGTATACACAATGTACATTTTGTAATACAGTGCACTGTACATGACTTGCTATAAACATGTTACATTCAGTTATTTTATAAAATAAAATAAATTTTAGTTAACGGTGAACGTAAAGAGCAGCAGTCTCACAACAAAATTCATCATGGCAAGATCTTTGTTCCTTATCAAGAGTAATCTCTTTTATAAAAGCTTGTTTGTCTTTTGTTTTATACTTTTCCAAACACACTACTTCAAAATGTCCATTGTATTATTTTTGAAAAGTACCGGGCAAATAGTAGTATAGCAATTTATGGAATTTGAAACATATTTCTCAGAATACAGTCAGATTTTTTACATCGAAAGAAAAGAATCATCTAAACAACCACTATTCGTTACACCAAACTTTATAAAAGATAAAAACTTGTCGTTGTACTGGTCACATTTTTTTTCTTTACACATTAACAGATTTGATCCAGCAAGATTTTTCTCGTACAATGAAATTGTTTAATTTCAATAAATTCAGTTACATCTTACTTGATCAAATCAATATCGTTAACGCATCGTCGTAAACTTCTATTAACGACTACAGATTAGATTCTATCGTGAATATGTACCAACACAGTGAAGATCTATTTATAACTTTGTTCGAATAAAGCTTGCAAAACAAGGTGGGAGGCGATAAACGAAAAAATTCGGAAAATCGCCTTATATCGTGCGGGCTGTTTATACATATACGTAGTTGGTAATGTACATAATCAGTGGTAACCGTGTCACAGGGAACCACAACAGAACAGATTAGCCTGGAATCTATACAAACCCTTGTCAAGTTAAATAATATTCGGCAAGGGTATAGTTGCAACCCGGCAACCCTTTATACGTTTCATAGAAGAAAGTTTAGCGGCGCAACTCAGCTTTTCTTATACTTTCTTTGCTTTCTAAGATACGATACGTTCGTTTGAAAAAGTGTAGACAGAGCAGTGTGTGTGCTACCCCACAGCTTGAAGCGTTTGTTGCGTAAGTATAACGGTGAATTTGGACTGATCGGAATGGGAGGAGGATTTGAAGCCACCAAGCTTGACACGGGCATTGGTGGCTCGCATGTTTGCTTCAATTGAGATTGATCTGAGGCTCCACTGATCTGGGTTGATGACTGGGGTTGGATTGCGATTGATCGGGGTATGGCGTAGGGTTGCCGCTGGAGGGGCCTGTTGATCCTGGGCCCTGCTGCTGCTGGCCGCTGCTGAGCGCCAGTCGTTGCATTTGACGTATGACCGTGGCTGCGTGGTAGGCTTGCTGCAACCATGAGAGAAGAGGAAGACTTTCCTACGGAGCCTGGCGAGCAAACACATACAATCAGACCTTCAATAATCATTGGATCGTACTAACCTTCCACCTTGATTTGGCGAAGTTCTTTCTAAGTTGTTCCGATACAGTACCGTGGATATTTTTATTGCTGGCTGCGTTGCCGGAAATCCTGGAAAAAAATCAGGTACACGATACTATGTTGGAAGTGCAATATGTCTGAATAAATGAAACACCTATGATCATTTATTAATAATATTTGGACAATGACAAATTTAGTGATACATATTGTGTTAGAACATTGAAATATTTATTTATGAAAATTATTAAGAATTTTTAATTTGCTGCGAGTAATTTCATAAGTTACATTAGTGGATGACGAGATATGTATAATTCTTTTACTTACTTATTCCATATTTATCATATTATTAAAGGCCATTTTGTCCTTTTTTTGCTTCAATTTTAAAATACGATTTCTCAAAAGTTGTAAACCCACGAATACCGTCTAATTTTCAATGTAATTTTCTCATTAAATATATATTGTTATAAAAACAATGTAATTTCGAGTAATATAATTGGTATGCGATATTCGAGTGTAGTAATGATCTTACCAAGGATGTGCAAGGGCCTGTTTGCAAGTGAAACGCTCTTCAACGTTGACGCACATCAACTTGTGAATGAAATCCTTCGCAGAGTCGCTGATATCGTCCCAGTACGGTGAATCAAATTCAAATTCACCTATAACAGTCTGGTTAGCTTCTTGCTATAGAGTAGACGATTTTATTATGAATTATATCATTTATATGAAGTATTTTATTTGGAAGAAGTACTGTTAATTTCACACTTTGTACTGTGAATTCATTTCACATAATTCATTATAAAACCCCTTTCAAGAATTTCTGGTTTGTATTACAGAATGATTATACTATGACTAGATTTTTAATGCTAGTTTCTGAGAATTAACAATTAATGACTGTCACAAAAAACGCGGACGCACACAAATGTCATTTACTTACTACACTAGCATGTACATAGCAGCATACAAAAACTAGAATAGTACCTTAAAAATGAAAATTTCAAGTTAATGAACAGCTGCATGTGCTTGTCGATCCTAAACGTAGTACCTAAATTGAAGTGATAGTATAGTCCTTCCAAATGCCAAAAATATGTACCCAAGAATAATTTTATTACCTTTCAAAATTTGTGCAAACAGGTTAACATCATTTTCATCATAAAACGGTGGATATCCACACAACAAAATATAAGAAATAACTCCTATGCTCCATACATCAACAGCTTTCCCATATGGTTTTTGTGCTAACACCTCCGGTGCTGCATGCATAAACAGTATATGCTTTGAGATATATGCAAAAGATAAATTTGTATATGTAACTTAATAAAATTATGTACCAACGTATCCAGGAGTACCACAAGCAGTTGCCATAATACCAGAATCTTCCATTTTCGATAAACCAAAATCACTAATCATGATCTTACTATCTTCATCAGGACTATAATATAAAAGGTTTTCAGGTTTTAAATCCCTATGCACGACACCCTGATCATGCATATAATCCACAGCTTCAAGAACCTGTCTTATTAAACCCGATGCATCTTTCTCTGTGTAAGAACCTTTTTCTACAATTCTATCAAACAGTTCTCCACCAGTAACCCTAATACAAAAGATAAAATTGAGCTCTCACAATATATGCTCATTATATGGTAATTTGCATATAAATACAAATACTCACAACTCCATAACTAAATAAACCTTATGTTTATCTTCAAATGTTTCCAATAATTGAACAATATTTGGATGCGTTAACCTATAATCAGAATATTCATGATTAGGTCATAAAACTGTTAATATGTAAAAAACTATGTAATATTATCTAATTGAAAAAGAAATTACATCAGGCATAAATTATGACATTTTTACCTTCGTAATACTCTAATTTCATTTTCTAAAGAGTCTTCCTTTCCCTTTAACGCTTTCTTATCAATGATTTTCACAGCAAACATTTGTCCAGGCTTCTCTTTACTTTCTGCTAAACGTACTTCAGAGAAAGCACCACTAAAGAAATATCAATATAAATAAATCAAACATATATTTAATATACAAAGTTAAAGATACATTTCTAAGTAAGCAGATAAAAAGTTATTAGTTATATATCATTGTAATATACATAACAATACTCTAAGACTTGTGCATCTTTTCATATTCATTATTGCAACATGTCCTTCAGACTCCAGACTTTCAACATAATGATGAACCATATGTAATTGACTTTATTGTATTTTATATTTCTCTAACAAAGCAATACAATACTCAACATATTGAACATTCTGTTTTACATAAGAGAATAATTGAAATGACTAAAATAAGGATGTTTCAATGCACATGCAATTTAAGAGATATAAATTATATGTCATATAATTAATGCTTTTAATTTAAACTTTCTAATAATATGTGTAAGCAAATCTATTCAAAAGTCATTGTATATATAGAAATAATTAAATTGATGCCAATAAGCAACAAAAATAAATCAGTCATATAATTTCCACTGGTATCTGGTAGTTAAAAGGGAATGCTATTTCCATGATCTTGAACATAAAAATACAAATAAATAATAGTAAATAATCATAATTACAGAAGTATTAACTTTAATCATCTGTTTAAAGTTTTTACTTATTTCATTTGAAATGCATAATGGAAGAGAATTAAAAAAATCTCAACTGAATTCATTCCGTTACTTTTGTAACAAAGCATGATACATACGTTCCAAGTAACTCCTTGAGGACGTATTTATCCTCGACAGACGGTGATTTATCATCTTTCCCATCCTTTTTGATCTTCTTATTCGAATCTTTTTTACCGAAGAGCGGCATCTTCGGGTTCTCGTATTACGATGCAATGGCACGCACAGTTATTGAACTCTTTAAATTCAAAATTGAAATTTCTGACTTATAGCGAACAATGATTCTAAACAGGTTATACGTTCGGGAAAGAAAACCGTGAAAGAAACGAAAATTGTTCGCAGATTTTGATCATTCGGCAGTGATAGTAAAGAAAAGATCGTCGTCAAACGCTTCGTAAAATCATCGTTTCAAAGCAGTGAATGATCATGAACTCTCGACCTTTCTACACGTAAACGATAGCAGATACCCGTGCACTACGATGCTCCACTTTGCGCTTATCCGTGGACCGCGAGAGTTTGACACGTATTCGTTCCGCACACTATTCTGCTACCGAAACGTTCTATTCCGCGTATCGGGCTCAGGGTCGCGGCCTCGCGCCCTCACGATACAGCTCGTACTATGCAGCAGATAGCTGCGATGCGTATGTCTAGGCCCCACTAGCCACCCCACTTTATCGTATTGCGATATTTTCTTCTATTCCTTGTGATAAGTGCATTATAAGAAATTAAAGCAAGCTACTATTTTTTATTTTTAATTTGCCATTTTTTGCATATTATTTTTCTTTTTTGCAATAATATAATTATTGAATGCTCATTAGGGTGTGTTTAAACTAGGCAAGCGATGCGAATTCTTCCCCCACTTCAACAAAATTCCGATATAAACGAGCATTTTTTGGTTGCTCAGCTGCTGTAAGCTCAATACAGCATGAACGAATGCTCGCTCGTCGAGTCAATTTGACTCGAGAGATTAGATTCGATTCGATGAATTTCAATTCGATGTAATTAGACTTGACGCACTTCAATTTGAAGTGATTCAATTCGACGCGATTTAAATCGAAACGATTCGATTCTATGTGTGATCGAGTAGAGAGTCGTTTACATTACACGAGCACGAGCGAATGCTCTTGCTCTTTTCCTGCTTATATTCGTGTTCATTTACAAACACACCTTTACATGTATCACGATCATAAAAAAGAAAGAATGTACACTGGTAGCAATTTTCAGTATTGTCAAGTTGAAGTTATATATTTAGAAATTATAGTATAACTCGCAATTTTTTACTTCGTTTTATAAAAAGTAATGACCAAAACAACAATTAATCTTTTTCATAAAGCAGCTATAAATACATGTTATTTTTTGCTTTTATAAATTGGGAAACAATAAATTAAAGATACTTTTCAAACTTGGTTGTAATTTTTATTGGTTAAGTGTATTTTACAGCGTGTTTGATTTACACGTGTTTACTTCATAGTTTCTTGACGAAATGATCACTTTTTGAATATTAAATTGAATTCTATGAAATTACGTAAACCAGAAAGCAATCATCACATTCCTTGTTTACATACCACACACGTATAATTGCAGTATTTCAATAACATTCATTCATTTTTTAATGACAACATGGTTTATGGTCAAAAACATAAGATACTCCTTCAAACTTTTATGCATGAAGGTCTTTTAGACGAAAATAAAGCAAAAGATTTGGTTATTCAATTATTTGGTACACAAATTTTTATTTAACTTTCAATTTGATTTTTTATACATATTATTTGTTTTATATATTTTTGTCATGTTTTACAAAGAATTTAATATTTTCAGGTAATGATAATGTGTCGGTAATAGTAAATCAAATAAATGAACAATTACAGGTTTTAAATATGTTAATTAAAAAAGTACAATGTGAAATTACAAGTCAAGTTTATTGGGTTGTAATAAGTACTGTGCTTGATGAAGTAACTAGGTATATGATTGTAATCAATTTAAAATATTACATTTGTATAATCAATATGATATATATTAAAATTACCAATATTTTATAGATTCCAGACTGAATTTTCAAAAGCACAATTGGCATTACTCAGACATGTGTTTTCTGAAATTATAACATCAAATAATAGATGTATACAAAGTACCGTATGTTTAAACTTATGTTCTTCTGCAGATGTAAAATTATCAAAAACAGAAGCTGAAGAATTTTTAGGTGACATAGTTACAAGAAAATGGTTGGTTTATAAGGTACGGGTAATAATATAAAAAAAGTTGTAATATAGAGAGTAAAATTTTATTGTATTAGTAAAATTATTTTTCTGTATTATTTACAGGATGGGTTCTATTTTATAGGTCCAAGAAGTATAACAGAATTAATGCCATATTTTAGAGCTACTTATGAAGATAATTTAAGTACTTGTTGCCTTTGTAAACAAGTTATTTTTTATGTAAGTTTGTATTAAAATGTTTTATTATATAATTGCATTAGGAAGTAATATTTATATTTGTTAACTAGGGGAAAAAGTGTGGTAATTGTGAGAGTTTACTACACTTATTTTGCTTACAAAGATATGCTATGATACACAACCCAATGAAATGTCCTACTTGTAATATTGTTCTTCCAGATGATGAATAATTTGATAATAATTTTGTTTACTACCTTAAAGTATTAATTTCATAATTCATAATAGATTAAGATTTAGGTTAAATTAAGGTATAAATAAAAACGAAGTACAAAATAAAAATGTAATATATAATATTTCACAATATTATAAATTTTAATATTTTAATATTTACAAATATATACAATAAAATACATAATAATGTGTAGTCATTTTATATAATACTTCAGCTGTTCTGACTTTCTTCAAATTTTTCTCTTAAATATCGTAAACCAGCTGCTATACTCTCTTCATCTATGTTTGGAGTAGGCTTTATATGCTTTTGGACTGTACTATTCGATTTATATTGTGTGGTATCAGTTACTATAGACAAATTACTATCATTATGTTTTTCTCCAATCAAATTATTTTGATCACATTTAGTATCAGAATCATTTGTTACTAATGGAGGAGGGAGTGGTATATCATAAGAATCTATATCAATTTCATTATTCTGAGTGTGTATTTGATTTGAATCAGAGTTTATAGGCTCTTGATTAGTTGATGATTCAATAATATTTTTAGAATTTAAATAACCACCACTCTTAAAATTATCATACACTGGCCCAAATTCATTATCTCTTATTTTTCTACATTTATGAACCCATTCTTCTTGTGACATTTCATACCAATGAGTTCTTTTACCTAACAGTTCTCCTAGAGCTTTTATTTTATCTTCCCTATCTTCTTCACTTTGTTCTTCTTTTGTGTCTTCTTCTGTATTATTATCTTTCACCTCATTTGGCTTCTCTTTTACAGCATCTTGATTGGATATATTTTCTACTTTATTTTGGCTGGACTCATCATCATTCTTCTGCTTAAATTCTTCTTCTATTGTATCTATTGGTAACCCTGCTCTAATACGTTGTCTAATTCTAGCTGCCTTTAACCTGTTATATTCAATTTTTTCCCGCAATTCTTTCAATTCTTTTATTTCCTTCTGTTTCTGTTCTGTTTCCTTCCTTATCTTGAATAAATTCTCTTGTTGTTTCATTCTTTCTTCTTCACTTTGTGAAAATGCATAGTAACCAACACCATGAGTCCTAGCCTCATCGAATAAAACATCTTGATAATGTATGTTTGGTTTGTCAGCCAATTTCTTTGTTTGTTCTTCCCATTTTCTTCTCATAATTTCTATTTCTGGTTCTTTTTCATCTTCCACAATACTTTGTTCAACAGTATTTTTAGTTTTTGGATCAATGCCTTTTTCACTTATAATTTGTTGTTTTATTAATTTATCTTTTTCTTGCATAAGAAGTAGATCTTCACGTAAACATTTTCTTGTACGACCAAAGCAATCTTCATATTCTACCCAATCATCTTCATTTTCATATATTGTGTCATTTTCAGGTTCTTCATCTTTCTGCAATGCTTCTTCATCAGATTCATCTGATTTGTTTTTGAAATCAACAAGAAAATTATCATTATTAGTTCTAGATTTTTTTAATCGTTCATATAATCTTGCTTTTGCTTCTAGCATCAATTTTGATTTTTTATGTGTATTAACATCTTCAATATATACAGATTTTTCTTCATTTTTATTAGTACTCTCTTTTTTTAACTTTTTAGGCTTTTTCTTTAGTTTTAGGTCAACATGATTAATTTCTGATTTTAATTTTGCCTTATTCACTTCATGTTGCTTTCTTAAAAGCTCTGTTTTTAAACCCACTAATGATGAAAAATTCACGTTAATTTTTTTAGTAGTATTCATTGTTCAATAACAAAATTTTCCTGTGAACAAACAATAATATGACAAAGAAATATTGAGGTTATAAGTGTATTAATTTTAATATTTGTTGAATGGTATTTGAAGAACAGGATTTGGTAAGAGCAAATTGTAAAATACAATAAAATACCTTTCTCAGTTTTATTTTCAATCGTATCTAACTAAAATATTTGGTAATAAACATTTTTTTATATTCGTAATTCAACATAAACAAGCGACTCTTTCAGAGAGTGTCGCGTACTGATGTATACTGACTGATAATGATCCGTGGGGGGGCTGTCAAATACGCATCTGCGTCGGGTGTGTGTTTTTATTTAAACAGTAAACAATATATTTATATATTTTCTAAGTATATTATTTTCAATATTATATACTGTACTACACGAAAAACAATTACTACATATAAATTTAAATATATGTATTCGCAATCATTAAGAAAGTATATATTTTACAATTTTCATAATAATTAGGTATAATTTAATGTATAAAACAATTAAATTAGTAAAACTAATAATAATTAAAAATGACATATATATAACATTTCATTTTCTTTTACATATGTCAGTAAATAAAAAAATAGACGATTGAACGATAATTTATAATATTGGATATCTAAATATTTATGAATGAAGCATTTACAAATAACCAATTTAAAGAAATATATATTCGATATGTTAAAAGGAATGTATCGATAAAAAGTTGAAATCGCTTTGGCGCAAAAATGAAATACAATCGAATTAATTATAAAAGGTACAAAAATTACGAAACTTTAGGCGTATCGTGATATAAGGATTTAATAAATGTTAATTTAGATAATTAATTCAAGAAAAGTAATTTAATTATCGTATAATTTTATAAACCAATATCTCGACGCCATTTTTCGATCCAAAAATCGAATGTCGATTATCAAACCAATTTCAAACCTGAAGCTGCCGATCTGCCGCTATGTTAGTCATGTAACGTGCGAACACTCGTAACGGAAAGTACAACACGTTGGACAGCGAAATGGCACCCCGTAAAGCTGCGAAACATCCCGGTTCAGAAGTTGCCCAAACCGCGGAAATCGGCGATGTATCACCACCAAAAAGAAAGAAAACTGTTGTGAAAAGTGCAGTTAAAAATGGGGAAAATGAAGAAAAGCAAATTAGATTACCAAGAGCTGCGAAGTCGGCCAAAAACGAACAAACCGAAGTCATAGATTCAGTCGCGAAAACAAAGGATAAGATATCGGTGTCTGCTAAAAATGCTCCGGCACCTCCAAAAGCAAACTCGAAAAGTAAATCTGCAGCGAAAAAAAATAAAGAAACTGAAGAAAAAAGTGACGAAAATTTAAAAAATGGTGAAACGAATGCTGAAAAAACAGAAACGAAGAAGACACGTACGAAACCTGCGGCAAAAAAGGCGGGAACGGATGTGGTCGTAGAGCGTATGTTCTTTGAGATTCTTTTCAAAACATCAGTAATATTATATATTTTAAAGGAACAATATTGCATAAATATCATAGGATTATTAATCTAGTTCCTGATTATTAATTATTTGATTTCACTGTAGCGTTATAATTTCGTAATACAGAATTTTCTGTTGCTCAGTCAACATGTGCATTCAGAATTTAAGATTTAAGATATCTTAAATTCTATCAAATTGACTCTTATTTTTTTAACACAAAAATATCGTAAAAAATATGTTATATCTACTTTATAGATTATTAAAATATTTTGTTGATATTAGTACTTATTATATTGATTATAATTATTTGTTCATTATAGCTGAAGAAAAATCAACAGGAAGGTCTAAGAAAGTTGCTGCCAGTGAAACTACAGAGAGCTTGAAAGTATCAAATAAAAAAAACACAAAGGCAGCAAATGCTGAATCAGAAACAAAAGAAAAATCAAAAACAAGAACAACAAAAAAGAAAAGTAATGCAGATGTTGATTCAAAGAGTAAGACTAAAACCACTGTTACTAGTAAGACTAAAAATAAAGAAGGATCAAACACTACTGCAAAAGCAGCTAAAAAAGATGATAAAGTTACAAAAACAGTTACCAGGAGTACAAGGGGTCGTAAAAATGATGCTGTTGTAGAAGATGCATCACAAGATGATGAAGGATCATCATCTTCAGAAGCATTAAATACTAGTGATAATGAAAATCAAGAATCTCAGAATGATAATCCAGAAGAGACAGAATCAGTTCCAGTATCAAAGAAAGGAAGAAATACAAAAAAGAAAGAGCAAGTTGAACCACAAAAGAGAACTAACAAAACTAGAGGTAAAGGTGCTGGTCGCAATGCTGCCTTAAAAAAAGATGATGATACTGTAAATGAAGAAGATGTTGATACAACAAAGCCAGTTACGAATGCCCAAAAGAAGACAAATAAAGAACCAGTTGTAAGGAAAGGACGAGGAAGAAAAGCAGCTACAACAGCAAAAAACGAAAATGGAATAAAGAGTTCAGAAAATTCCACTGCAGAGGAAAATTCATCTGATACTTTAGTAAGCAATAACAATGTACAAAAATCATTAGAAGATGATGACAGAGAACAAAGTTCTGAGGAAGAAGAAACTTCAGGAATAGCAAAAAATGTAGATGAAACTGTTACAATTAAAAATGAAGAACCTGAAAATAATTCAATGAGTACATCAATAGACGAAAAAGAAAACTAATGGTGAATGTCCCATTTTGATTTAACATGTTTCTTTAAACATTTAATTGCCATTTCAAAAACATTTGTTTGTATTTCCTATAAAATACTTCATAATATTTATTAGTCTAATACAATTAAAATAGTTTATTTATCTTGAATTTCAGGTAAGAGAACATGACTAGGGTAAGGTGAACCACATTGAGCATTCCATCAATCTTCAAAAGTTTCAATCATTTTTAACACTAGAATGCCAGTGTTTTTCAATGTTGTATTAAAATACACGTATCTTATGTTTATGTTTCATTTAATTTTTCAAGAACTGTTACAATATTTTTAATACGAACAACATTATCAATAAAATATATTTTTTAATATTACATAATATATTAAACTGACTTACACTGTCATTCTAAAATTAATATTACCATTACTTGTAATATTTTATTACATTTATATGAACATACGATTGTTAGTTGAGTACTTTATAGTCAAATCCACGAAATGTTTAAAAATAACAAAAAAATGAGTAAGCTCACTTTTATATTGAATTATTTCAAGTTCTAATAAATATTTACATTCATATTAATTAGCAATGATTTCTTTTTACTTTTTGAGCAGTTTTGATTTAAAAATTATGTATTTTTAATGTTTGACAAAAGTATGATATTTTTTATTCTACATTATTTTGTATTTCATAGTTAATGTATCTAGTTTGATGATAATATGTATAAAATTTGTATGTATAAGTATACGTATACCGTTTATACATACATATATTTATGCACAGTGGATACAAATATTCATATTTATGTTGTCTAACAGGCAGACGATACATTTGTGAAAAAAAATAGTTATTTTTGTTAATGACTGTAATTGACTAATACTTATCATTATTACATAAAATCTTTTTCTACCTTATTATAAATGTATGTATTAAAGATTGACTGTTGTAATAAAATTGATATACCCTTCGTTTTGCAAACTACTTTTTTTATAGATCACTGTATAAGTGCTATAAATTTTGGCGGTACTCATTTGTAAGAAATTTTTAAGATGGCACTTGAATAGTGCAATGGTTGTCACAATCGATATCTCGCAATGCGTATCGATTTCCTTTTAGAAACTGTACCACAGAGTTCTCTACTCTTTGTCTGTACCAAGAATTTGGTAAAAAAACAATAATACATAGATTCACATCGCTTTTTTTTTACTTTTTGTTGTATATTACAGCTGATTACATCCAATAAAAAGAAAGGACTGGATGTTGATTTTATATTTTTTCCAACTATTATAATTTAGAGTATACTGTTTTGAATATCAGCTTTCTAGAAGTACCAACTAAAGTCATTAAATTTAGGAACTTTTTGGCTCACAGTATTGCTTTTACATGCTGATGCCATATTGTATTTTATTTCAGGAAAGAAAGGTAGTGGTTCGCGCATCTTGGCTGAGTTCACACACATTTTATTATTAGCGTGATGCCAATCTACTGCTTCCTTCTTACTCCATGATCATATATACAGTGAACAAAAATTTATGGACGAAAGAAAGGATTTAGAAAACTGAAATTAAAAGATTTCAAGTATTTAATTTATAATTGTACTAAACAGCAGCCAACCATTCCTTCTTTTTTAAAGATATATAGTGTCTCTATATTTGTAGATTCATTGGAAAGAAATGATAATATATGCAGGTATACTTAATTAAGAGATCACTGGATATTCATGATCGGAATAGCTATCGTGAAAGTACATGCGCATTACAAATTGTATTCGAAACAACGACAGAAGATCTGCGCAGCACAAATGAAAACTCGTTATTCGACATTACGGTTCTTTCGGGGAATAAAGAATAATGCTTGTACAGACAGATGACGTAGTGGTATCTATAAGATCGTAGTAAGCTTAGAACGCTGTACGTTGTAGATCGAGGAAGCAGTGAGAAACAACGGCGGAAGTGGGGATCGTGCGCCATTTTCTATTTTTGCATAGCAGTGAATTAGTGTTGTGTGTGTACATTTTGTGTGATAAATCGATGGATTAATAGTAATTGGAAGAGGACGTGTTGAAGTAATGAAATGATTTTGGGAAACACGTGCTTCGAAACTCGTGCAATTAATTTTTTCGTTTGCGTTTGTCTTCTGTATTACCGTGTGTAAACTTATAAACTCGTAGCACGTAAACACTTTTTCTTCATTTCTCTTTTCAACGAGTGAGAGTGGCCGAGCTGTCTATATTAGAACTTTACAGGCAGTTAATAAACGATCGTTTGTCCTATTGAAATTTTTCCTCGCTTAAAGATAAACTAAAATATAGAAGGGAAAACCAGTCTGTGATACTAAACAGTACTAAGGTATATAGCTAGATATAAACTCTACAATTAGATATATGTATGTATGGCATATGAGACGTAGATAGATCACATAAAAGATCTAGAAAAAAAATTAAGTCTGTACAGTGAGTGCTGTGAATTTACCTTATTCGAAGAATAAAGGTGATAGAGAGCAGAATGTCTCAAGAATCTGTGACAATTGACAAGCAACTACCAACTCCAAAAGATGAAGGTAGGAGATTCACTAGTTTCCTTTATATTTAGATCTATCATTTATATATACAATATTCTGTCAGTATACTTTCATTTTGAATTTTGATACAACATTTCATTTCAGTTTACTCAGATTGTTTATTTTTATACATTAAGATAAGCTGCATTATTTATCTTGTTCGTAGCTTCATAAAGGTTTGTATAGATTGTCATGTTGTAACATAATGATTATTTCTTTATTAACCCTTCAGGTATGATGCAGAATTTTACTTTTATTTAAGCAGTTAGTTAATAAAATAATATCCAAAAAATATTAAATAAAAAGCATAGGCGAAGGAAAAAAATTAATGATGGATGACAGAGGAACGCAATAAGCACCAGTTTTGGTTTTTATATCCATTGCTACATCTTTACCATTTAAAGAGATTCTTGTACCTAAAGGGTTAAAGTAATATTTTGCTGTAAACATTCAAATCATTAATGAAAAATTAAATATAAAAGACTCAAGGCATAATAAAGTTATCTGTGTCATAATATTTACCTATACTGTAATACATATCATTCATTTTTTGTATTTGATATATTTATATATTTATGTATGTTGTGTATCAAAACGATATAAAATTATTTTTAACATGTAAGTATTAATAAATATATTAATATTTGAATAATGAAAATCATTATTACTTTGGATGATACAAAATTTATTACTTGGAGGTATTGCATTGTATATATTCCTTAATTTTTAGAGTTAAATTGTATCAGTAACAAAGACAGTATTGAATATCATATTCTACAAAGGTACAGACTTTAACACTATCATCATATAGGCTATACAGTATAACTTAAAACATCCAAATTCACAATCAGTGTATTCAGTTTATTTGTATAAAACGTATTAACTAAATTTGATACAAATAAGATAACAATACTAACAACATATGTATATGAGATAACAAAATTCTCATTAAGTTATTATTTATTTATCTTGAAATGTAAGTTTACCAATGAAAATTCATTCACAATAAAAGAAAGGCAAGTAATAAATTTATATACAAACTTTAAATTTATATTAGTCACATAGCTATTTTTATACTACTAATGCTCATAATCTTTTATGTTTTTATTAGTTGCATGTCTAAATAAATAACATGGTAAGCATTACAAAAATTATATAATAGTCTGCATTGCCAATGAACAGCAAATTAAAATTTTCATTTTCTGTTATGATTTATATTCTTGAAAAAGTCAATCAATAATATAATAAAATATTTACAATGTACATTGAAATAAATACATTTTTTAAATTGCATACATTTAATAGTTTAGTAAAATCTTTACATATTAAAGGTGTAAAGATTAAGTGTTTACATGTTGAAGACTTTACACGAAAAATCTTCACACTTAAAAACAAATATTTTGATTTTTGTAAATAATTATATTACAAAAATAATTTATTTGATATTATGTATAAACGTTTATTCGTTTGAGAGATATCAGTTATAAATTTCGTTCAAATGTATTACAAAGAGAACCAATGAGACATAAAGTTGACAATAACGTTCTCAGGGACACACTTGATTGGATTGTGGACAAACAGTTCGTCTAAAAACCGCCGGTATTTAGTCAGTTTGTATCGTGCTGTACAACGTGTAGTATCTATTATAATTAAGAATTCAATTTCTTATAGACGCGTTATATGGACAAAGAAATTCCATTTTGCATAAATTTTCGAAATAATTTCGTACAAATATCACATGTGTTTACGACGCATATAAATACTGTTCGTTATTTCGAATATATTAAGTTTCTATTAAGTGAATAATCTTTAAGAGATATCACATATACATATTTTTTATTAAGTTGTACATTTCGACATATTTTATTGTATTTTATTTGTTGCTGTATTTGTATTAACCAATTCGAACGGTGGTTCGTCCGTCTTGTCCTTCGATGATAAATATTTGTTGGACTGTCTAGGGCAGTTGAACGTAAAAACAACGAACATTTGTTAAAGCACGCGGTAAAAGTATTGAAATTTTGTTAAGATGAAATTAGAGTCTCATAGCATCTCCGGTTCAAATTGGTACCGGCGACCACGAAAACGTCCGCTGGTAGGACCCACGGGATCTCCTTTTCTAGATGCAACTTTGGTTATGCAAACCAAGGCTTGCCGATGGTTTCGCAAAAATAAATCTATGAATGCGATAAAGCGAGTGACCTTTCGTAAGTACATTCGTAATATACGGTACTTAATTTCGAAGAGAACAATACAAGCCACGCATTCAAATCTTCGTCGAATCCTGTACCGATATCGAGAGTTCGTTATCACTTACGAAAGTTTGTACACAAAGCGAAGTAACTATGTTTTTAACAGCAGATTTGAATTTTCTTGGAAACTTGTCCACTTAATACTTATATTATTTATTCTTACCGAGAATTTTAATATGAAGATACATGTGCATAATAATAGCGAAAAGTCGCCGGTGAAGCCGGCGATAGCGTTGGGGTGTCCACAATTAACAGAACATATGAGTTATTCTTTTCTTAACAAGGATCTTGTTGTACTTATTAATTAGTACAAGTTTATAATTCTGATTAAGAAAATATTGAAAAATAGTTTTACCCAGTATTATATTTACTACAAAGCTGTCTTTGTAAAATAATGCAACAGATTATAAATTTATATTTTTGGTTCTTGTTACTTTGTAGGAGATGAAGCAATTATATCTATGTCGGTGGCTGGGGAGGTAACCGACACTTCAATTATGGAAATGGGCCGTTCAAGACCTCAATTCCAATATTCCCGGGTATAATATTTGTTATAACTTTATTGTTCATTCAGAAAATATTTCTTGTAAAACATTTATAAGCAGACATTATTTGAAATTACTGCAACAAAATAATGTTGCATCAATTCATTTTAGGAAGAATTAATGGTGATAAAGAGTTTGCCATTATCTAAGCGGAGACCTGACTTCTTAGATACCTCATATAATAAGTATGTTATATATTTTGTACATTAAATATTTACTCTATTATGGTATAATATTGGAAGACATTTATGGTTACTGCTTATTAATTATAATAATTTCTTTGCACTAAGCTCACGTGGTGTATGGGATCCTGAACGTTGGCATTCAGGTAGGAAGCGTAGTGACACTCTTCCAAAAGATGAAAGAACTGGCCGTACTGATCAAGTTACTGAAAACCATACTAAGCGTCGGAATGGGGATCCTCGAGAACGAATTCGTAAAGAGCAAGATGGTATAGTTTTGAGCCCTCAGCGAAGAAGTTTTAATTCAGGTTGCTTTGTTAACGTAAATCAACCGTCGAATAGACGTCCTGAAAGTCCGATAGGAAAAACGGAGGTATCATCAATATATTTTGTGGAATCAATTCTGATGTTCTTAATACCACAATGTGTAGATTATCATTAATTGTTATAGGTCAGCCATAGAGAATCTGTTCGACGAATCGGAAGCGGTAGAATTTTAACTCGAGATATATGGGACTTTAGACCTGAAAATGAGAAGCTTGAACCTGCTTTTCGATCTGGGCCCAGCGGTGGAGCCTCCATTCGTGATCGTGATAATAGAGATACGCGTGATGGAAAGGATCGAGAGAATGTGAGGGACAGAGATCGTGAACGCGACAACTTACGCGATCGGGATGATCGGAACGAACGCTTTGAACGGAGATCATTTGGTCGCGACTATAGAGATAGGGAAAGAGAACGGGATCGGGACAGAGGAGTTGAACGTAATGATCGTAATCATCGATCAGACCGTGATAAAGATCGTGGACGAGAGCGAAGATTTAGTAATGATCGCAGGCGAACTTACAGCGAAAATCGTAACGATGCGGATGAACCAGAATGGTTTATTTCTGGACCAACGTCTCAGCATGATACCATCGAATTAAGAGGATTTGAAGATATTCCCGAGGAAAAAGTAGTAAACAATAACAATGGTAGCACTAAAAGTAAAAAACAACCAGCAGTCCAGAAAAAGCGTGGTAAGAAGAATTCGTCAGAGAAGGATGAAAAGCAAACCGAAAATTCAGCCGGTCCGAAGGGTCGTAGCACACCGACAACGATGGACCAACCTATAAATGTTGTAGCTGCGCCACATTCACCCATTTCAGAACAACACGAGTCGTCTTCAGTTACACAGAAAGCGAATCACGATTCCAGCGAAAGCACTGTAGCAGAACAAAGTTGCGAAACCGCGGGTATAGATAACTCTAGTACTGTTAATCAAAATCAAGAAGACAGTCATCCTGATTTCAACCTTGACGAGTTCTTAAAATCAGATACGTTGCCTGGTGTTCCTGGGCTTTTAACTGTGAGTGAAGTAAATTATCTTTGATTCAAGTAGAATCAATGATGTAATCATGTATTAAAGTATGTTTTATTTATGTAGAATGGAGTCGGTTCAAATGGTGGTTCCTGTTCTCGATTTAGTCAATGGTTTAAAAGAGAAAGTCCAGTTCAACAACTCGATAGTCGCAGGACTTCTATACAAGATGATATACTAAATAATCTTCTGAATGATATTACTGAGCCAAATATTCAAATTCCATCAGTGACAGAGTCCAATACCTATTTTACTCCTATTTCCCCTGCCAATACAACAACAACAAATAATACTACATCCACTACTGGAGTAAAACTGTTGGAAATGCTGCAACGTGGAAACAAATCAACACAAAATGGACAAGGAGATGCTGCTAGTACTGTCATACCATTGATAAAGAATACATCCATTAAGGATATGGGTGAGAACTTGAGCTATTTATGTTACTTTGTAGTTGTATAATTTATATTTCAATCTATACGTTATGTGAATAGAGTATTGTATTATGTTGAATATTTTTTATAGAAGTTGGTGGAAAGGTTGTGCATAGTTTGGAAGAATTAGAAGCACGTATGCGAGGTGGTGCTCCCCTACCCACATCTTCGACTGATCAACCTCGTGTAAATAAGACTGAAGAAGATCTCTCTGCTTTTAAGAAATTGGTAATCTTAAACATAGTTACATTTGTGTATGTCTTACATTAATATATTACTAATAAAATATTGCTTTGGATGCAGCTTGCTCAAGTAACTGGAGGACAAGCTATACCAGCAGCAAACGGTCCTATTTCTCAAAAACAACCTGTGACATTAATACAGGTAGGGTGATTGTATCATTTTGTTTTTAATTTGTTAATAATCGAAATTGCACGATACTTTATTCTATAGAAGATAATATGTAATTTTCTGTAGTTGCTTAATTCACAACTGAAAACTCAACCAATTGCCCCCCAGCAATCGGTCCCAGAACCAATGCATGCTACGACATTCAATCATATTGGTTCTCTTGGACCAACTCAACACCCGCACCAAGCACAAGTGCAACATGAAAATCTAATGAAAGTGTTACAAATTCAACAGGTTGGTAAATTGTTGTTTCGTAAAAAGATAAAGAAATAATATATTGCATGAACAATTTTCATTTCTCTCATAGCAGCAACAACAACAGCAGCAGCAGCAACAGCAGCAGCAACAACAACAACAACAGAAACAACGACACCAACAACAGCAGCAACATTCTGATATGTTACCAATGATAATGAGTGGTCAGCGAATGTTAGGAATGAGCCCTGTACCTCCAGAAATGCAAATGATGCTTAACAATGCTCCTACCAGTCAAGAATTGTTACAAAGACCTGAAGCTCAAGCCATTATTCAAGGTCTTCAGCAAGGAGAAATAACAAGACAGCATCTTATACAACAGCTGCAGGTTGGCTTATTTAACTAAAAAAAAGTCTTAGTTTACTTCAGTTCTTCCAATATATCACCCTTTTAATAACTTGCCCTTACATTAATGTATGCCACAGAATCCAGCAATGCAACACCGTCACAGGGAAGTTCTAGTAAATATTTTAAAGATGTATGGTGGTACTACTTCTCGTACAGTAAGTCCGCATCCTAGTGCACCTACTCCTCAAGATCACATCTTGCAACAGATGTTGTATCAGCAGTTACAACAAAGAATTCCATCCCCTATGAATAATGGTAAGTGCATCGTTGGTATTGAATTCAATAGAAAGTATAGTAAAGAAATCTATTTTTCATGCTTTTATATTTGCTTTATTACTGCCAATGTAGTCTTGATATTTTTTCTCTTTCAATTCATTTTTGATATAGTACCATCAAACTATTTTGTACTCTCTTGTGAACTATTCTGGTTTTTAAACATTTAGTAGTTTTCTTAAGAATACTGATTCAAGTATATATGATGTTTGGAATGCAGCTTATTGTCCATCTTCAGTAATATCTCCGAATTTGACTGCTAGTCCCAGTACTTTAACAGTACAGCATCCAGGTAGAATTCCCAAGATAATAATACTTTTACTGCGTGGCATTATTACAATGTATATAAAATCAGTTAATTAATTAAATACAATATAAAAGATATATTTAAATCAATAAAATAAGTAGTAATTACGATTCTTATTAATTGAGTATTGGCTAAATATTACAACAATATATAATTACAGTTTGCACTGAAAGTTACTGTTTTTATATCTTATAAAATTTGTAGGAAGATTTTAATGAAGTTGTATGATGATAATTACCTACGCAAAATATATTTGATCTTTTGCTGTTTTAACAGTGATGCAGCATAGAGTTCTCTCACCGCGGGAGATTGTTATGCATACTCAATCTATAATGCAAAGTGCTTTAATTAAGAAAAAATTGGAGGAGCAACGTGAGAATTTCCGTAAGCGGCAGGATCAACAGCAGCAGCAACAGCAACAACAACAAACTCAAAGATCGTCAAGCCCTGTTAACTCTCCGGCGAAGCAGACCATGAGCCCAACACCGCTCGCTTTTACCCCAACATCGGTGTTGCGTAAAATGACTGCTGATAAGGAACCTGAGGGTGCGAATCAGTCCAATCATCAATTAGACTCGACTTTCTTATTTTCACCTATACTCAATGATAATCGTAACAAATATCGCAACACATTTCATTACAAAGAAAATACTGACACACAAACATTTGCTTCTTCTGACGGTGCAATTCAGCTTACTAATCATAACGCTAAACGGCATGTTAGTATGTTGAAGATTAACACATCGGACAGTGCATACGAATTAAATAAAAACGGCAACATAGAAGTAGAAGAGTCTGCGTTGAAAGACAAGTATTTCTCTTCTTTTCAGCAGCAGTCAGATTCAAATAATAATTTGAGTTTGAATATGACAGAGGAAAATAAAGTTACTAACGAGGATAAAGATAAAGAATCAACTGTATTGAATATAAGTGATACTAATAATAATAATAGTCCTCTTATTCTTGACAAACTATTAACTGAACAATTTGAAATTGAAACGATAATAGTCGATAATAATAAAACATTAGAAAAGATAAAAGAAAATAAAATATTAAATTCGCAGAATGATGTTGTTATTTAAAATATTATAAATGTTTCAAAAACTGCATAAAAATACTCGTAAATTTGTGACTATTATCTAATGTAAAATTATTTTTTATTTTTGTATTAAAATGAGGAATGATAATTTTGTTCTCTTTTCTTTTTTTCTTTGCTTGACACCTTTAAGATGTTGCAAGATCAATTTGTCTATATTTTGGCAAATTAGATAAATCGAAATAAAAGTTTTTTGGTTTCCAAAAGCAAATACTGATCTCATTGAAAACTTATATTATAAATTATATTTTCTACATTAATTAATATATGAACATATTACAAAATAACAATATGTTAAAACAGTTTTTTAAAATAAAAAAGAAAGATTAATAAATACATTTTACACTTTAAGTTTACCTTTACACATTTTCATTTTCCTTTGTTGGAATGCTTTGGTACAATTTGTATTTTGTTGCACGTGCTTTGCAGCTTTTATTTTTATGGCTTGATGTGTACAAATAAATTGCATGTATTATAAATTACATAGTATTCCTTCCAACTATTATTGTGTTTTTGAAGTTATAGGTACATGTACAAATTGAAACAATTTAAATTTGTCGTTTTATGTTCTATGTTTTATTGAATTAGAAACAAAATATTAGAAAGTCTATTATATTTTTTTGATTTATAGAATATCTTTGTTAAAAATTCAAATTAAAATATTTGCTTACATCAAATTTGTGTACTATATCAAAATTATTGTGCTGTTTTCCAAAAATAGAAAGTTAAATGTATGGTTTATGTGATTTTACTTAATGACTTTTTTATTTTTATGTAGGTAATACTAATGATCCATCAAAGATGGGAGTTCAGTCTCAGTCATCACAAATGCAACAAATGCAATCTGCAGTTCAATTATTAACACAAGCAGTGCTTTCTCGACATAATACATTACGGCCACAGTCCGTTCAATCAACATGGTCAAATCCAACTATTAAACAACATCCAGGTATTTTATATTTGGTATATGTTACATCTTCTGTATTGCTTCCTACAGATATAATAAAATATATGTATACATAATTTATTACAGGACGACCAATAGTAAAAGGTGGTGACGGAAATGGCGGTAATCACTTTCAGTACAGTGGAAATGCAGATTACCAGCAGCAGCAACCTCAGCAGCAGCAGCAACAACAACAACACAGGACAGTTTCAAGCGTGTATGGTAACCCCGCACGCTCCAAACATACTATGACAAGTTCTATATCGCATCACAATGTTCCGCAATACAATGTTGCTCAGAATCCTATGATAAATCAGAGGTCAAATACCATAAATAACCAAATGAAGGTACAACAGGCTCAGTCTCATCTTGCTAATATGCAACATCAACCTCCACCGCAACAGCAACAACAACACCGGACCCTTAATTCACAAATGCAAATGGTTTTGAATCAAAACTACAATTCCAGTCGAGCAGGTAATTATATTTAAATACTATAAAAAAGAAGATAAACGTGTTCTGCTGAAAATTAACCACTTGACAAATTGCTTAAAAATTTACTAATTGATAAACGTTTTCTAGATGAAGACAACTTAAGCTGTAAATTATAAAATCATATTAAATTCTGAACACATTTTAAGTGCATAATATTCTGCATGTGTTTAAACAACATTTATTAATTGTTTTATTAAATTCATGTTGTTTCATCATTTAAAATGGTTTCATGTATGTAATCTATAAATTAAAGTATTACTAATTTAATGTTTTTGTATACATTGCATTAATTTGAGCATTAACAAATTTTTGTTGTAATAATTACATTACAATATGTTCATTACACTGTTGCATTAACTTTGTTATTCTAAAACATTTTCAGGTGTCTTCCTCTTGCCTAATCAAATCGCATGCAATGGTGTTCAGAAATTGGAATAATTAGATCTCACATTTTAGCTGTTCTTCTTATTTAAACCAAGTCTAAACAGCATTTATCTTTGGATCGAACTTAAAGTAATGAGTTAATAATCATTTAGGCTGTGCTCCACCTTATAACATAACTTGGCTATACCATAACATTTCTTTATTCAATAATATTTATGTTTCCTTACTATTCTATTTCTTTTCTACACATTTCTTTATATAAAAACATCTCATTATATTTTTTATTTATGCGATGAATTTACTTACAATACAATAAACATTAAAGATAAATGTAATAAATGTTTTTCACAGATGGGCGAGTAATGCGGTCGCAGCAATTGAACATGCCCATAGGTCGTCAAACATCGCCTCCACGTAATGGTGGAGATCTTTCACACACTTCAAATCAGTTAGCACGATGGTTTAGTCCAGAACTTCTCGCTCAGGCTCGGGCTGGTAAGCTTCCTGAGCTTGTCCAGACAAATGTATTATCGTTGGAAGAATTAGAAAGACTTCAACATGCATCGACTACAGTGCATAATTAGATTAACATTATATCTTTTCATATGTTCAATTGCAAGCACAGGATCCCATTGGAAATTATTGCTCTAACGAACTATACGTTTTAAATTAGATGGCTTTTCATATTAAATGGTATGAAGATCTACTACTGATTAAAAGAACATAAAAATCCGGCTTGCAACGAGTCATTTAGGTAATGAACCTTAGCGGATGGAAGGTTTAGTGAAATAACATTCAGTTTGGTCAGAAACATTTTTGGACACAATATAGATCCGTTGAGTAGTATTTCCTTTGTGTGGAAATATCATTTTTGAGTATCTCTCACGACTTGTTTGTAACAAATTTTACAAGATATGTTAACTAAAAGCGATAAATGTACAGAGGATATGGAATATGGTATAAGATTGAAAATAATTACAACAAAATGAGCCATTTACCGACAAGAAACGAACAGCTTTCTATTAAAAAAAATTATTGCTTATAAGACTGAAGAACGTGAAGATTCTTACTATTGACTATGAGGAAGCAAAGTACTATTTTACTATGCATAGTTTCTAAACGGTAGTAAAGCGTAAATTATTTGCCTAAGTCTGGACAGCAAGTTCTTATGTATAAATTACAGTATCCTTACGGTTCTATTTCAATAATTACAATTATTCAAATTTATTGAATTTTCAGTATATAGCTTACCATGTATTAATAAATAGTAATATAATTAATTAATTAGATAATGTTTTCTGACCGTTTATTTGTCATGTTATAAAGCTTGCAAAGTCCTTTAGGTAAATAATATTGTCAAAACCTTCAAAAAAGTTGCAAATTGCAGCACCCACGAGTACAGTTGCATATACAGAGAAAAAAATGTCATATATTATATTCTACTTATATTATTATGAATAATGCAAGTCGCATGAAGAAAAATGGACATACGAAATGAAATAATGAAAGCGAGTACTCATCAAGTCTTGCATATATTAAGAAAATAAATATAATATATACTTTGTAGAAATGTGAGGGTACAGTGTTATTATCATGTTCGAAACTGAAAGTTAGAGTAAAACAATTCCAATGCAACCTTGGCAGATAGTTAGAGAAAGCATTTGGAGAATTTATTAAAAGGAAGAAATGTATAATGACTAAATCATTCATGGAAGAAAGAAAGAAAGAAAGAAAGAACATTCCACCGATTATAGAGGGACGAAGGAAAATAAAACACGTTTACAAATTGAAACAAATTTAATGTCAACATTGCTGTCAATATGTGTTTACTTTACAATTAACTTGTTATTTTTGTGATTACATTTTTCGTACAATCATAATAATTATATTCGATCTATAGCACGAATAATAATAATACAGATACTCGTTTTCCTTTTATTTCACTTTTTTTTAATTCGTTACATGGTTTATAATTGATCTATATTAAAGTGTCGCGTCAACTGTACCAAATTATATTTTTTTCCTAATTTAAAAAGTATGAGATTATTTAATACGTCCTAATATTTACTAAACATTTAAAAATCTAACAGAATATTGAAAATTGATAACACATATTTTTGTATATTTGTATTTTGTTAATGTGTATGAAGTGACACCTAAATAGTTTTATTGAATTTGGAATTCATGGACTATTGTCAAATCTGCATCTTATTTTACAATAATACTCTATTTAATAAAACTGATTTTCATATTCGGAAGTACTTGACACGTATTTTTACTTATCCAAAATTTATTTATGATTTGCGCAAAATTACTATGAAATATTCTAAAATTATGGACACTTGGATTCTGTTGCTAAAGGTTGATTATTTCATTCTAAAAAATATCATAAATGTATTCGTTGAAATTTATTATGCAGTTTATGTAATTGTACATTAAGTGTTGATTACAAAAATTGCAAGTACAAAATGTCTTATGTATTCATTATCACAAATTCTCGAACTTTGTACAATGCAAACGACAGTTTTGTATTAAATTAGTTCAAGTTACAGCAAACTCAAGCCTAGTAAACGAAGTACTGCAGCCGTGCTGCAGATTCAATGTAATCAATGAGGAGTGCGATAAATTGTTTTGGAAGTTATTCAGGTACACAACATCTACTTAGTTAATAATAAAAATTAGAAGTCTCAGTTTCAACATTTTCATTGTTCAAATATTTCTTGACACGTCAAAGGTGTAATGTTCAGATAATAGTTTTGATTATCCAATAAGTTTCTGTTTACCTTCAGACGTTTACAATTCGTCTATAATTGTATAAATCCTGCTATGTAAAAGACAAACACGTTGGAAGTTACTTGCCAAGAATGTAATTACTAAAAGCACTGCCAACAACAAATGTATCGGTGTTATTAATTACCAAAAGAATAGACAACGGTGATATTTGTTCTCAAATATCACTTTCAGACAACGTTATTGCTTTAAAAGAGGCTATTACGATTGAAATTTATGTAAAATATAATGAAAACGGTATAAACAAAATGATGTTCTTCGCGAAGAAAATTGCATTTACGTTAGACTCATTTTTAAGGATAGTAATGCTTGACCAATATTTGGTGGAAAGTGTTTCTTACAAAATTGTAAAAAGATTTTAATTCACTTTTTTAAGAATAAAAAGATGGTAACAGTGGTTTTCTGCTTAATTGATCGTAGACAACAAATTGATCTGTCTGCGGTAAATTTCTGGACTTCAAGGATTGTTTCATAATTCAAAAATTTTTGTAAATAACTCAAATTCTAAGCAAACTAAAGTTTATTGGTTCATGTATTGAGCCAGTAATTTGTAAATAAAGTTACTAAATATTACATTATGTGAAATCGAGGGAAACGTCACAAATAAATACAAAGAACTGTAATTGTAACTTTAGTTGTTCCATTTATTTACTGAAACGAATTAAAGTTAATATAGTAATAATCACAAACCAATATTTCTTGCGCATTATAAAATATTAATTTGAACCTTTGTTAAATTGTGATATAATTTCTATATGTTCAATTTAATTTATTTAAATCTTATTTTTATGATTGTTCAATAGTAAGACGAACGACAATATAAGTCCATTGATATCTTTATTTTAAACTCTTGAGAAAAATATTTGCTAGTCTTTGCTATTTTCATAATTATTACAAATTGATTTTAAACCTTCATTACATTTTGTTATCAAACTACATTTTATTCTTGTTTAGTGTTGTACAATGAATACTTCAGTTGATCAATATAATACATATGTATATTATCAATATTTCAAGGTCAATATCTGTTGACAATATTTTGTTGACGATATATATATTGATTGTAAAAATCCTAAAATATTGATAATATAATTGCCTGAAGTTTTCAAAATTATAAAATAATTTTATTGTCAATATTTTCAAACTCTAGTTTTGCATCCTATATATAGTATACAGTGTATAGTATATGTATATATTTATGGATCAGTACTTCGGGTGTTTCCGCTTAGACTCGTTTTTCGTTTACGCAAGTTCCCGAACAGAAGTGTAGAACAGAAGTTGCAAATGGCGGATCTGCGTAAGTTGAAGAAAGGTGGACTCCTCGTATTTTAAAATGTAATATTGTCGTTCACGTAAATCAGTATTTAAACACATGAAACTCGAATCAGCTAATGATTTCGAGTATATTTAAAGTGTTAAATATTGGTTATAATTAATCTAACTACAAGAATTACTACAATAATTACCAGATCCTAAATTTTGTTGGAATTACAATACCATCTGCATTCCTGACTCCACGAATCCTACGTTAGGAACAATATTGTTATAATAAATATTGTGTATGTACATTTTTACTTTTCTTCATTTTATTATTTACATAACATTCATTAGTGATTCACGATATGTATTCTTGTGCAACATTCTTCTATTTATTGGCTCTTACAATGTAGAAAGCTCATTGTAATACAATTTGTATTTATATTTTCGGGACTCATTCAAGATCGAATCGACATGACGATAAAAGTTGATTTGTTACTCGATTAAAATAATCATTTATTCCATCTGCATAAATAATTAATAAGAAAAATATTATTTAATGTGATCTTATAGTTGCACCAACAAAATAACAGGTAAGCAGCATATGGTGGAAGGTGTATTGGGATATCCACGTGAAATTATTTAGCCTAGCGCCATTGATGGCAGCCATTAATAACATACGCCCTTCAGGGTTGCCATTTCGTTCGTTATTTCATATGTAGTACGATTGTATTTACAGAAGGTGTACCTGTTAAGAGAAGTAATCTGTTCTTAAGTATTATGTCGGAAATATCGTGATCTATTCAAGAGTGATTCTCTTTCGTATGATTGAGTTGTGAACCTAGGAAAGTAATTTTACGTATCGCATCGTATCCTATCATATAACTATCCATCTTTACAATGTGCAAATATAGTTGAAAAGTAATAACGCATCACCACCATACTGAATTATTGTGGACCAAACTAGTGTCTATCCGAAGTTTTGATTATAGGACTTCCAAGTGCATCAAGATACAAAAATCAAACTGACAATGTAGACTTCTTTTGGATAAGAATAATTGTAAGATGAAGAGTTTTTTATTACTTAACTTCGACTTTAGGAAATATATAAATTTCTAAGTTATCAAATTATCAAATTTAAAAATACCCGAATTTAAAAATTTGTAAATAAATTTTCCGATTAGCAAATTTTTACTTTTTAACTCTCCAAATTTCTAAAATACACATTTCGGACATTAACAAATTTCAAAATGGACCAACCAAAAACCAACTAGTGGTGGGGCCTCTTTTCCCTATGTCACCATTTTCCCTAGGGAAATCTATCATGCTCGCCAGTGTACACGTGCGGTGCTAGCGAATTAATCCCAACATGTAGACTCACAGTGTGCCTGCGAAAACCAACAGTAAGGACATATAGGAACTTCGTAATCTACCAAAATTTGTCGAAACGGCGTCTGTCAGGAGAGTGTCATCGTTTCAAATTATCCGTATACACGATTCCGCCAGTTGATCTGGATACACCTTTACAGGATGCTGAACAGTTACGAACTGAAACCTTGTGTCGTGCGTGCGTAGTAGGAAGTGACGTTCCGTGCTGAAAAATGCAGAATCGGTATTTTTGATGCTCAAATACTCATTGCGACGGGTCTAGTTCTGTAGCCGGTGATGCAGAATTATAGAGCGCGCTGCAAAACTTAGAAAAAAAAAGAAAAGTGTCAGTTCCGACGTAACTGCGACATTGTGAGAAAGTCGAGCGATTTCTACGCAGTGCGAACTCGTAGCCATGCATTGACAACGAAAACACGGCATATCGCAGTTTCGTTGTCCGGCCACTGTGTTTTAAGTCACGGAACGCAGGATCGAACGCGAACGGCAACAGGGGATCAATGCTTACGGCGATATTCTGCTGTGTAATGTTTTATCAGATGTGCCGTCGCAGACAAAGAATCTGTTCTTTGGTAAGAAATCGGTGATATATCTATTATTTTCGTTATAATAGACGTTACACGTTTTTGACCGCTACTCGATGATCATTAATGGGTGGATAAAATAAATGTTTTATACAAGGTATAAAACTTTTTAGTGCGAAAAGTTCATTAATTTTGAATTTTTAAGTTTTGTAAATTATAATTGTTGCAAAGTAAAAAATAACTATATAGTAAAATGATATGAAACAGCGTTTACTGCGCTCCGAAGCGGAGCATTGTTTGTCACGTAGTCAATATCGACGAAATACGAAGGAGAGAGGAAAATAAATATGGAGACGTAAAGTACGTAGATAGAGAAGTAATAGAAAAGAGAAAGGACATTGCTGTTTGCAAATTATAGTCCATTGTTGAGTATGTAAATGCTATATGGACTTTAAATAGTATCTCATGTGAATTACGTGATATTTTATAGAATCATATAGATTTATCAAAATGAAATTGCTATGGAGATGTGATGGCTGATCGTCAGACTCGAGCGTTGCGCAAATTGAAAATGAATTCTTAAATTTCTAAATCCCAAAATTTCTAAAAAAAACAAAATTCTCAAGTTAATAAATCTTAAATTTTAAATTATAACACATGAGTTTTACTTCTTACGCGCGTAGCAATTATACATATAATTTTTCTTTGGATTTTGTTAAATTATAAAAGCAGTTTTTGAAAATTTGACATGTCCTTTTAATACATTATAATTTTATTTATGTTTGCCATTATTTATGATATAATAATTAAGATTCTGTCTCTACATTTATTATGTAATGACATAATTGATTCTTATTGCATACATATATCATTACATATTTGACGTCTACATTCTGTAATTCTTCATTTCCGGTAAACTCAAACTAAACCGGAAACTTAAGGATCATATAATATTCGGTCACTTAATCACGTAATTACTTCTTTATTCAAATACTGCAGATACATTAACATACGGTAACAATCCTATTATTTTATTAGAATTAAATATTATAGTTAAAATTAGGATCATGATTCAGTGCATCTGGAAGTCATTTCTGTCAGTGTACGTTATGTTAAGTTACCGATACAGAGAGCCGATATATACCATACAAAAGTTACTAGCTTCCTAATCATGTGAGCATCTTTCCATTCTGAAAGATAATACGACTCACAAATTCATGATTATCGAAATGCAAAAGCGAAAATTACGTCGGATATTTTTGTGCAATATTATTCGGCCGCCATGTTTATTACGTGCTGCTATCTGCCGATGATTTTGAGCATCACGCTTGTGGCGCCATCTACTTCCTTTCCCTAGGAATCATGAAACCACGTACGGTTGTTCACGCAGTAAAATGTGACAAGAGAAATGTCTTTTGAGGACGTTTCTTGTCCATTCTACTGAACCGTTCGCAAGTAATGCGTTCAGGAATTAGCGAAACACGTTTATAGGATCCGGAATGTACGGGCACTGAACAAGTTTAATGGTGCAAGAACCACGTGTTCAAGGAGAGTTAATTGGATATTTCACTGTGAATCCTTGCAACGTGCGGTACATTCATATCGTTGCGTACCTCGAATTTAGTGAGAAACTGTGGACTTAAAAGATCGCGGACATGTTTACTTGTTGGCTGTGTTGTCGCCTGTGATTTTTACCTTAGACTTATTTCTCGGTTAGTGTATATTAGAGTGCTAAATAACCTTCGATTACTCGAATGTTATCGTTATTACCGAGAATCGTGTCTTTAAAAGAACATTGTTATAAAAGAAAAGGTTCTTTCGGTTGAATAATGTAACTCGATCGTGTAAGTTCATCGATGATGTTCACTGCGCATACGCATTACAGTTTGTACACGTGGAAACATTATAAAGTTAATAACTGACGTTCGTTTTAATTAATCGTCAATTTTCTGTCTGGATCACGCGGTCATATTTTGAGAGATGTTTTTTTATTAATGAAAAATAGAGGCGCGTTTGCAGCGATTCTTAGTTTAAAAAGTGATCGCAAGTGAAGTTGTGAACACTTCAAGAGGAGTTCAGCAACTGTGAAGCCCATGAAGCATCGATGTGATACAAATTAATTCTCTTTCATCGTGTATTATAACGTTGTCAAAGGTATATCCAAACCCATTTAATATTTCTCCCAGAAATTATTAATAGAATTATGAATGGAAAATCAGTGCGATTGTATGTAATGTATAAGAATAAAATGGCTATATACATAAATTGCCATACTCGTTATATACTCGCATATAACCGTGCTATTTATTATTCCTGTTATTGATTGCTCGTATGAATTTACGAATCTTAATGAGTTTATGAATTGGTAAATTACAAATGGAAATATTGAACGGAAAAAAGATGGCGGTTTGCTTTTAAAACATTGAATGTAATACTTTGTTATAATACTCGTGTTGAATTTATGCCGTGACAGATGACGGACGAAATAAAAATTGAATCGTGACAAATATGAATGTTGCGACACTTGTGATATCTGGATCTGTTTTGTTTCGGTTAGAAGTTTTAATAACCAGAGACTCCCTAAAGGGTTTCGAGTCACTGGTGTTTTTTTAAGGTCTTAGAGATAATTATTCGACAGGCGCATAAGACTTGTTTTTTGTTTTAGCTAGATAAGTATCTTATCGACTTCGATAAAATTCTACGGGTGTTATCTATGCACGGCACAATAAATATTAGATGTTAAATTTGTATTGTATCGCTCTATAACATAAACAAAATGGCGATTTCCATGTACCCTACACTATTTTATTATTTAATCTGAAATAAGACCGTCCAGTAAATTATAAATATTTTTATTGAGAAACGTGAAAATATAAAGATTTTCTTTTGCCGGTCCAGGTATTTGATATACAACGAACAAGATGGACGAGTACGACAAGAAATTCGCTGAGATGCAAAAGTACATTCCGTTTTTGGAAGCGATGATAGAACGATTAAAAAACGTTAAGGACAAATCGCGGGAAGTACAACTGCAAAAAATGCAAAGCCTTCACGGGATTCTGTCGAACAGTAAGAGAAAGTACGTTTCGAAATTGATATGCAAACAATCCTACACTTTTTATCGCGCCGCTTGACGATAACAATTCAAAATTTTTTCGCGCCAAAAATTTGTCGAATTCTTAAATTTTCAAACTTTCAATAGAGAACATATTTTTGTCAAGTTTTTCCGAAAATGTTATCGCAAAGAAGTGCTTATAATTAGAAAAATACAGTACAAAAGGTTGCAAGAACTTTTAATCACGATATTATCGGTAAAATAGGCTGAAGATCGAGACGTTGCAGCGATGCGAAGATGTACTCCAGAAGTTGCACAACAAAGTAGAAAAGGTAGTTACATATGCTGATTTACGCTCTACGTTGTACATTTATAGTTCACTGAATTTTTTTTATAAATAATAAATTTATAAACAAGATATTAAATTTATAAATTCAGTGAACTAAAATGTTCTTGGTGTATCACATTAGATCGCACTGTGAACGAAACATATAAACGAGAGAGTGTTTAAATAATAAAATTTCATTAAGAAAATTATTTAAACATTTATCCTACTTGTACCAACTCTTTTATATCGTTTCACGAGGCACCACCATGCTTTTATAGAGCAAAGATTGCATTATTTACTTCATATTTTATTTTGTAGATATCTTGCATCCTTATATTATGGGGTGGTTTAAATTGCTGTTACATTTACCTTTTATTTCTAAGGAATTACACAATACATTTGTATAATACACTTGCACCTTAATGTTCTTTGAAATAATTTCAGAATAAGTGAATGTTTGTAGCACAGTAGATAAATGAAATTTTCTGTTACAATTATCTCTCTTTTTTTCTGAAATGGATGTAGTAGCCTTTCTCCTTATTCTTCATTCTATTTATTTTTGTATATTTTCAGGCTTTCGTAGTGCATGTATTTTTTGTTTAATTTTAATTATTCTAATCTGACACGAGTTTCAGGGAAATACACCTGGATTACATTTTCCGAATAAGAAAAATGAAGCGAACTCAGCGCAGACCTCAACGTGAGTATTTGTGGATCGGATTTTTTTTTTTAAGAACTACTGTACACCCGTCTGAATCCGTTTAAAAAATTATTGTATACATCATTGTATTTTTAAAGTAAGTCAACTTTGTAAAGCAATACTGTTCAAGAGCTCATAAGCAAAGAAACTCTGCTTGAACAGCATTCCTATAAAAAAAATTCCACGTTCATTTAAAAAAAGACTATCTACATGGTAGAAGCTCTTTAGCCCTGCGACTATGAACTGTATATGGTATTAAGTCCATTAGCTTAAAATAATTCTGGACTTATTACCTACTTCAGAAGACTTATATAACAGTATGTTTAAGATTAAATCAGATAAGATATCAGTTAAAAAGTATTAGACCCAGTTAAGTTACTATCAAAAAGCAAGTGCCTTTGCTTTTAAACAATAACATTTATCTTAACATGTATAGACCTATATCCAGGGCACCTTTGATTAGTTCTCCGAGATTTGAAAAGTGCGACTTAATACAGTTAAACAGTTCAGAAATATCCCATGTAAAATGTCGCCTCAACACCTTTCAGTGCAATGGAAGGAAAGTCTCAGCCTGTGGAGGAGACAATGGAAGACAAGGAGATCCACGAGACACCTGCTAGCCCAAGTCCCCCAGTTAGCCCCGACTCGGGTTCTCAAGTAGAGCCGATAATAATACCCACCGAGCGCAAGGTGGAGTTCGACAAACCTGCCTCCCCTGACCCGATAGAGACATTGCCAACTAAAGCGCCGATTATCATACCAACCGAACGGACCAGTAACGATCTCAGCCTCTCCCCCAGTTCCCAGCGTTCGAGCAAAAATGTGGACGACGTTTCGTTCGTCGAATGGGACATGCTCGAAGGGAACGAAAGTCAGATCGGGAGAACTAAAAATTGGCAGGGTATCGTTACTTCCGGCCACGATGTAGCTTCAGGGATGAAATTAGGGAGTAGCGACGGGAGACCTCATGTACCGATATCGATGCATTCTACTCGGCACATACCAACGATACCGGTTCCTTCTTTGGGTGGTTCCAGAAGGTTGTCGTCCATATTGGAGAAGACTAGGTTAGCAGGAGGGAATTTGGAGTCGGAGTCGAGGCCAGAGTCACCGATGAGCGTGTCGGATACTAGACTCAAGTCTCCAGACTCGGAGATTTTGTATTCGAAGCATGGTAAGAACACGTCTCCAAGGTTGAAGGAGGCAAGACCTTCTAAGCCTTCGGTACCGTTGTTGCTCTCCCCGCCTCCGGTTTCCACGGAGCCTCCGTTGTCCATGGAAGACTTGGCGGAGTTGTTGAACGAGGAAGACGATAACAAGTTAGAGAAAAAGGGAGACGCGGTCAAATTGAAAAAGGACAAGTCAGAATTAAATGCCTTAAACAAGGACTCAAAGCAGTCGAAACCTTTCCTGTTATCGCAGGAGGATATCGATAGCGAGAGCGAGAGGCGTTGGGAGGAGATCGATAAACATATAGTCAAACTGACTAGTAGAAAATGTCTATCCACCGGTGTCCCGGCGAAAGGCGAGACTTTAAAGTTAAACGAAATCAAGGGACCATCGCCAGTTAGTTTAGGACATAACACAGGATCCTTAGATAGTAGAAACCGGCCTTCGTCGCCTGGATCTAAAGTCGAGCCCCGTTTCGCGGACAATTACGAGCGACATCCTCGTCGACTGATCGACGACGATATACCTAATCCATTACACCCCGCGAACACCGCCAAGTCGGATAACAGTCTGTTATACCAAAGGCGTCAGGGAAACGTTGGTCCCGAAATGGTGCCACCTAGGATAGAGACGGAGTTCAGGACAGAAGGTCCCGAGTACTTCAACAGACAAGTACCGAACCCCGGCCACTGGCCTCCCATGCACCCTCCCGTGAACACGAACGAGTTCTGCAACAACCAGTGGCCCCAGACCTCAAACTTCAGCGGTATGCCAAACTCTCCCGCGCAGTCGTACCAGCACCCAATGGGAATGCATCAAGAGATGTGGAACGTGGGCGCAGGCAGCGCCGCGATTCACATAGATCCTCACCAAATGAACGAAGGTCAACTCAGGCCTAATCAGTTTCCTTCCAACATGAACACAGGAATTAGGCCACTGATGAGTCCGACTACTCGTCCTCAGGACATGAACCACATTCCACGACCCGAAGATCTACCCCCCGTCGACGTACCTAATGTGCCAAACATACAGCCTTTAATATCACCCACGAGGTTCCCCGTTGGCCCGCAGTATAGAAATTTCCCTGGTGAAAACAGACCGTACGACCCGTCTTTCGACAGAGGCCATCCGAGGCAGTCCTGGGACTCCCCAGCTAATCGACCGAACGAAGTGCCCTATAGACAGGAAAACGAAGTTCCTTGCAACGTGATAGGCCCAACGGACGGTCCTACAGGACCGTTTCCGAGGCCCAGTACGCCGTGTCCCTGGAACAG